CGCATCAGAAATTCTCTTTGACAGAACCATGTGGGAGAAGAAAAAATGAAAGGAAATGGCGTTGGTCAACGACGGAAAAACGTGGATAAACAATTCAGTTGCGCATCTAAGGCTCCGCTCCTTGAATTTAGAAAAGTTAGATAATGAAGAACAATTTTAGATAATATGTATTCATATTTAAAGCAAAATCTTCAAATATCTGGGGCTACAAAATTTTTAAGGATACTACCCTTAGGTACAAATTGTCCCACCGAAAAACTCTCGCCTGGACTCGACAAATTGCCGACCAAGGTTTGAACCATCCCATGTAAGGGTTTCGGACGAAAACGAACAATAGCTGCACGTTCCTAAAACTCCTTTTTAGAAAAGAACCCTGTCAAAGACGCTGTCTAGGTCCTAACACCCTAACACCCTGTTAGTTGGCAGCTCATATCGTTTCAGGCTGATTAAGGTAATGCTTCTCATGGAAGGAGGGAGAGGAGGGTGCCCATCTTTAGTACTCAGTCCTTGAATACTAACCTGTACTGTTGGGCAGCTTCCGAGATCCTTTTAAGAGAAAAGGCTCAGTTGGCACTTGGCCGATGTGATTCGTAGTCGCTAAAAGATAGATAGATAGGTAAATAGGTTGATAGATAGATGGGTAGACAAATAATCGGGTTTGCTGAACGAAATATTGGAATAACTATGAAATGATAACGAAACGTTAAACGTATGTAGACGACATATACGATACTACAACGATCATTTAATTTTTTTATTTTGAATCCCGAAGGGCAACGTTTCAAAAGTCTCGTAAGGACGGAATAGTCCAGGCCCTCTCAATTCGTGATAATAAACTCATGTCACTTTTTATTTTCACATTTCAGCATTTCTCTTTAGCACTGAACTACACCTCTCAAAACTTCCTTCTACGAGTACATTGACATGCTGCTGTATTCAGAAATCGCTTTCCAGATTGTTAGAATGGACGAAATGAAGATGTACTATCAACGGAACCTTAAGATTGACCTTTAGTTGTCGTTAGATCGTTTATCATAAACAAAAGACTGACTTAAAAAGACTTTTAAGAAGACTGAAAGGATTGACAGACTGAAAAGTGCCATCTGGCATGACGTTTCACTTTAGCGCCTGTCATGAACGAATTGTCTTCATCAGTTCAAGTATACTTATCGGTCGATACGGAATCAGCTCCGGTGGAAAAAAAAATCCTTCTTTAACCACGGTATGACGTCATGCACGCTTTTATTTTTAACCTATATTATTAAAAGTTAGACTTTTTTAGAGCAGGAACAGTGGAAAATAGTTTGAGAAATCAGAGGATCTAGAAATCCAGGGTGAAAAAAACAGGATCATATGTGCGTCGACGAGACTAAACGCGTTAAAAGGGTTTCAAGCAATCGCGACACCATTCTGATTAATAACACGATTCCAAAAAATTAGATAAACTTAGAGCCAAGCTTGCTGAAAGCAAGAAAAGCAAAATTCTTTTCTCGGGTCACTTAATTTTTATCCAATCCTTAAGTAGATACAAACGCAATATAGAACGATATCTCCTGTAAACAATCGGCACAAGTGCCTTAAAAGTAAGTAAAAAAAAATAATTTGAGACCGTTATGCTGTTCGGGAAAAGTAATTTTATTCTGTATTTTTCTTTTATATTTTCGACGGCAACAAATACAAGCCACTCTCGTTAAGGGAGGGGCAAATTAATTTGTTCATCTTTTATCCAAAACGATTTCAATCTTCATGGCTGTGTCTTTTACATTTGGTTCTACAAAACAAAAACAGAACGAGTAATTTGAATTCGCGTACAAATTTAACAATGTCATTTCATGAATAGTGGACTAATGGGTTTCCTAGGATGCAGATAGGTGTGAGATAATTCCGCCATTGTTTACTCATTTTGTAACAATGTCCCACGCTTTTGACACTTAAATCGAACCTTTTCTCTTATTTGTTCTTTGATTTGTGACGTATTGAAAAATGTTCCAGATGTTTCGGGGGAGTTTTGTTGAAAAGAAACATTGGGTGGTTTCTGTTTCTGTTTTGATGAAACTTCATGCTACTGTGTTTCTTTCAAGGACACCATACACTGTTTGATGTTTCATTCAGTGCTGAGGTTCAGCAAAAATCGCAAAAGGCGTCTAGCTGAATACAGAAAAAGATCAAGCATATGTCCTTTTCACGCCAGAAAAGATATGTTTAACCAATTGAACTATAAAAAGAAAATTTTTAGGGATTCAATGAATCATCAACTTGTGCTTTCATTGTGCTAGATTTGAGGTTGACAACCATCGGTTTCAGGAGCTCCAATTCTATACAGAAATTCATTTTTAACCTTGTTTAACAAACCAGCTTTAAAAGGTGTTTTATCTCTGGTGTAGATTAGGTTTAAGATTGGAGTGCAGTTTTCAAATTTGAAACTTTCATTTATTCTGATCATAACAATTTTAATATGAGATAACTGGGAAACAGGGAAACAGTTATCGCTAGGGCCACCATAACTTTGTTCTTTCCTTTTTACCCAATAAGTAGCTAGTCTTGTTAAACGATAAAACTAACTCGAATATTTCGATGTAAGTCGTTACAACAAATCTATGTCTTTATGCACTAGAAATGAAATATTTTTTTTTATGTGTAAGTGACTGTTTTAGATCATTAAGTTATCACTATCTTCTTATCCTAAAAACACCTCCCCTTCCCAATACCCGGAAATGATTAAGATTACAGGGTATTACTTCAACTAGATATAGAAGCACATTGAAGAATAAATTTATGAAGTACTTAAAAGGCCATCTCGAATGTTTAGAAAAGACAATTGTGCTTTGCTTTCTTAAATGCTGCAGTTTTTCGCTCCAAAAATGTTTGGAAGAGCTATGGGATCTATTTTATAACGATAACGTGCAGTTTTGAGGCCGTGAAGTTCATTCTTTCACTCCTTTTAATTTTTGTTTCCATGTGTCTATAAATCAGTAATTTCCATATTTTCTTTCAGATTTCATCGCTTTATTCAGCTCACACAGAAATATTCTTATAACGATATGAAAATGATTTATGTGAGGAGTTGACGAATAAGAACTGAATATGTCATCGTTTCTTTTCTTTTTTCAAGTCTTTTCAAAAAGATGATAAAACCAATCTCTAAATAGAAATATCTAAGTCAGAGTTATTGATTGCTATTTTAGCTAAGTTGGAGTATTTTCCTGAGGGCTTAGACTGTGCATACATAGAAAGACCCGCATGCATTTGATAGATAAAATTCGTCTTCATAAAATTAATATCCTGTTACATATTATTTCTTTTTGTTGTATCACTCCTAAAACTGTCGATTTTTTCAGTTTAAATCTGTTTGAATTCCAAATTTCACCTGTATTCTCAGCTTGTCTACCCTAAAAATTCGCTTTATCTCCTCTAAAAAAGATTATCATTACTTTAGACTATGAGAAGTCCTGATTTTATCAGTGAAGATAGGCCAGACTCGCTTAAAAACATTATCTAATACATGTTATTATTAAAATTCTCATTTAAGCGAACAATAATCTCTTATCTCAGTGATTACTAAGCATATATAATGACGTCAGTTGCGTGATTCTTTTTAATATTTTGAACTCTTATTTACACAATATAGTGTTGGTACTCTAATACAGGAAATTGCTCGTCAAAGTCTTTTTCAAAAAAGGGATTACTGTCTTTCTATAAGAAACAGCGGCGAAGTTTAGAGTGGGATGTTATTTCCTCAAAGGAAAACACTTATTTACTGTTTATTTACTTTTGGTGGGGTGATAAGGTATGGTTATTAAATACAAAGTCTTTTAATTACTAAAATCTTACAAAGATCGATGTTTAACATTTGTCATGATTTGTTTAGATCGTGGGACAAAAAGTAAATTTGAGTTTCCCGCAAGGTTTAAGATCACAGTATTTTCTGGCATCTTGGTTGCATATTTAACCGCTTGAGCTACAGAGAACTTGTTCGCGAGCCTATGAATATTCTTAGTGCATGTTGAAGTGGAGAACAGAGCAGAAACTAAAACTGTCAGCTTCAACCTGTTGAGCGCATTGGCATCATACCGTGATAAACCTAATGAAACGACTCTTAAATCTTAAAAGTAATTGTAGTCCAAGCTTAACATTATTGCAAAAGAAGACACTTCTTTCAAACCAGCTTCTTAGTTTTCAAAATGAGTTTGTTTTAGAAATCCAATAAAACAGATATTTTCAAAATCTGAGCATATCATGGGAACCAATCAAAAAGGTACACCTGGGTACTAATAAATGGACAATTTAAAATCTTAATCGAAAAGGACACCTTAAACCGTTGTAATTCATTCCTAAGAAAATCTTTGATAAAGTTTCTTCTGGTTAAATTCCACCTGTGAAGAATTAGCTGCAATTTTCTCCAAAAAGCCAGTAAACGGTACGTTGTGGTCTTATATTCAGGTATTTTCGAAGGTATACGATAACAATGTAACCATGTGACAATGCACTGTTTCTATTATTACTTTTTTTTTTTTCATCTTTAAATTTCAACAACGGCTGTAAGTTTTCATTTTCACCCCATTCATTAAGCTCTGCGAGTAATTTGTTCCTATTCAGTTCGTTCGACTCTTCTCCTCTTCCAAAGAGAATTAGCTGTCGCTGTACGTGCCCACGGCTTGAATACTTAGGAATGATAGGTGACAACCATTAGCAAGGATTGTTAGCAAATTTTTTAAATGAACTGTACTCTAACTTTTGAACAGCAATATCGTGCATCAGGCTGTTGGTAATATTTTCCCAAAATTGTTCATCCTAACAACTCTATAAAGCCACCTTATGTAAAGAAGCAACTGAATCGTCTGAAATAGACTGCCTGAAAATAACCTAACTACAAGGAAAATTACTTTTGGAAGATAAACGTTTCAGTATTACATTGATTGACAATGATTGCCCTCTAAGATAAAAATGTATTATTTCTTTTCTAATTCATTGACTTTTGGTTCTTTTTTCGTCTTCACAGGATGGAGACCACATTTACTTGGAAATTGATATTCTGTCTTTGCTTGGTCCGTGAAGGTGAATATTTCTATGTCTGCACTCTAAGAGATAATCAGACAGCACGCTGAGTGATTTCCTTGTACCTCCATTTAGCCAGCAGAGCCAGATTTCATTTTAAGCTAATCTATCGCACGATAGCAATAATGACCCAACTTTTTCTCACTTAAATTTTAATCGTGTAATATTTCGATGGTTATTCTGCATTGCGTCCTTATGTTCGCATGACAACAATGTTTGATTGGTGTTTTCAAAGAACTGTGGATTTTTCACCTAAAGTTCAGTTTTAACGCTAATGTGGCTTTTATGAAGATTAGTATCAACAACATAAGTGACAAGTTGTGTTCTGAGTCTTCTAGAAACCTTTTTTTAACAAATTCAAAGAATTTTACGACGTTATTGCTAATTCATGTAAAAATCGAGTATGGTGGATCCAGGATATCCGGGGCGGATTTGTTACGTCTACAATAATGTCATTCAACAGAGATCATTTTTCAATAATTTGCTCACCATGGGAGAAGTGCACAGTATCTACTGAATCGCGGGGTACCATGTAGAGATACAGAATTGTCTAAAACGATAACAAGGACAGGATCTCGAAACAGAAGTCGTGTTTTTCCGTCTCTAGGAAGGGTATTAGAAGTTCGATATATATCGGAGATATTCGCTGTTGTATCGGTTTCATTTATTTTTATATAATAATAAAGTTCAGATATAACGCGTGCTTTCATTGGTTGAAAGAGCGTGCTCTATGAGAGTATAGAACATAGAGCTGAGCTAGAGCTGTCACGCCATCTGCCAAATTGTACTATGTTTGACCTTTTCCGGAACTTCTCCCTAGCTTTTTTTTCGTTAATTGAAAGTAAAATTTTGGCACAAGCGAGCCGGCAAGTAGCAACAGAAGAACCAAAAAAATATTTTCAAAAAGGCTAGGCGCCGTAATTTACGTCTCGTGTTTCTCCCTACACTTCTTCCGTGCTCTAGCCGCTTCCTGCATGCTTCACAACAGAACGAAGCACGGTCAAGGCTTCTCTATTTGTTAAATTTTATTGTCATTTTTGTTTACAGTTACAGCTGGGGCTATTTCCTATAAGGTGAGTAAAGAAAAGAACTTTTAGGTTTCATACTAATTTAATTTCAATAAAAATTCATAAATGAAACGAAAGACGCTCTTTTTTTATCGGCAGAAACCCCTCAAAAGCAGCACAGTTCAAACAAAATTTTAAATCTATTAAAAATTTTTCATCTTATTTGATTTTAAAGGAATCAAAGGAAGGATTCCCAGAGAATCTTCATCATAAAATGACTAAGAGAGAACTGGAGATCTTTTTTGGAACTGATGACCTATCACAAGGTAGTCCCATAAATTTCAAATAAAACTACTTCTAAATAAACGCAAAAAGATTTACTTTTGATAAAATGGTAGCAAAATCCATGGTTTGTTAAATGATAAAATGAAAAAATCTGCTATTGATCTAATTAAATTGTTTCTTAACCAGTTGATGAGATGTTAAGGGAACCTTTTAGTTGAAAATGGATTTTGCAAAGGGATTTGCTCTTTCTTTTATCAGATTACTTCAGATTACGTACTCGAACACGTCACTTTTGAGATTCGAATATCACTCCTCGCGCGCCTCACTCGACAATTTGTATGGAATCGAGTCGACAAGATTACGCAAAAGTGTTCAACTATCTATCTTACTCTAGAATAAATCTTTTTACAGTATGGGTATTTTTTCATTTCTCACGTTATCGGATGAACATTACTTGTTTATCTGAATTATCTAAAGACTAAATATTTTATATACTATGAAAAATTTTCAGTACCTGAGTACGACATTAGCGAACCGTTTAAAGAGAAAACCGATGATCACCGTCAAAAGAGAAGTACTGAAGATGATAAAAAGTACTTCAAGATAAAGGCTTTTGGCGAAGAACTGTCTTTACAACTCATATTAAATCAGAAGCTTATGTCACCCGATTTTAAGGTGGAAATCAAACGAAGAGATGGGAGAACAGAGTATCAACCAGCTCCGAAAAATACTTTTTATCTTGGAAAGGTCATGTCAGAGCCCGAGTCAATGGTGGCTGTTAGTCACTCCCAGGGAGTGGTGAGAGTCATAATTTTTTTTTCATACTATTCTTCTTAATAAATTTGGCACGGTAAAATTACGAATGACATAGTATTCCAAAATTTTTTAAAAATTTTTTCCCTATATTCATCAGCTGACCAAATCGCCATGAATTGAGCTTATTCGAAGCTAAATCCTGGAAATTCTCAAAGCAACCGTTACCTACCCCTAAATTTCTATTTTAAAGTAATAAAAAATATTACAGGTGTACCCATGTGACGAACCAAGGCTAACCGCGGTTTTGAAAGCTTGAGTTGAGGATACTCATGATGCTGGTCTGTATATAGGCTACTGATTCTTCAGGTTAATCACTGACAGCTGCTGTATCCACTGATATTCCTAGGTGTGAGGTGCTGTCAGAGTGACGTAAAAGATCACTCAAAACGTTACTTAGCAAGATTTAGAAACTAGCATGTCCAGTCCACTGCGCCAGTCAGTGGTTGACCCTGTTTACTATTGTTCAGAGTATACAAAATGCTAACTGATCACGACTGTTTTATGTCAATTTTTCTAGCATGGACTGATCCAGCGATCTGGTGAATCTTTATACATTCAACCGCTGCCAACTCATCTCTCGAAGCACGTCGAGTATAAAGAGATAAGTCAACCTCACCTCATTGTCAAAAGATCAATCAGAGAAAATTTAGTTTTCAGCAAGCGAGGTATATTTTGTTTTCCTCATCTAGTTGACATAATGTTTAAGAAGCTATGTTACGGTATCCTAAGTTTTCAAAGTTGTCATTCGCAGTCTGCGTTAAACGTTATCACAACCATCTACAACTATTTCATTTAGAGTTTGCTCTATTTCTTATATTTTGGATGTGGTCTCTACAAACACAAAAAGTCCATTTTAGAGAGTTATCCGCACCACAACAACTTTTATACTTATGTTACCTATTTTGTTCCAGCAGCTAAGGCAACTTCACCGAAAGGAATTTTGCGCTCCATTGAATCGTCAAACAAATACTTGGAAGCTGCTTTGGTCACAGATGAAATCACTGCTGAGAAATATGGCGAGTCCAAAATTGCATCAATTCTGCTCATCATTGGGAACATTGTGAGTTACGGGACGAAACAATTTCTTTACTCGCTTTTTACTTTCTGCGGAAAAGAAGAAGCGATAAGTAATACATTTTTGTGCGTGAAATAGCTGGCCCTAAAATTTACTGTTTAAACTCCTAAACTTACATATTTTTCTTTCCCGAAGGTCGCAGGCATGTTCCAAGATCCCAGTATTGGAAAAGTCAAAGTTACCTATGTCATAAAACGTGTCACAGTTCTAAATGCTGCAGAGGTAAGTAAAACGTTTTCATGCTTGCCTGTTTAACGTGGCGAGTACAGGTTCAACAAGCAAGCATGATTGGTAAATATAACGATATCAGTCTAAATGAGAAAGATGCGGGACTCATTTCATTTATTGGTAGTCTACTTTTTTTTGCAAAAAGACTTCGACAAAGATTTTAACAATACTGACCATTTCACTGCTTTTTCCAGCTTGGTTTGCAATCATTGAGTAATAATGGCAAAGTAATAAGACTCGAGAAATGGAACAAAGACATCGCTTATTCGGACAAAGTCGATGTCACTTCATACATATCTAGGTAAGCCTGGGAAGACAATTTAGATTAACCACTTTCTAATTAGTGAGCTGGAATCCGGGTCGAAATGTGTTCCTCCCTACCATGTATAACTCCGAAAAGGCTGTTGCTGGGTTCAAAGTCGTAACGAAGCTTTCTAGATGTTTTCGGTTTGTAAGCCGCGTTGCGTGATAAGAAATGTACTTCGGCCAAGATCTTTCCGACGAGGTATTGAGGTTAGCCACGTTTTATGAAGCGGGTTAGAATTCTTCCCTCTTTAACTCAGAAGATTCTTTAACCGAGTTTGTTCTCAGTAAGCGTAATGCTCAGTTCTCCTTTAACATTGCCCTTCTTAACACCTTAACACACACCTTCCATGAAAAGCTGGACAAGGTTCAGGAAAATGGACCGTAGGGCTTGATAGCCTAACTGAGGGCAGCATTATGGCGCATAAATTAAAGAAGCGAATTTAATACGAAGTTAACGCTGATTGCTGTGAAAAAGTCTTAATTACCATTGTTCTGTATAAGGACACGAAGTTTCTGATTACATGTCTCTTTTAATGTCATCGTTATAGATTGGTTGGATCTGGCGGTAAGTGCTATGTTTTCTGTTATTTTAAATCAGTCTAATAGCAACGTTAGGGGGTCCAGTTTCCTTGTGGTTAGCCGCTCCTTTCTAAACTTCAGATGTTATCAGATGCTGCAGTGATCACTTTCGGTCCCTAAAACAGGTTATACGATGGTACTGTGGAACCCATTAATCTCCTATTTGCGGTAAATGTGTATGCACTAAAGTTGTTTCCACACGTGCAGGTACCGCACCTTTCAAATCAATGTGCAAAAACGAAATTGGGACAGTGAACGTAAACAATGATTTGGGACTGCAATCTGCTGGAATCATTGCTCATGAAACTGGCCACAAGTAAGTTGTTAAGCCGATATAGCTCCCTCGCTGTTTGTGTCCAGTTTCCTTTGCTTTGGTTTACTATACGGCAGAATCTACATGGTAGTCGATTACGAATAATTCACTACCGTTCCGAAAAAAATGTCAGTTTTGGTAAAATCATAACATGAATGCCGACAAGACAGTAGGGTACGTAGTTTAGGCTTACAAGTACAAAACCCTATTTTAACCCTGTCGATCAATGTCATTTCATTTTTCCCTTTAATTCGATTTAACCGAGCATATTCCTCATTAGGGGTCTTACTCGTTTTAACCCATAATTTTTTTTCCCTTTAGCTTTGGCCTGGGTCACGACGGTAGTGAAAATCAATGTGAGGGAGGTACGTACATAATGGCTGCAGTCCTCCCCAATGGAGTTAATGCCATGAGATGGTCGACCTGTAGTGCAGACGAAATGCAAACATTCCTCAGGTAGTGCGTTGAATATCCAACGTTTGATTCTCACGAAAAGGGACTTACAAGCCATAAGTCATCGTTCGATATTTTTTTGCTCTTCTTTTACGACAAAATATACTGAAGTCCAACTTAAGTACGTAAGGAATCGAAGGAAGGTTTGTTGATTCTGTTTGAGAACGAGGCGCTGCGTCGTAAGCAATGGACAATTCTACAAGGATTACGAGATAATTTAAGGACAGTCTTTATTGAAGGAATATTTCTTTTGTAACACCGCGCCGGACTAAAGGATTTTCTCAGCCAATGTTTTCAATATCAATAGTTTGCAATCCATTACGTGCATTTCTGCATTGATATCCTCATCCCTTTGTGTTTTCCTATGAGCTCTCGGTCTTAGTTGTTGTTGTTGCTGTTTTTTTTTCTCGATCATCTAAATGAAACAACTCGGCCAAGCGACCACTTAATAAAATGACACTTTGGCCTTTCTTTGCCCGCCAAGGTCCACATGCGAGATACCTTTTAGTTCCCATTAAATATCGTAGAAAAGACTACTAAATCCATAAAGTAAAGAGATTGGTTGCTCAAGTACGTAACTACAACTTAAATGCCACATCTTCCTATGGAAATATAAGGCACTAAAACAGACATAAATACCAGAAAATAAATACCATATCATTTTACTCATTTCCGGAACACTATTCATACAGAAGTAGCGAGTCCTCGTGTCTGGATGATGTGCCGACCGAAGTTCTTCCCACTCCCTCTCCTGATGTAGCCGACTTATCAGTCCTCCTCCCTGGTGAAATTATGGATGGAGACACGCAGTGCAAAAGTCACTATGGGGAAGCGTACAGGCGTTGCAGCCAACTAAGGGTAAATCTTTAGAGAGCTTAATTTCTCACATCGATTTAAATCTATCCTCATGAAAATTTGATCTTCTGGATGAAAAGTATTTTTTATAGTTAGTGTTCATACCAAGTTTTTTAAAGGATCATTTCCTTTTGCGATTTTTTGTCGGCGGTTTAATTTGGCCTCTGTGCCCTACTTACGCGAAAGATATTTCACTGTTTTTGATTATTTTTTATCCTTTATTTCTTAGAAAAACTGCGCTTTATACTGCACTTCAGATGGCTATTCATGTATATCTCAAAGGGTTCCGGCTGCAGATGGTACGAGTTGCGGATCACGAGACGTACGTACAGATGTTGTATAAAGCGGCCTTTTACCGATCAATCGTTTTACAAATTAAATTTGATTTTGGATTTTTATTTCACCAGTGGTGCATTAAGGGAGAATGCGTCGATAATGGACGTGCGCGCGTTGATGGGGGGTGGAGTAAGTGGTCAACTTACACCCAATGTACTCGGTCCTGTGGGGGAGGGGTACAGCACAGGACAAGGACATGCACTAACCCTACGTAAGACAATTTTCTACCATTTTGTATTACTTTGGTAACTAAAATGTTGCTAACAAGCCTCGTTCTTGTCAATTTCTGTTCTGTTATCTACAACTTAACAGATACGCTGGTAAATCTCTCTGAGTTCATCATTATACAATCTTTCAGGATATCATTGGCAATAAACTGTGCAAATAAGAGGTCAACGGAATTTTAGAACTCTATTCTATGTTCTTTGTGCAGCACTTAATCGACGGAGTCATACTGGCCGTGGATTTGTTAACTCTTCAGTCTAACCTGCCTCAGTTGAACTGAGGAGTTTTTCATTAATTTTCACTTAACAATGATCGTGACAACGTCGGAGAGTTGGATTCCTTTAATATGCTATGATTTTCATGGCAGTGAATCGAACAAAATGAATGGTTCAATTCTTAAAGGTTTCTGGGTTTCCAATATCTGCCGACTGTAACGATGACACTAGTGTTGTAGACAAGGTTGACAACTATAAAAGTGATTTGCGACTTACGACTTAAGTCATTCATCGGTTTTGGGTCAGTATTGTAAAAAACCGACGTAAGATTGAAAAAGTTGCCCTCGTCGGCAGCATTTTTGAAACCTTTTCATTAAAAGGCCTTCCCAGTCATGAAGTAACATACCATTGATAATTCTATTTTCTTATTGCGCGTACCTATGCACGCCATATCAGACCAAAGTACGGAGGGAAGAACTGTGACGGATCAACCATTGGTCAATGGCGAACCTGCAACTTTAGGGTAAAACAGCTTTTGCCTATATCAGTTTGATTGAATATGTAGATTAACAGGTACATCATACCGAAATATATCATGCAGTGATGGGCAGGAGTGAAAAATTAGATCTAAAATGGAGTCAAATATTTATTACTCTGGGATTTAGCCTTCCGTCTTAAACTTTTTAACCCTTATACTCCCGTGAGTGAGTGAGTGAGTGAGGCAGAATTTCTCCTGATAGTGTCAATGCAATATCAAGCAGACAAGTGATGTGAATAGAGAAAAATAGCGATCAAGGGATTTTTAGTTGATTCAATATCAAATTCTCCGAACTAACATCATAAGAATTTTATGACAGATAGTAAAGCGAATTACTGATGATATCTTAGGAATGAAAGGGTTAAAACATGAGCTACCTAAATCTAAGAGTCTTTACTCTTAGCCCTACAAAGCAATTAATGTGATCAATATTTGTAGCCTGACTAGAAAAAAAAAATAGCAAGCGCTTTTAGTTTCAGATTATTTTAACCTTCCACTAAAACTATTACAATAGAATAATTTCATTCTCTATTAGCCATGTGCCAACGAAACGATTTCATACAGAGAGATGCAATGCAAGGTGTACAACCAAAATTTTGTGCCATACTACCTTGGGTCAGGCAAGTATTGATAGAAATAGAATCACATATTGGTAAAATGATTAGAGCAGTGTCGATTGCAATGATGTAGCCCCTAAAAGAAAATGTCAGTGCTCAGTACTCTTAAGAAATGGTAGCATAATGAAGTTTATATATTTTGGTTTCCTCTATTGGTGAATTCAGTTTTAATGATCTGGACCCAAATTAAATTTCATTTCCCTGGGCAGATCTCTGTGGACTCTACTGCCAGATTGGGAGCAGAGTCTCAAGACATGGAAAAGTCAAAGATGGAACTCGTGCAACAAAACATGAATTTGTATTTGACGTCTGCATCAAAGGGACACGTGAGGTATTTTAGTATTTGGTAATTACCCAACTTCCCCTTTCTCCTCCCTCCCCTCCTCCCACAACCATTGGCATGAACTAATCTATGGCCAACTAAGCTGCTTATTCTTATGCTATTCTAAGCCTGTAGGTTGTGATCATTTGATGTATTCAAGGAAAAAATTTGATCGATGTGGAAAGTGTGGAGGGAAGGCAGATTCCTGCAAAGACGAAATGGGTAGTTTTACAGAAAAGATAAAACGTAAGAATTTATGTTGATTCATTTTTTTTTTGAAGCATTGATGATGGCTGGTTACTAACGCGATCTTTGAACGTTTACTTCCCCTTCTTCTCAACATCATTGTCGTCGTCTGAATTATCATCATTATTATCATTTAAAAAAACTTTTAGCATCAAGATCATTAATTATCGAATTAGTGATGCCTTTTTTTTCCCCATCGCCGAGTGTTTGAACGTTACTCTTTTAAAACCTGCTTTTCAAAATAAATTTCGACAGAGCAGTGAACCTGAATAAATTTTTTTGCAGACGTTAATGAGTCGGCCGTAATTAAGAAACTTCCTCCTGGCACAGTTTACGCCTACTTCAGAAAGAAAATCTCTAAGTCGTACAATGTACTAGGTAAGTAAGAGGGCAACATAGCCTTCAATCATGTTGAATAGCACAGAGGAGCGACATAAAATATATTTTCATAAACCGATATTTCGAAAAAGTCGAATTTTTTGTTCATTATTTGAATCAGTTTTATGATGGTGTATTCCAGGCATTCAAGACGTGTATGGAAACTACCTTATAAATGTGCCTCATACTTACTCTAAGACAATAAAATACGCTGGAGCTACAATAACCTACAAACACGACGGAATGCAATACAGAGATTCATTGGAGATCCGTGGACCTACCACAGAGACGCTGAAAGTTGTGGTATTATACTCATGCCGATTTATTTTTAATCTACTCCTTTACCATAAATTAAATTACAATCGCTTGCATCACGAAACCAATGAGGTCAATAATCCATCCATTCCTTAATTAGTCAAAATATTCATTCGTCAGATAATTAACTTCATGTTGGGTTGGGTTGCATCTGGTCAGTAAGTCTGGTTAGTCAGCTGGGTAAAACGTCAGTGGGTCAGTCAGCTAGCCGGCCAGTCAGTCAGTCATTCATCGAGTCAATCAGTCAATCAGTCAGTCTGAAAAAAGGTCAGTCAGTCAGCTGGTCACTAAGTAAACCAGGTAGCCACTCAGAAAATAAGACGGTCATCAAGTCCGCGTGTGTGTAAAATGTTCAGGCGGTCAATCAGTTTGCCAATCAGCCAGTTAATGAGTCAGCCAGGCCAACCAGCCAGTCAGTTTTCCAGCCAATCAGCAAGTTAGTCAGTCAGCAAGTCATTCTTTAAGTCAGTCGGACAGTCATTAACTTAGCCTTTCCGTCTTTAAATCGGTGTGTTAGGCTGTCAATTCCGAACGATGGTCAGTCATTGCATGAACGGAAGTCATTATGTGTGCATCATTTTGTAAGATCACCAAAAGTAATCTATGTATTTACGTAACATAATTACTTTATTAGGGAATACAAAACGTCCATACTAAGTCTCTTGTCAACTGCATGTGCTTTAAAATTAAGAAAGCAAAAACTTGAGACTATAGCTTTCTTGTCGTTTATCAATTAGTTCTTAAGAGTAAGGGAAGAGACTGCAGGAGTAGACTATATGTTAGAAAGGCCGCTTCTTCTCGGCGAATCTGTGGAAAATCTCTCATACCAATGGGTGCCTATTTCACATTGGTCAACATGTTCTGTGACCTGCGGAGGAGGTAAGATTAAAATTATCTCATGGTCTCCATTTTTTAATCAATCCATTAATTTCCTTATTTTCTGTTTGTGTAGTTACGTAGTAATGAATTAAAAAATCAGAGAAAACAAAAGAAGCTCATATAAAGCAAAAGCAGAATTATACGAAGAAAAAAAATGGCCTTATTCTTCACCAGTCTATGGAAAAAGTTTAACATGCCCAAGAAAGCTGACGTATCATATCTTCAGTTATTTCCCCTTCAACTTTAAGACAGCCTGATGCTTTCAGCGAGTAGGATGCATCAAATTTAAAATTTGTCAATGAAGGACACAATAAGGTGAAAAATAACGAATTTTCCACAGAAAAACACCATGACTCATAATTCTGTCTTTGTAGGTACTCAAACTCGAGATGTGTTCTGTTTCCTCGCTCAAAATTCTTCTGTTGTCTCCGATGAAGCTTGTGGCTCACTCGCAAAACCAGCGAGCACCCAGAAATGCAACACCCAAGCGTGTGAAGCTAAGTACGAACTGAAATTGATCCCTCATGGTGACTCATAGCTCTTTATAACGTTATAAAAACTGATCAGACTGACAACTTCCTCTGACGGTATCCTGAAGATTACAGGAGAATATCCGATTATGCTATTTTGCACTGAATATATTCTCACAAAGAACAAATTTATTCATTTTTGGGCAATACTTAACTAGGCTGGCCCACTTCAGTAATAGGCCGGTTTTAATGGAAGCCTGATTATGAATCCCGAAATCAAACCTCACTCGACCTCCATGCAAGAAACCTCGTTCCCATACCAAGACAAATTACTAAAAATAGTTTAACATTTATGTTGAACTCTGAATTGATACTAGTAGTATTGTTTTTTCCATGATCTTTATATATAGATGGTACGTTGAGGAGTGGACGCCTTGTTCAAAAACGTGTGGGAGCGGTATTCAAACACGAAAAGTGATCTGTCAGCAGGAAGTGTCGTCAAAAACTGTTGTCGTAAAAAATTCAAAATGTCCGGCAATAACTAAACCAGTTCTTTCTTCGAAAAAGAGATCTTGTAATGAAATCGATTGTCCCGCTGAGTGGGTTGTGGACTCCGCCTGGTCCAAGGTAAAATGTTCACCAGTTTTGTCAGGGATGCTGTCTTAATTTCTCAACGAAAACAGAGATTGTTCGTCAAATCATTTTGACACCACCTCTTACGTGAAGGTTTGGGACAGCCAATGAGGATTTAACACTCCAAGATATTAAGATATGGATCCTGTTATATAAGATGTAATTCCTCGATGAAAGAGTAAATGTCTGCCTTCGGGACCAGACTGTTAAAGACACCTACATTAATACCCAACTTTCCTTACAAAAGGCAATTTCATGGCAAAAACTATACGAGTGCTAAAAGTGACTAATGGCACTAAATAACCTATTTCTTCTCCTCTTTACAGTGTTCCACTACATGCAAGCCAGGCAAAATGACCAGACAAGTAGTGTGTCAAAAAATCGACCAAAGTGGGGCAACATCAACGGTGTCGGATCTTGAATGTGCCTATCGGCCCAATAAGCCAGTCACTCAGTTAGCCTGTCATGTTAACATCCCTTGCCCTGCTGAGGGGAACTCAAACGGTAAATATGCATGAAACTAATGGTAACACTAATGGTAACACGGTAATTCTCAAATTGCTGACGTCATAGACCTCTGGTTAAAATTGATGGTCAGGTTAGAAGCCTAGCTGACCTCATTGTGTTGTGTTTTTGGGGCAGGATGCTTTATAATCGTTATGCTTCTCTACCCATTCATGCTGGGTTTTAGCTAACTGTCGCAGGAAATCGAAAAAATGCAATGGGTGACCAATATTTAAACGGCATACCATTAAGAGGTATTTGCTGATGCTAGATGTCTCTTGCCATGGAAATTAGGATAAACGCAACTAGTTTTTAGAGTACATCTGCTGACATGAAACTCGTTTGATGATGTTTGGACACACTATTGAACGTTTTTATTTATTTATTTATATATTTATTTTTTTAAATAAAGGAGAAACGTCTAAATGTAATCCTACTATCAAATAAATTAGGACCATCTAAAAAAGACATACAAAGATTCAAAATGGAGTTCATCTAGCAGCTTTATTTACTATGATCAATCAATAATAAAAATAATGATAATTCAAAAACATCTCGATCACAATATAAGCTAATCGTGTGAAAAGTGGAAGAGATTGACTAAGGGACGACCCCGGAGGGCAATAGAGAGGGTGGTTAAAGATGTATACACCACTTGAAATATTTGAAAACTTTCGTTTGTGCATACTGTTGAAATTTAAGTCAAAATATGTTTGTTATTCTAACAGGAAAAGGCATTTGCGATGAAGTGAACCCTTGTAAGAATGGAGGAATTTGTACTGGCAACTCTGTTAATCACCCCTGTTTGTGTCAGGCTGGTTTTACCGGTTCATACTGCGAAGGTGTGAGATGCTTCCCGTTTAATTATTTACCATTATTTGAATATTTAGGAAAACTTTAGTCGCTTTTTAATTTTAAATAGGATGTTATGAGCTAAAACCAAACGTATTGTAAAAAATGAATGCTGAATGAAATAAAGAAAAATTTTAAAAACGCAGCCAGAGAGAGATTAAATGTAAGAGGCACGATAGACCTACTGAAGCTTATGGCGAGTGCATTTCTTTGCACTGAATCGGTTGCACAAAGACTGATTATTTACACTAACTTCGAATTGTTGGGGAAAATTCGGCGAAACTTTACAACTATGTTTTTCTACAGTTAAGAGGGACCCTTGTGAAAGCAATCCGTGTGTAAATCAAGAAATCTGTTCTCCTGATGTGAATTCACCTCTTGGATACACTTGTGAAGGTAAACCATCAAGATCGTGCCAAATACAGTTTATAGCGTTGTGTTCCTGAACAATGCATGTGACTTCCACATTGCCTCTTACTGCTCAATAAGAGGCAATGATACTGACGAACCGTTTGAGGAGGTTCAAGGAATTGCTCAAAGCTTACTGCAATGAGCCATTATCTCGTTAAAGAGGATTCACAGTAGCTCCTAAGGTTTGAAATAATTTATACTTTCTATTTTTACTGGTTAGAGCCAAGTTATCCATGCGATAGCAGCCCATGTTACAATGATGGTGTTTGTGTAAATGACAAAGTAGACTCTTCAAAATACCATTGCCAATGTCCTCCCTGGATAACTGGAACTAACTGTGAAGGTTTGTGAGCCGTATCTGTGCTATTGTCTGAATCTTTTCTTTCATAATATGAAGAAAACTAACAATCCTAGCCATATGGTATCAATAAAACTTTCATAATCAATCAATTTAAGGTTGTCAATATTTTTAATTTTGAAATCTTAAAATCTCCATAGCTCTCCAGAAAAATACTAAAATAAATCCAAAATTTGTCTCAAATTTATTATTTCTGGTATCACCTAAATATATTGTTTGGCCCTTTACACCAAGAGCCAATTGTTTACTCTCCTGTAATCTTATAAAATGAAGGCTGTGTTTACTATTCTTTCAACTCGTTAGTTTTGTCGAGTGCATGTGATTCCAGCCCGTGTGTCAACGATGGTTACTGTAGCAGTGATCCAGCCAAACCATCTGAGTATAAATGTGCTTGCAGTGAATGGTTCAAGGGAAAAAATTGTGAAGGTAGGATAGACATAATACCGAAGCTTGAGTGTATGTTAATGTTAAGTCATGGTTTTCCTCACGCCACGTCGCTATTTTATTTGCAGCTATGTTAAATTTTAAAAAAAGATTCGGTAGTTAGATGCATGGTTAAGTCCTTCCAATCTGGATCGAGAGGGGTTTGGTTCGAACCATGACCGGGTAGTCGTGTTGCGTCCCTGGGCAATAGACTTCACTCTCTCAGTGTCTTTCCATCAACGAAAAGAGATTGATCTGAAAACCAATTTTTAGGTCAGTTTAATAAGGGTTTACTTGCAATTAACTAACATCCCTTATGCCATGAAAGCTATTAAAGCTATGATTGCCAGGAGAAGTTCCACAGTAACAGAGCACTTTCAGTGAAAGTATATCATTATTAGACGATCAGTTCGATCGATTAACTGCTTTTTCCCGGTTATTTATTACTTCTTTGTCTTAGTGCCCTTTTGGTATATTGATATCTGAGTGAAAATTTCCCTTCAGCTCGACGGTCATCTGACTTTGGTCCTACAACCCGACGGTAATTGCCTTAGCAATGCTGTTTCGTTCTTTCTCCTCTGCAGTTCAAATCTTCCCATGTGATAGCAAACCTTGCGTTAATGGTGGATCATGCAGTAACGATCCAAGTGACATCTCAAAATATCACTGCAAGTGTCCCAAATGGTTTGTTGGAGACAAATGTCAAGGTAACAGTATTAATATGTAGTTACAATAAACTGTTCAATAATGGCCGCATCATTAATTAATCCACTGTCCACAAAAATGTGAAGACGTAAAACGATTCACTTGTCAACTGTTGGCCGACTGCGCGCAAATCGAGCATCAGCTCCGGCTGATATGCTTGTAAAAAGCTTTCGATTTCCATTAAGATAAACAGATGGAGCAGAACAATTTATGTCATGGTCACACATCCCATTCAATTCTCTTTCAAGTTATGGTCATGCCCTCTCCCTTTTCTCCTTTTCATCATTTCTCATACCATCGCGCAGAATGCCTATCGTTCTCGAGACATTTACTGGCGAAAAAATTTTTAGATCTGTAGTATTAGCTACGAAGCGTGCACAAGCTGGTTTTATTGGTCGTGATTTTGTGTCCCTCCCTTCACAGGGAACATTGTCATAACTTATTAACTTGTCAGGGTGGAGTTATGAAACAAAGGCCGCTTAAGAGTGATTGTTTGTGCTATTATTTCGTTTCATCACACATCTACCCCAGGGGCCTTAAAAGCTGGCTATCCAAATACTTAAGCTTACCAAAGGCCGTATGCGGTTGAATTTCTGCTAGAGGCAATTGCATGCCAAAATCTTGTTGAAATTTGTAAAATCAACAATCTTGGATGTCCATCTCTCCTGCCAACCATGCAACAACAAATCTCAAACTAATTGTTGCTTTGGCACTAGTTATCAACCAAGAAAATTAAATAAAAGAAAGAAATGGAAATAAAGTTTTTACTTTCTAGACAAACAAACAATATGTGACGCAGCTAATCCGTGCAGGAACGGAGGGACTTGTAAAAGCAGTTTAGATAATCCTGCAGAGTACAGTTGTGAATGTGGAGACTGGTTCCTTGGAAAAGACTGTGAAGGTGAGCTGAAATAATCTTTGATCTTTGGTTTTTTATGTGTGTGTGTGTTTGTGATAATTACCATGACGTCCCCATGAATAATTTCCATTTCCTGTAAGGAACTACCGCAAGCCCTTTCATTGTTGATCTTTAATTTTTTTCAAAATTTTTTTTTGTGGTATTATGGTTTTTCATCTTGTGTGGTATTCCCTTCAAAACGTTTATGAATCATTTCCATATCCTGAGCGGTAGATTTTCCACATTTTTTTTCAGTGCATAACAATAAGGAAGGCCCTCCTTACTAGGGAAAATCTATGTTGTTGAACATGCCAGCAAGCAGTTTTGGAATCTTTATTTTTTCAGTCCAAAGGTATCCGTGTGACAACAAACCCTGTGTGAATGGAGCCACCTGTAGTAATGACGATCAAGATGTTTCATTGTATCACTGTCACTGCACCGACGGCTACAGCGGGAAAAACTGTCAGGGTAGGAGGTTTTTCGAAAACTACCAACTACATACGTAAATCATTTTGTTCCACGATCGATATTTTCCGTCCAAATTAAAAACCTGGGTTTATGTATTGCTTTAGATTATATTTTCAATGGGAAAAGGTGGGACGTTACATCACTGAAAAACACCAAACGAAAATTCAAGAGATACATCCTCTCCACGCTTAAATCCTCGGTAACTGACTGAAATAGAAAAAAAAGTGACCATGAAACCTTTCACAAATTGTTTTCAGTTCCCAAGTTCAGAGAAATCGCCTGTTTCAACACTGGTTCTAGCCTCCTCTCTGACATACTTGGTGACTTTAAGTCCCAGGTTGCAGATGAAAAGCATCAGGAAGTAATAGGTGCATGCGCTGAGTTGGCGTTTGATAAAGGCTACAAGTTCTTTGCACTGGGATATAATGGCGTATGTCGATCAGGACCGAACGCCCGCGATGAGTACCACAAAGAAGGTGCCACTAGTGATAGCAATTGTCCGAATGGCATCGGCATCAATAAACGTATTGCTGTTTACACATTTGGTAAGTTCCACGTTGATAATATTTGTTCAAAACTTTAATAAAAATATATTGACAATTAATAATATGATCATAGAGGAAAAAAACGACAATAAAAAACGACGGGTACAACACATTTGTGACATTTGAAACGCTAATATGATCAAGGAGGCGTCTGAGAAAGAAAAGCAACAATGAGATCACAAAAAAAGAATGCGATTGCGTGCATGAATCAAGGATCGACAATAAGTCAGTCGATCAATGAATAAAATTATGCAAGATAAGCAAGATGAGATTACTTTGTCAATGTAAGCCTGAGGATCCATTGTAACCTGCATGACATTAAGTCCAAAAGGAGGAAACAACGAAAAGACTTGAGAAAACTATACACAACAATCATTGCGTTGTACTTACCGGATAATTAAAGGTAGATAAATGTTCATGTTACTTTTGCTTTCAGAATTAATCCCAAAGCAAATTAGTCTAGGATGTTTTCAAGAGAAAAAGTCAGCTCGGCTTCTTAATATAAAGTTCGGAAGTTTCTCGAGCTCGTACGATGCTCAGGACCCTTACGCTATGGTCATCAGATGCGCGCACCTCGCCAGAGACATGGAATATGAATACTTTGCAGTACAGAACTCTGGGGACTGTCGCACCGATGCAAAAATAGTTGACAACTACAAAACCTATGGAGAAGCCTTGCCGGATAATTGCCTGGGAGGGGTGGGTGCATCATTGACCAATTTTGTATATCGGCTAAGACCGGCGTTTAGTGGTCCAAACGTGTGCGATACCGTCCCGTGTAAGAACGAGCGTACGTGCGTGGTACATTTCAGCGATCCGAATAGGTACCGCTGTGAATGTGGCGATTGGTTCACGGGAAATAATTGCGAAGGTAAGGTCGTTATAAAAAATTGTACAAACATACAATTGTAAACAAAAGGGGAAAAAAAGAAAACACAAAGGGTTCATGATTTGGCGTTTGTTTATTGCCCAACAATCGGCAAAGTTCACAAAATACTAAATAAGCCAAGTTAAACAAATAGAGAACAAGAGTGTTTTAAAAAGATGGATTGCCTGCTACGGTTTTTTGATCCAACGAGTTTATTCAGTTTTTGGGAGGTCTTCACTTTCAACCATTAAGGGAGAAAACAGAATCTTGTCAGTTTTAGGAAACATTAATCTCAGACTCAGTAAATGAAATTCAAACGCTTCATCGAGCATTCTTTATCTGCCGGAAACACTAATATCATATTTTCATTTCTCTCCGCAGTTCAAATTTACCCGTGCGACAGCAAACCTTGCTTAAATGGCGCCACTTGTAACAACGATCCCAAAGACATCTCCAAATACAAGTGCAAATGCGCAGCCTGGTTTACTGGAACAAACTGTGAAGGTAAAAAAAAATAGGGACCCCAGGTTGTTGTGCTGAAATGAAATCTTAATCTTAATCCGGGATTGCATTGCTTATGCAACATAATCGGCCCATAAACTTGTGCGACACTCTCAACCAATCTGATGGAAAACTTAACGCAATCACGACTTGGTTACCCGCGTTTTCCTGCGGAAAGGCTGTTGGCTTATTTGTATTATGAGTTTTATTTCGCTCTGAAGAGTATTTCCTTTCTTCCGTTGGGCTGTAATAATTACTTTGGTTTTGCTTCTACGACACTAAATCGAAAAGTGCTGTAACAGTACAAAACCTTCTGTATTGTGCCATGCAAGAGCAACATCTTTTAAATTTTATTTTAGTTGCTCAAACAATTTGTGATACTGATAAACCATGTCTAAATGGAGGGCAATGTTCAAGTTCCTCAAGCAAGCCGCACAAATATTCGTGTGACTGCGGAGACTGGTTCAAAGGAATTAATTGTCAAGGCAAGTTCAGATTTTTTTCCATACAGATACTTTCTACTATGGGCACAGTGAGTTACGTTCAAGAATTATTGTGGTAGATGCCAAGAGAGAAAAACTGCTCTGCCGAGGTGGCCAACGCCCATGTATCGCTTATTTTTTGGCATAGTTTCCTGATGCTTTATCTTTTTTTAGTGTGGTAGTCTATAAAAGAGGCGTAGAACCTTTCATTTAATTGCTTACCTTTTGAGTAAAAAGGAGTCGAAATAAATTAAGAATGAATGTGCTCTATGATAGCGCCTTGGAAATTTTTTTTTTAGTTCGATTGTTCCCGTGTGACAACAAACCCTGTGTGAACGGAGCCACCTGTAGTAATGACGACCAAGATGTTTCATTGTATCACTGCCACTGTACTGATGGATACAGCGGGAAAAACTGTCAAGGTAGGAAGTTGCTAACCATTTTGATTCCTTGAAGAATTCACCGACTACATACTTTCCAACGGTGAAGACACAAGCAGATTGAGATAAGACATAGCTCAGCATCACGTTATAACTTTAAGTAACGTAATAACCATCAAGCTAAAATTTTTAGTTTCTAATAAAACAGTGAAATAATATGGCACCAAAAAATTATTTTAACTTATTTATTTCTGCAACGATTACAAAATTTTGGGGCGCAAATCCCGAGTGCGTTGCTTGGAGGTGAATAGAAAAGGATCTTCGTAGTTTGAGTAGCCAATCAAAGCACGCCTTCAGTCAACGCTGTCTTCTGTTTTAATAAATACTTAAGTGTCAGGTCTACAGGTAGGAAGTCTGACCGCCGGATCTCATCCTAATTTCTTTAAATCAAGAGACAATGAGTATTACTAACCCTTCATCATAAACTATCAATGTGATATGCAATCTTTTCTCAGTCCCTACATTTAGCAAAATCGCCTGCTTTAACACTGGTTCCAGTTTCCTCCCTGACATACTCGGTGACTTTAAGTCTCAAGTCGAAAATAATAAACAGCAAGAGGTTATCAGTGCATGCGCTGAGTTGGCGTTTGATAAAGGCTACAGGTTCTTTGCACTGGGATATAATAGCTTATGTCGATCAGGACCAAACGTAAGGGATGAGTACCACAAAGAGGGCGCCACCAGTGATAACAACTGTCCGAATGGCATCGGTGTTAATAAACGTATTGCTGTGTATACATTTGGTAAGTCACTCGCAGAGGATAAAATAAACTGTTCTGTCAATGTGGACTTCAACTGATATCGCTGCATGGATACAAAATTCACCAAAAAAAAGTCGCCAAAAGTTTTTAGAGATCTTGTAGATCTCTTATAGAGATAAATAACTAAGGTCCCTTTACTGACTTCGTGAAGTAGGTTGTGATTCTAAATAGTCGCTTCGACTACCCACTGCAAATGTCAATTTACAAGGCGATGTCTCATTGCCCATAACGCATAGTGCTTCAATGTGATTGGCTATTTTTAGGACCTCGGGCATGTTTGCGGTGGATTGATACTAACAATTATCTAAATTTTCCGATCAATTTTTTGGCGTTGACTAACACTTTTGATTGTCAAGAATTCTATGAATCATAAGCTGAGGCTTTGGCTAAGCAGTGAGATGAACATATATTCATATGGGTCTTATTTAATCAACTAATTATTTCGTTTCTGGATAAAAGCTAGGAAACATTTTTCAAATCCCTTTGTGTTCTACAGAGTTACTTCCAAAGCAAATTAGTCTGGGATGTTTTAAAGACAAAAAGTCATCTCGACTACTTAATATAAAGTTTGGGAGTTTCTCGAGTTCATATGATGCACAGAATCCATACCAGATGGTCATCAGATGTGCTCACCTCGCCCGAGATATGGACTATGAATACTTTGCAGTGCAGAGCTCTGGCGACTGTCGAACAGACTTAGATATTGTCGAAAACTACAAAACCTATGGGGAGGCCTCTCCAGACAAGTGCCAGGGAGGAGTGGGTGCATCACAAACCAACTACGTATACAGGCTGAGACCTGCTTTTACTGGTCCAAACGTGTGCGATACTGTACCATGCAAGAACGGAGGGACATGCGTGGTGCATTTTAATGATCCGGATAAGTACTACTGCGAGTGCGGCAGTTTTTTTCATGGAGACAAATGTGAAAGTGAGTATTCCAGACAATGGAGGAAAAATAAAAAACGCTAATCCAAATTAGTTCAATTTTATTGACGGCACTAACGGGCTGACCCACTGATTGTCTAACTGACTGATTCTGATTGGCAAATTGCTTGACTGACAGAGAGACCGACTGAGTGGCTTAACTAAGGATTTGATTAAATTTTGTTGTCTCTAAGGAACTCTTTATATAACAAGTGGACAGGCCTCGACGACATCTGAAACCTCCTATTATTATCATTCCCATAATAAGCAATTATTATGCCGAGGTCTGAGTTATCTGCCAGAACCGAAGTCTGAGGCAGATAACACACGAGGTTCAATAACTCATGATATCATGCAAACACGGAATTCAATAATTATCTTATCATACATATTTTACACAATTATTGATATGGTTAACATTATTTTCCTTTACGTACCGTTAACTACTGATCTCAACTCAGCAATTTCTTCTGCCTTTGCCTTTCAGGAGCAGTAAAAACGTAAACGTGTAACTTTATGGCTTCCGATATCTTTATTTGAAAGTCTATCATGATCCAATGTCAAATGATTTTTTCTTTTATATAGTCAATATCCTGAAGAGTGCGTAGAGAGATCAGTATGGGTGTTAGGAATTTATGTACAATAATAAAATGATGTGCAAAGATAGTTTCTAATCTGTTACCTTTGATGAGAAGAAGATCCTGTTCGTTACATTTTTGGAATTTTAAGCCCAGCCGCGACGTGAATAGAAAATGAAAGTATTCATCTAACGTAAAGATCGGCATTGAAAGTCCAACGAAGAATCTAATAGAAATATTGCATACTGTCATAAGTCCATTCTGTCTGGCTTACGGTTTTCATAACTTCAATCTGCAAAAGGGGAAATAGAGGTGGTATGCATTAAGTTACAGCAGTTTCCCTCTTTAGCCTGGGATTTGCAAACTTTTTTTTATAGAGAAAAAAAGTGGAGTTCGATATATATGGGGGCGCAGAATTGTAAATTTTATTTTCGAACTTTAAAATCCATAAGTGAGGGCACGAGGCTGATATTCGTGCAGAACGAGGAAACAAACTTGATATTCCCGCCCGACTCACTGCATTTCTCAGCTGGTTCCTAATTAGAAATGAAAAAAGGAAGTGATAACGATAGTCACCAATCAAGTGTCCTGAACCAGATCGTGATAAATCAGCTTGCCTCTTTCCGACACAGAAATTATCAAAACCATTTACATAGCTACAGGATTCTAATAAAAAGGGAAATAACAATATAAAAGAATTCTAAGAGAGAGAAGCAAATCCTGCCCCGTCTGTTTTCGCCACGTCGGGCAATTCCTTTCCAAGTCCTTTTCACCAAAATAGCTCGAGTAGGCTTGGGGAGTGCGCTTTTTGATGGGTAATGAGACCGCATGTGAGCGGAAATGACTTATAATCGCTAGCTAGTTGTCGAACCCATCTTTTTTTTGGTGTAACTTTTATCGATCACTCGCGAACTTCGCCCCCATGTCAAATATATTCAATTAGACTCAAGAGTTCAGATCTTCTGCATACAATGCCCTCATCTATACTCAACTCCAACAGCTGTTTAAACACTTGCGTCTTAGGTATAATTGAGATCTTTGTAATGATAAGTCCCTGTATATGTGTGCATGCCTACTGCCGGCTTCCTTAATACCTCAAATCTTTTAGCAAATATCAAAGCTTTGTAGATGTCATCTTAAACGCATTGAATACTGTTTGTTTGCTTTTCTTCAGATCAAATATTCCCGTGCGACAGCAATCCGTGCCAAAATGGCGCCACTTGTAAAAACGATCCTAAAGACATTTCCAAATACAACTGTCAGTGTGCAAACTGGTTTACTGGGATAAACTGTCAAGGTAATTGTAACGTTAAGTCCGCTTATTTTACTTAAAATTTAGAATACATGGGTCATTCCTAAACTAACGTTTAAGGTACCCAACTAATATTAAAGGCCCCGATAGCTCCAAGGGTGAATAACGCTTTGCACTAGATAAATCTCTTGGCGGATAGTACGGTACACTATTCTGCTGGGACACTAATCCGCGTGATCCATAGCAAGTTCTACCTTGGATGGCGCAATCTGTCCTTTGAACAACTGGCCCGCTATAATAGATTTCAATGGTCAGAATACATCATTACAGGAATACAGGCTCCGTTAGCTCGAAGGGTGGATAACGCTATGTAATAGATAAATCTCTCGGCGGATAGCGCAGTAAATGTTTCTGTTGGGACACTTGTCCGCTAGATTGACAGCAATTTATTCCTTGAACAACTTGCCTCTTATAATAGATTTTAAAGGTCAAAATATAGGAAGTCTAAGACAAATATTGGTTTTCCCTTTTAATAGTATCATTTTTATTATGTAAGACCCTTGTCACTTTGCAATGTAACAATGCACTTTTCATACAGGGAACGATTCCAGCGGTTAAGTCTAAAACAATGCCTAATCCGGCAGAAATTAGTTTGTCCATGTGGTACAGTGTGCTCGGATTCTTCTTTAACTTAGAATTCTGACAGATGTTATGAAACAAATTTTCCTCTAATATCTTTCAAGTGCAACTCCGTCTATAAATCACTAAATTGTAAACCGTTTGGTATGTTACGCTGTCTTATATCAGTTCCATCTTTATGGCGATGATTTTTTTCAGTTGCACAGACCATTTGTGATACTGATAAACCATGCCTTAATGGATTAAACTGTTCAAGCAACACAAGCAGCCCTGCTCAATACAATTGCGATTGCGGAGACTGGTTCAAAGGCAAAAATTGCGAAGGTATTTCTTTAAGACTCGGTTCTGTCTCCTGTATAACGATCTAACGTCCTGTTACGGTTTAGCCGCTGTGTAAATACCTCTTTTTTAAATATGAATGGGTTTGAAGTTAAACTGCTTAAGTAAAAGATTTTTAATAATGAGAAATATTTAAAATTGCCATCTATTAACTATACCCTGTCAAAAAAGTTCCATAGCTTGATTTTATTCCGTTGTTAAAGTTCGTCTATTCCCGTGTGACAACAAACCCTGTGTGAACGGAGCCACCTGTGTGAATGACGACCAAGATGTGTCACTGTATCACTGTCACTGCACTGATGAATACAGCGGGAAAAACTGTCAGGGTAAGAAAAAATCTAAGTATTTGTCCAATGTCTTTTATTTAGCGCATATGTGTTGATTATAGTGGTACCAGGTTGGCTGATCGGCAAGTGTATGTCATCTCTTCCTAGTTCCTTCTTACAGCAAAATCGCCTGCTTCAACACTGGTTCCAGTTCCCTCCCTGACATACTCGGTGACTTTAAGTCCCAAGTCGCAGAAAATAAGCATCAAGGGGTTATCAGCGCATGTGCTGAGTTGGCGTTTGATAAAGGCTACAAGTTCTTTGCACTGGGATATAATGGCGTATGTAGATCGGGACCGAACGCCCGGGATGACTACCACAAAGAAAGCGCCACCAGTGATAACAATTGTCCAAATGGTATCGGTGTCAATAAATGCATTGCAGTCTACACCTTCGGTGAGTTATTTCTTTCAAGATTGACTTTTGATCGGTTTATACAGCAATGTAATTTACCGCCACCTAGTAAGCTTCATTCAGGGGTCACCGAGTTGCAACGCAGAAAATCTTCATGATAAAATACATTGAGCTCTTATTTTTATTATCTCTGGAACTGGTAGCTGTCAACGAGATAAAAGCTCCATTCTTTAACCAGTTCAAGTCCGATCACGTACTGCTCGCCAGGGACAGTAGTTATTTCTCTATCTTATATAATTTTCCCACTAGTCTTTGATTCCGGCTTGCCTTACAGAAACTACTCCCAAAACGAATATCTCTTGGATTTTTTGAGGATTATTTTACTGAAAGTTATCTCAACTGCTCAAAATTAAGCGTAGAAATTTTCTTATGTACACGATGTAATGAACCCGGAGGTCATCAGAGGCGTCTATCTTGCACATCTAAAATTACGCTGACCTTACTGAATAATTGTATCTCAGTGTTCATATTTACTTTGCTTTTAGAACTACTTCCAAAGCAAATTAGTCTAGGATGTTTCAAAGATAAAAAGTCATCTCGACTACTTAATATAAAGTTTGGGAGTTTCTCGAGTTCATATGATGCACAGAATCCATACCAGATGGTCATCAGATGTGCTCACCTCGCCCGAGATATGGACTATGAATACTTTGCAGTGCAGAGCTCTGGCGACTGTCGAACAGACTTAGATATTGTCGAAAACTACAAAACCTATGGGGAGGCCTCTCCAGACAAGTGCCAGGGAGGAGTGGGTGCATCACAAACCAACTACGTATACAGGCTGAGACCTGCTTTTACTGGTCCAAACGTGTGCGATACTGTACCATGCAAGAACGGAGGGACATGCGTGGTGCATTTTAATGATCCGGATAAGTACTACTGCGAGTGCGGCAGTTTTTTTCATGGAGAGAAATGTGAAAGTGAGTATTCCAGACAATGGAGGAAAAATAAAAAACGCTAATCCAAATTAGTTCAATTTTATTAACAGCATTGACGGGCTGACCCACTAATTGTCTAACTGACTGATTCTGATTGGCAAATTGCTTGACTGACAGACAGACCGACTGAACGGCTTAACTAAGGATTTGATTAAATATTGTTGTCTCTAAGGAACTCTTAATGCAACAAGTGGACAGGCCTCGACGATACCTGAAACCTCCTATTATTATCATTCTCATAATAAGCAATTATTATGCCGAGGTCTGAGTTATCTGCCAGAACCGAAGTCTGAGGCAGATAACACACGAGGTTCAATAACTCATGATATCATGCAAACACGGAATTCAATAATTGTCTTAGCATATATATTTTACACAATTATTGATATCGTTAACATTATGTTCCTTTACGTACTGTTAACTACTGATCTCAACTCAGCGATCTCTTCTGCCTTTGCCTTTCAGGAACAGTAAAAACGTAAACGTGTAACTTTATGGCTTCCGATATCTTTAGTTGAAAGTCTATCATGATCCAATGTCAAATGATTTTTTCTTTTATATAGTCAATATCCTGAAGAGTGCGTAGAGAGATCAGTATTGGTGTTAGGAATTTATGGACAATAATAAAATGATGTGCAAAGATAGTTTCTAATCTGTTACCTTTGATGAGAAGAAGATCCTGCTCGTTTCATTTTTGGAATTTTAAGCCCAGCCGCGACGTGAATAGGAAATGAAAGTATTCATCTAACGAAAAGATCGGCATTGAAAGTCCAACGAAGAATCTAATAGAAATATTGCATACTGTCATAAGTCCATTCTGTCTGGCTTACGGTTTTCATAACTTCAATCTGCAAAAGGGGAAATAGAGGTGGTATGCATTAAGTTACAGCAGTTTCCCTCTTTAGCCTGGGATTTGCAAACTTTTTTTATAGAGAAAAAAAGCGAAATTCGATTTATATGGGGGTGCAGAATTGTAAATTTTATTTTCGAACTTTAAAATCCATAAGTGAGGGCACGAGGCCGATATTCGCGCAGAACGAGGAAACAAACTTGATATTCCCCCCCGACCCACTGCATTTCTCAGCTGGTTCCTAACTAGAAATGAAAAAAGGAAGTGATTACGATAGTCACCAATCAAATGTCCTGAACCAGATCGAGATAAATCAGCTTGCCTCTTTCCGACACGGAAATTATCAAAACCATTTACATAGCTACAGGATTCTAATAAAAAGGGAAATAACAATATAAAAGAATTCTAAGAGAGAGAAGCAAATCCTGCCCTGTCTGTTTTCGCCACGTCGTGCAATTCCTTTCCAAGTCCTTTTCATAAAAAAAGCTCGAGTAGGCTTGGGGAGTGCGCTTTTTGATGGGTAATGAGACCGCATGTGAGCGGAAATGACTTATAATCGCTAGCTGGTTGTCGAACCCATCTCAATTTGGTGTAACTTTTATCGATCACTCGTGATCTTCGCCCCCGTGTCAAATATATTAAATTAGACTCAAGAGTTTAGATCTTCTGCATACAATGCCCTCATCTATACTCAACTCCAACAGCTGTTTAAACACTCGCGTCCTAGGTATAATTGAGATCTTTGTCATGATAAGTCCCCGTATATATGCGCATGTCTACTGCCGGCTTCCTTAATACCTCAAATCTTTTAGCAAATTTCAAAGCTTTGTAGATGTCATTTTCAGCACATTGAATATTGTTTGTTTGCTTTTTTTCAGATCAAATATTCCCGTGCGACAGCAATCCGTGCCAAAATGGCGCCACTTGTAAAAATGATCCTAAAGACATTTCCAAATACAACTGTCAGTGTGCAAACTGGTTTACTGGGATAAACTGTCAAGGTAATTGTAACGTTAAGTCCGCTTATTTTACTTAAAATTTAGAATACATGGGTCATTCCTAAACTAATGTTTAAGGTACCCAACTAATATTAAAGGCCCCGATAGCTTCAAGGGTGAATAACGCTTTGCACTGGATAAATCTCTTGGCGGATAGTACGGTACATTATTCTGCTTGGACCCTTATCCGCGTGATCCATAGCAAGTTATGCCTTGGATGGCGCAATCTGTCCTTTGAACAACTGGCCCGCTATAATAGATTTCAATGGTCAGAATAAATCAATACAGGAATACAGGCTCCGTTAGCTCGAAGGGTGGATAACGCTATGTAATAGATAAATCTCTCGGCGGATAGTGCAGTAAATATTTCTGTTGGGGCACTTGTCCGCTAGATCGACAGCAATTATTCCTTGAACAACTTTCCTCTTATAATAGATTTTAAAGGTCAGAATACAGGAAGTCTAATACAAATATTGGTTTTCCCTTTCAATGGCATCATTTTTATTATGTAAGACCCTTGTCACTTTGCAATGTAACAATGCAATTTTCATACAGGGAACGATTCCAATTGTTAGGTCTAAAAAAATGCCTAATCCGGCAGAAATCAGTTTGTCCACGTGGTACAGTGTGCTCGGATTTTTCTTTAACTTAGAATTCTGGCAGATGTTATGAAACAAATTTTCCTCAAATATCTTTCAAGTGCAATTCCTTCTTTGAATCTCTAAATCGTAAACCGTTCGGAATGTTACGCTTTCTTATATCAGTTCCTTCTTTATGGCGATGATTTTTTTTCAGTTGCGCAGACCATTTGTGATACTGATAAACCATGCCTTAATGGATTGAACTGTTCAAGTAACACAAGCAGCCCTGCTCAATACAATTGTGATTGCGGAGACTGGTTCAAAGGCGAGAATTGCGAAGGTATTATTTTAAGACTCGGTTCGTCTCCTATATAATGACCTACAATCCTGTTACAGTTTAGCCGCTGTGTGAATACCTCCTTTTGAAATATGAAACTGTTCGAAGTTAAACTGCTTAAATAAAAGAATTGAAATTATCATCAGTGTTATAAATAGTTCTCAATGAATATGTCGCCTGCCACGAAAGTCTCATAGCTTTATGTTTATTCAATTGTCACAGTTCGTCTATTCCCGTGTGACAACAAACCCTGTTTGAACGGAGCCACCTGTGCCAATGACGATGAAGATGTATCATTGTATCACTGTCACTGTACTGACGGCTACAGCGGGAAAAACTGTCAAGGTAGGAAAAAAAATTCCCATCTGTCCAATGCTTTTTGTATAGTCAGCGCACAAATGCTGATTATGGTGGTTCTTGGTTGGCTAATCGACAAGGATATGTCATCTCTTCCTAGTTCCTATTTACAGCAAAATTGCCTGCTTTAACACCGGTTCCAGTTCCCTCCCTGACATACTCGGTGACTTTAAGCCCCAAGTCGCAGAAAATAAGCATCAAGGGGTTATCAGTGCATGTGCTGAGTTAGCGTTTGATGAAGGCTACAAGTTCTTCGCACTGGGATATAATGGCATATGTAGATCGGGTCCGAACGCCCGGGATGAGTACCACAAAGAAAGCGCCACCAGTGATAACAATTGTCCGAATGGTATCGGTGTCAATAAACGTATTGCAGTCTACACCTTCGGTGAGTTAATTCTTTCAAGATTGACTTTTGATCGGTTTATATAGCAATGTAATTTTATTGCCACCTAGTAAGCTCCATTCATGGGTCGCCGAGTTGCAACGCAGAAAATCTTCATGATAAAAAACAGTGAACTCTTATGTTAACCATCTCAAAAACAGGTAATTGTCAATGAGAATAAAGCTGCATTCTTTAGCCTGTCCAGGTCCGATCATTGACTGTAGTTATTTCTGTACCTTGTATACTTTTCCTACTAGATAGTCTTTGATTCCGGCTTGCCTTGCAGAAACCACATCCAAAACGAATATCTCTTGGATGTTTCAAGGATTAGTTTGATAAAAGTTACCTCGACTGCTCAAAATTGAGCCTAGCAGTTTCCTTATTGTCACGATGTATTGAACCCGAACATCATCAGAGGCGTCCATCTTACACATCTAAAATTGCGCTGACCTTACTGAATAACTGTATCTCAGTGTTAATATTTACTTTTACTTTCAGAACTACTTCCAAAGCAAATTAGTCTGGGATGTTTTAACGAGAAAAAGTCATCTCGACTTCTGAACGTAAAGTTTGGAAGTTTCTCGACCTCGTACGATGCACAGAATCCATACGAGATGGTCATCAGATGCGCGCACCTCGCCCGAGATATGGACTATGAGTATTTTGCAGTGCAGGACTTTGGCGACTGTCGCACAGATGTAAAATTAGTTGAAAATTATAAATCCTATGGAGAAGCCTCCCCAGACAAGTGCCAGGGAGGGGTGGGTGCATCCCAAACCAACTACGTATACCGATTGAGACCAGCGTTTACTGGCCCGAACGTGTGCGATACTGTACCATGCAAGAACGGGGGAACCTGCGTGGTGCACTTCAGTGATTCCAGCAGGTACTATTGTAATTGCGGAGAATGGTTTGTTGGTAATAACTGCGGAGGTAAGATATGTGAAGTATTTCAGGCGGGGTAAATAAAAACTGTTAGGTAGACTCTTCCCCCACTTCCTCAGTGATCTCTTTCTCAGGATATCAGAAATATTTGAAATGGCATATTTTTTCGATCTAGCCTTTTCCTTCCAAATCTTTAACCTCTGACTTTCGCCATTCCTGCCGAGGTTCATGCTTGTTTTTTAGGTCAGGTAACGTCTGTGTCAAGAGGCCAACCCAGCCAATTTTCATCCCGGTTTCCATAGAATTAAGCAAGTAGATAGATGGTATGTTATGGGTTACCCCAACATATCATCAGACTACCCTCACAATTCAGCGGTACCCATTTATACTCGTGGGTGGAGAGAAGCACTCTGAGACACTGTGAGAGAAACTCCGTATCATTTTTTTTTTACTATGAAAATATCACATACATGAGAATTTTCCCTGTTGATAATGTACATGAAAAAATTACGCGCTCCTGCTTGGCTGAAAACGAGTGCATTCTCATGTAACACGAAAGCAAAGTTGTAACACGAGCGCAAATTACAAATAGCACGCGCACGCTCTAAACATTTCGTCTGTCTTTGCCCTTCATGGTGTTCTTTCATGTACACTATTAAAAAGTAGTAACATGATTTTATGTGCAATTTGGTGTAATAAGCAGTTGTAAATTTTTCTTAGACTGCAGATTGAACTTGCCCTACGGACTCATGCAATTTTACTCTCTTTGAAAAATTTACTCGCTCTATTAACACCAAACTGAGTTCGATTAGTGTTTAGGGGCTTTGCTAAACTTTAGTTTAATTCTTATTGACAGTGCAAATTTATCCGTGCGACAGCAATCCTTGTCAAAATGGCGCCACTTGTGGCAACGATCCCCACAACATTTCCAAATACAAGTGTCAGTGCGCAGACTGGTTCACCGGGGCAAACTGTCAAGGTACCTGTATCACTAAGTCAGCTCATTGTTGACAAAAATTCATTCTTCGCATAGTGTTCTCAGTTTCATGTTGGTTTGGGAAACTATACTTGTCCTGTTATTCTACTCTCTTAATCAAATAACACTTCTGATTTTGTTGCTTTTGAAATTGGGGTTTGTGTCGACAAGTCAAGCCTTTAGGCAATCTACATATTCCTGGTAACAGTGCTACGTTTTTTTCTCCTGTTGTTAGTTTCTCAAACCATTTGTGACACCGGAAAGCCGTGTTTGAATGGCAGAAAATGTTTAAGTAGCACAAAAAGTCCGGAGCAATACAAATGCGACTGTGGAGATTGGTTCAAGGGCAAGAATTGCGAAGGTATAATATGATCACTTGAGATCGTTTTCTGTCGTTTTTGGTTTAATTTCTTTAAGAAACACTTGAAACAAATGAAGAGTAAAAGTAATCGGCACAATTGCAATGATTATGCAAGTATATGCAATATGCGATGGCCTCGTGTTGTAACCGTATATCATCGGAGTCCTTAGGCAAACCACGACGGCAACGGCAACAAAAGCGCGGTAAATTAAATAATTAAATGGGAAAACCAATTAGCTCAGCGCGTGCTTTTTAAAACGTTTTACGTTTTCAGCCATCCTTTGCAAAAAGACAATATGAAATCTCCAAAATTTGCATGGTCTGAGGACTATTTAAGCCTCCAGTGTGAAATTCAATGCTTTTCACGAATGTGATGCTAAAGTTGAAGCGAGGCGCCGTAAACGACGGTAAACACATCCAGAGATTCGCATTATTATAACTATAAATATAAATTCAATTTTCGATCGAAGTCTTCCTCGGATTTCCGTTCTGATTGCTTAAGTTCCCCAGAGACCATAAAGACCAGAACCTTTGCAAAATTGAAATTCTCTTCCAGTCTTTCGATGAAAATGGATATATGCAGAGCTTGACGGATTTAAAGTATTCTTCAACCAACCCTTTTTACAACCTTTACTAAAGAGCTAGAGCGTATTTAGACTTTCTATCTGTAACAGCAAAAGCGTCATCTTTTCAACTCGAAATGTTTCCTATTTACGCAGTAGCAGAAGCACTAGTAGTAGTAGTAGTGGTAGTCGTAGGTTGAAACTAAAAATAGATAATAGGTAATTTAACTAACTAATATAAACAAATTAAACGCAAAAAATGACTACAAACGAAGCGAAACGGAAAAATACTAACACTGATAACACCTAATATATAACTGCAAAAATCGAATAACTTGAAGACGTACGCTAAGCGCCACTTAACTCAAACTGATTTTAAAAAGTGATAATGCGTAAAAGAAACTGGCTTTAAATACAAGAGGACTGCGAAATAACGTGTGGTATGAGAAACATGCGAAGAGGTGTAACTGACGAAGAAAAACGTTCACAAACTTAACAAAAAAAACACGAACGAGGAGGTGTGAAAAAATAAATAAACAATTATATACGAATTACGCGAAAAAACAATTAGCAAGGGCTTAGATCTTACGCTACCTTAAGAATATTGTTTGAAGCGAGGGCTATGACTCAATTGAAGTCGTAACTTAATACCAAAGATGCAGATATAAGTTGCAGCTATTTACTAATTTATACTAATGTTGATGTTTTTAGTTCGACTTTTCCCGTGTGATAACAAACCCTGTGTGAACGGAGCCACCTGTGCTAATGACGACCAAGATGTGTCATTGTATCACTGTAACTGCACTGACGGCTACAGCGGGAAAAACTGTCAAGGTAGGAAAAAATTGCACTTGATGTTTCATTATCGTCACACCTTAGCTGATTACAAGATTGTTTTTTATTTTTCTAGTTCCCGCTTTCAGCAAAATCGCCTGTTTTAACACTGGTTCCAGTTATCTCTCTGACGTACTTGGTGACTTTAAGTCCCAAGTTGCAGATAAAAAGTATCAAGTGGTTATCAGCACATGCGCTGAGTTGGCGTTTGATAAAGGCTACCAGTTCTTTGCACTGGGATATAATGGCTTATGTCGATCAGGACCAAACGCCCGGGATGAGTACCACAAAGAGGGCGCCACCAGTGATAACAACTGTGTGAATGGCATTGGTATCAATAAACGTATCGCTGTTTACACTTTTGGTGAGTTCCACGTTGATAACATTTGTTTAACCGTAAGTGACAACATTTGTCAGAATGGCGTTGGTATTGGTAAACTTATTGCTGTCTACACAATTGATGAGACACTTGCATTTGAAACAGAAGTTGGCTTAGTTTTTTATTATCGTTTCCATAAAAGAACTCACGCCTATCTCAAACGGGAGGCGAGAGAGCTTAGAGAGCTAAAACAGCGGCGAAAAAGCGATTTTCTCTCTCCAAAATCCTTTTTTTTTTACGTAGAGACAACCTTTCGCCATATCTTTCTCCCTGGCGAGGGAGAAATGTTGGCCTCGTGGCGATCCCAGAAATCTTTGCGCAAACACAAGGATTCGATCATTGGCAACTCAGTCATCCAGTAAAGATTGCCTTCCATTAAGAATCTGGGGGTAACGTCAACGCTTTTTCCCTCTTGCTACGTTCTTATCAGCCTTGAAGCTTGCTCGACATCGTCAGAATGATTTAGTTATCATCCTATTCGTTACACAAACACGTGCCTTTTTTTTTTCTCCTAGAACTGCTCCCAAAACAGATTCCTCTTGGATGCTTTAAAGAGAAAAGATCCTCCTCCTCCCGACTGCTCAGTGTAAAGTTTGGGAGTTTCTCGAGCTCATACGATGAACAGGATCCTTACGCAATGGTCATCAGATGCACGCACCTTGCCCGAGACATGGACTATGAATACTTTGCGGTTCAGAACTTTGGTGACTGTCGCACAGATTCGAAAATAGTCGACAACTATAACACGTATGGAGTTGCAACTCCAGACAAGTGCCTGGGAGGAGTTGGTGCATTGCTGACCAATTATGTATATCGGCTAAGACCAGCGTTCATAGGTTCAAATGTGTGCGATACTGTACCGTGTAAGAATGGTGGGACATGCGTTGTGCATTTCAATAATCCGGATAAATATCACTGTGAGTGCGGAAGTCTCTTTGCAGGGGACAATTGTGAAAGTAAGTGTTATTTTGAAACGCACGTAAATTAATCTTCTTTATCATATTAATAATACTGGAAACGTCTACAAAGTATATTTTGTTTGTACTGACGACTGGCGAGCTGACACATTGACTCTTGTTGACAGACAGAGTGATTGGGACAATTAAGTGAAAATAATAAGAAACTAGCATTGCTGGTATCGTTGCATTTGCTTGAACTAGTAGTTGGTAGCTAAAAAACTTCCTGCATTCTACTAAACTTAACTTGACTATTTTTCCTTCCTTGCTAGGTGCATTAATAAAGTAAACACATGCCGCTGGTTTGGCGAAGACAGACACCCCTAGCTAGTTTAATTGGATTGTAAATTTACATTCTTAGCCACAACAAATTGAATTGCCTTATATTAATTTTTATCAGAGTGAATTTAAAGAAACCTTTACGTCATTAATCGTTGATCGATCCGTAAAGAAACCCGCGAAGAACACTTGAGGACACTTGAAGAAATATGACCGCAGTTCGAGGGAAATATAGGAGTAAACGAAGAGATGTAGTACATCAATCCGCATAATATAATTATTAGTTTAAATTGTAATGAAAAAAAAATTAAACTTGACCCTTGTTATATCATCACAAAATTCAGCTGATTCAAGTTCTTCCGAAACCCTCCATTTTCCTCTCCTTTTAAATTCCCAATTATCATTCTCCATGAAAGATACAGCATTCGAACGCATGTGTGAAAGATCTGGGAAGGGTCGCAAATAGAAAAATAAAATGGCGGTGTCTCATTTTCTTCTTGTATTCGAGGTCCATAATGAGCCATGATCATTTTTTTCTTGAATTCGCGGTCCATGATCAGTCATTATGTTAAAATTCTCACTTTTAATTTACATAGTTTCACATGCATATTACGTATGGTTCTTTATTTCAAAAGTTTGTCCGATGGTAAAGCATTTCTGCTTACTCGCGATCGTACATTACCTTAAAACTACTTATGTCATAAAGCAAGCTACAGCTGTAAGTTTGGAGAAAGATATCGTCTATAGTGTGAGACAAAGAAAAATTCCCACGAGGAATCGACCTAATAGTGAGTAAAATAGAGCCACTTTAACTTTGTTTTGTAGTAAAATCAACCTCGATCAAGTGATCATTCGTGTAAAACAACTTTACATTTTCCTTTCATTCGTTCTATTTATCTGTCAGTGTTACTAATTTTGATCTCTCTTAAAAGAGTATTTGAATAAAGAAAGATCTGACTCTTGTATGAAAACAACTGACTCCAACTGAAACAAATTGACTTCTTTTGTGAAAAATTGTGACCGTTCTTTCGCACGCTTTTTTCTCGAAGAAATTGAGCATTAAACGAATTGACCGATTACCGAGACGCTCAGTTCATTAGTTACTTAGGAACCTCATAAATAAATCAATTTTTTTGCAGATTGCTTGTCCCTTTCACACCAGATGTCAATCTTTTATAAGATTGGTGAGACATGGACATTGATTTGACTGGAAACTGAGCTGAGCAAATACAGGCGTGTGCATGTCATGTAACTCAACTGGCATCGGGGTTCATTGTGTGTCGGAATCAACCACGGTTTAAATTTCTTCGCAGGCTGAGAAGTACTTCTCGTTATAAAGCACGGTGGGTTTGATAATTATGGTCGACTTTGATTTACAAATTTAATTTAGCGTTCAAAGGAGTCATGGTTTCAAGATTTTTTGGCAAGTAGGGCAGACACTCTTTAAAGCGGTAAGCTAAACTTCTTGCTGCAAGGTCAATGCTAAAAAAATACTCTACAGATCAAGTCGTTTCACACATTCCCTTAGGGCTTCAGCTCTTGCCACAGGAACGAGCACTCAGAATTATATGCTACCTCACCTTTCCCAGGGGATGATCGCTAACAGGCGCCTCAAATTTTAAAGGCATCTATAGTCATTTCGGCGTGTTACGTTACATGAAATAATACCTTGACTCAAGTGAATTCTGGTCTTGTCTAATTGCGAATAAAAAGTGATTCACAGTTTTGGTGGCAGTACTATGCACTAATATGTCTACACTCTCTGAAGCAGAGTGGCACTTCTACTGGTCTCCTAAAACGGACTTTTACCTAAAATGTATATGAGAGTATGTACAGTGAGCATAAGCAAACTTCCGTTCGACAAACCGCATTTACATCTCATTCTTTCATCTTTAATCTTTGATAGACGAAAACGAACTTCGGTCAGAATACAAACATGCAATTTCTACTCCACAGAAAACGTATAGTTAACTTAGTAATATAACAGCTCAGAAACTTTCGCAAAACCTCTAAAGAAAATCCTTACGCTCTGCATAGCCTGAATGCTTTTTTGCACAGACAATGAGAGAAGCAATTTTCTAACACAAACTTTTCTGACAGAGTCTTAAAATAAGGTAGGAACGTTAACTAAAGAAGTGGCGTTAAATTTTTCTCCGTCTATATTCGTTGTGACTTGTTCGAATTAAAATGCCGAAGTAATATTTTTTTTCAAATTTTGTTGAAGCAATACTTTCGGTCTAAACTTAAGTAAAACAAAAAGTTCTTAACGAGTTAATTAGCGCATGACATCAGTCAAGTGAATTGCTTTCACAAAGAAATTTTTCTGTCTCCTTAGAGACCTGAGAACGTATTTATATATGGAAACTGTCGGCAGTTAATGAGAGTCTCAGAAATGGAAACAGTTTGACACTTACTTATGAAAGTGGTATAGACAACGTAAATATTTGCCGTCAAGTTATGACCTAGACTGATTTCAAAAGAGTAATAATTTTGCAAAAATATCTGAATAGGACACGGAACACGCTTCTCACCGAAAAAAATTTTGAAAATGCACGGAACGTACGGCAAAAGCCACAGTTCTTTAAAATACACTGCGGGAACAAGTCCTACCTTATTCCTAAGGAGCTGCTGTCGTATAGATTTCTATGTATGCGCAGCTGCAAGCTGCCAATTCCCGTCTTTTTTTTAGCTGCGAGTTCTGAAAACTGTTTTCTCGTTCCATCTCGACTGAGGAAGACCTTTTATAGCTCATAACAAAAAGTAAATATGATAAACAATACTCTGTACTAGTTTCGAAAAACAATGAGTTTGTAGCTTTTTCAAGCGACGAAATTAGATTTGGATTTCATGATACATCATTCCCAGACGCGATACAAATTATATATGGCCGGGAAAACAAAACAGTGAATTGTCTTCTTTACAACGGTTAATGTTATTAAGTATTAATATGTCCCAAAAGTATCGTTCATTTGAAGAATTCGTTTTAAAATTTTGCAGTTTTCAGAATTTCTGGTCGTAAAATCTAATAAACAACAGTTCAAGCATGGTAAATCCTTCCACAAGGGTCTCTTAAATGCAAGAAATTTGTACGTTTTTCTCTTTGTTTAACGAACGATAAATATTATTTTTAAGATGGGATATGACTTGAAAGTATTGTTTAATAACGTTTTTAATTTAAAAGTCGTACAATTTAAGAATTTTCAAAATTTCCAAAACAAACCTACGCAATTTTCTGACGGTGAATTCTAGTAAAACAACGACTCAAACAGGCTGAATCAAGTAGCGGTCTCCTACATGCAAGAAATGCTTAAAGTTTACAATTCTTTGAATAATGCTTTGGTCTCTAAATATTTCTTGGTCGTTTTTGCCTTGTCGTTTATGGGTAATTACCTAGAAAACCCGACAAAGTTGTTATAAATTCTCTTTGCATGCACAACTTCGAGTATAACTTTCGTGCAAAACTCTTATGCTATACGCAACTTGCTAATCACAAAGGTCGGTAAATTCTATTGAAATGTTTATTCATCTCCCTAAGGTTGGATGTTCACTGTTTTTGTTTTCCAAATTCGAAAGAAAGTGCACGAAAAGCTATGAACTTTCAAAATAGGCTCCCACGAGCCAAATTCTGATGTGAGTAACATGGAGCAAAATCAGCTTCATTACCATCATCTCAACTTCAAGGAGTTTCCATACCATCATGAGAAATGATAAAATATAAAATCCATGTCTGCCCTGTTAAAATAGAGCTGCTTAATATTGCCGGTAAACTGGATTGATGCTAGAACCAAAAACACTTTGCCACATTCTTATGTTTAAACGCGTGGGAACTACCTCATGAACAACATAGACTGATCTGAGTTTGGTAATGATGAACTCGACCCATGAAAGTAGCTTAATGGTATCCGTAAGATAACCTTAGCCCTACACCGCCATTTGTACTCTTTCTGGTAGATCCGTTCGTCGACCTATTTTTGAGTAGTGTTCACGGTTTTTTTCAGGAAATGAGAATTGCTCACTTTGCATTCCGTGAATTGCGAAATGTCCGTAGGTTTCAATGCGAAACGTGCTCTGGACACCTCTTAGTTTTTGTTTAAGGCGCCATTTTTATCACTGAATAGTGGTTAGACACCCCATTAGCAGAAGAGCTGAATGTAAGGAAATTTGAAAAAGGCCCCATAGAGACGCCTCCTCAGAATTCACATTGTAACGTATGGATATTTATAACATTAACGCTGAGAGCATAAATCTAGACTGTATTTGACAGGTTGCACCACGGCTCTGGTACGTACTTGACTCATCCATTTACCATAGTGTATTTTAAAATTCGAGAGCAAGTTTAAAATGCTATTCATGAATCTAAAGGCATAAGAGTTGTAAACCTTCACTGGTCACCTTTAAAGATGAGCTCATTCAGCTTTGATAAACCTGCTCGTTCATTTTAGGAAGTTTATTATACAGTATGGAATCAAATGTAGCACAGCAGGCGTTGTGTGCGTCACCAGATATTACTCAGCTGCCAGGATTGTCATTTCAATATCAGGTTTTTAACAACAAAATCTGCGTTCAAGAACGGATTTTTTTATTTAGAATTTATATTTAGTGATAGCTTGAGAAGAAGGAAATAGTCTATCATACAATATTTCCTGTGTCCTTAGCTTATGACAGATATTTAATATGGCACACAAAAAAAAAAGGTGCTAAATTTTAAGCTCCGTCTTCGCATGAAAAAAATAATTAACATTTTTTTTTCCGGAGAGTTAAACAAAGAAGAAAAACCGAGGAATCATTATGAGAAATCGAACCCAGACCTTAGGATTTTGCGCTCCTTTGCTTTATCTCTGAGAAGCAGAAAACTTAGTGGTGAACAAGGCCATTGCAAAGTTCATGTGTGACCAGCGTCCTGGAAACTAACGACAACGAACACCAATGTCGATAACGTCGAGTGAGTCAGTGAGTGGAGTCAGAAAAGGATGATAAATTATGAGCTTAGTCGTTGTCACTCAAAATGTCACATCACTTTTAATCTGTCTTCGCAAAAAACTTTGTTGTTGAAGCGACGCGATATGTTTTATCTCAGTTTTACTTTCGTAATTACTGAAGTCTTTGACAAGTTCATCACGGATTCCGTGTTGCTTTTAATCTTAGACTTAGTGTAACAGCTTACTTGTCTTTGTTGTGTTTTAAAATTTTTACATATCTTGGAAGTTTTTTGTCACTTATTAACATGGAGATAGTGTCGTTAACTTAAAGGTTACCATTTGTTGACACGAACTTGTCATTCAATTGAATCATTAATTGTATTCAAATATTTCTTTTGTCTCATCTTAAACGAGATTCGAATTTACTCTGAGAAGTTTTGTATCTACATGAAACATTGCGGACAAGCAGTAAAAAATTCAACCATCACGAGAAAGCAATAAGCAGAGGTAGTCTTCATTTTTCGCAAATGGTCGAAAAATTCATTAAGAAGAATAGAGCCACCACACAATATGAATAGACCCATGTTCAGCGTACCAAACAGTCTAAAAAGTAAACATCCTCGTATTTCAACAACTTTTTTTTAAAAAAAAATCGATTGAAAGTCAAAACGTTCCTCGCATCTAAAAAGTAAAAAAAAAAATAGAATTGAAAAAAATTCTAACGGGGAAAACATTATTAGAGGCTCCAACCAGACCGTGGAAAAGTTGAACTGATTGAGTTATGAAGAAATGTGAAATTTAATTTCATGCAGCATTTGGATGCGTCATGGTAAGTGGATAGTGACCGGATAAAAATTGTCACTCTTGGTTGATACCACATGAATTCTTTCAATAAGGCTTCCTTTGTAAAAAAATAAAAAAGTCCTTGAGGACAAACATCAGAGTTTCCCTCTCGATCATGAAGTTGTGTAGAACAATAATGACACGATATTGGACGAGCTTTCCGTGATTTTCAAAGCCAATTACAATTCAATTGTGAGGCTCAAAGCCATCAAACAGACAACTGGATTACTTTAAATGGCAGTAATAGAATTGCTCGCCTCCAAAAATTAAAATTTGAAGATGATGGTTTACGGGAAACGAGGATAAGTTTAGTTTCGCCAAAGCAACGATCGGTGACACTATAACAGTCACTTTGTAAGTATTATTATTACTGAGAACAAACAGGACAACAGATTGAGACAATTAATCTCCAGGGATTTTATCACTACTGAGTATCCCACGTTTAAAATTAGAAAATAAATTGAATAACATTCGCAGATGTTGTGAAACAATGAAAATTAGAAGATTTTGTTTGGTAGTTTCTCAGAAAATGATAATTAAGATATTCAGATTGTAACAATTATGTCTTTTATTCTGTCATACATTATTCTGCTATTTATAGGACGAGCCAGTTTGAATTAAACGTAATGAAAGGTATTGGCGGAAGAGCGAGTAGTACTTAATGTGGGCATCTTCTCTGTGGCTCTTTCTTTCATCGTCAATAAATTATCAAAATTAAAATTGAAATGACGTGGGTTAAGTTTTATGCTTCGCAGACTTTAATATTGGTTTAATCACTAATAAGAATGGAAAAAAAGCTATGCGGAAAAGTGTCTACTTCCTATCCTGTTTTGATGACAAACAAATTTATATATTCTCATTCTATTTATAATTAAGCCCATGGCAATTTACAACGAATCCACCCTGTTTAATCTAGATTTCTCTAACTGATCACTCATCAGTAAAACAGCAACATGTATCTTTATTTTTTTTAAACAAGAGGTTTTTTTTCTTCGTAGATTTGCTAAATCTGACTCCTATTTAAAATGACTCATTGTTCAGCCTGTCACTTACACTTTCATTTTTCCAACAGTTTGTCTCTTTCCCTTTAAATTCACACGAAACAATTGAAGTTAGTTTCGGTTGTTTATCTTTCAAGTCTTTGTAAAGTTTTTTCATTTGACGCTGCGGTGTTGGAGGTGGTCTATAAGCAGTTAATTAACAGATCTTTATCAAATACCCGTGTATTTAATGGCACCTACAAGATACATTTTTCATTATAGGTTTCGTGTTCAATACAGCTCTTATTTACATACACGACAAGAACCGCAAGAACTGCGACTCGGAGCAGAGGCTGAACAGAATTCGACAAACAAAATTTTCAACGTTTTTCGTAAGTATAAAAATCTACAGCGGAAACAATTTACGACTTCAGTTTCCTTAGATATAAATGTGTGTGTCGGACTTTTTCAATTTTATCCGTTTCTTCCCTTTCACATTCCAAACTCTAAATAATTCTTCAGATGGTAACAATGTAAGACTTATTGAGAAAATAGCAGTTTTCAAGTTCTGTTAAAGCTAACCTGCTCAAACTGAATGTTCTTCGATCTCTTTTACGAATCGTGATGTTTCGAAAGGCTTTTGTATGCATTTTGTTATCAAATGTTGGTTTGAAATGCTAATAGAGATTTACGGAAACGTTTTCTCTTTAAGGATTACATTTTGAATAACAACATAATCTAAAAATTATTTATTGACTTTATCTAAAGCCAACGCCAGAAGTTAACAAGAAGACAAGATTACAGGTAGGTTGAAGAGAATTTCTAAGACAAAAGCGTTGCCAACCAGCCAATTCTGCAAAGACAAAATAACGTTGATGCTTATTTGTTACACTAATTATTACTTTAAGTTTTACTCGCTAGCATATTGATAGAATAGCAAAGCTGTTCGATTTCGTTATGTTCAGACGAAAGTATATTTTCGTGAAGTAATATTTTTTCGATATTTTTAATTATTCAATTCTACAATTGTTGTTGTGGATCTAATGACCTTAAACTTTCACGTTCTTGTTTAAAGTTCGATATATATGAATCATAATCAGCTAGCATAAGTGGTAGTTGAGATTTGTGATAACTTCGTCTAGAAACGAAAACGTCGAGACTGGCCGCATGATTTGTTTTGTCTAATTCAAAAGTGCTCGTGAACATAATATTGACTTAAACTCTTACATTAAGGACATGTAACTCAGTGAATCACTTACGTTCCGTGAAGAGGCCAAGCTAGGCTTGGGGCTCCTTTTTTACTCTCGAAGATACCATTAAGACCCATATGAAAAGGCCTGTGGCTTGGCCAGGAATTCAAGAAACTGAATTATGAATCAAAATATAAAAACACGGCATCTGTCACATTTACATTGAAATTGCAGCATTCGTTCTATCTTTCACTTGTTTATGTTTGCATTCGTCAAGAAACTGAATTATGAAATTAAAATATAAAAAAACGGCATCTGTCACATTTACATTGAAATTGCAGCATTCGTTCTATCTTTCACTTGTTTATGTTTGCATTCGTCAAGAAACTGAATTATGAAATCAAAATATAAAAAAACGGCATCTGTCACATTTACATTGAAATTGCAGCATTCGTTCTATCTTTCACTTATTTATGTTTGCATTCGTTAACGGCCGCTTCGTGTTCCTTACTTTTATTCCTTTAATTTGTTGATTCGCTGAAATTTGCTTCGTCTCATTAATTCTCACTCTCTTGCTCATTCTATCGTTGCTCGTTCGTTGATGTTTTCGTTTGTTTGGTTATCTGTTGATTTGCGTCTTTAGCTGATTTTTAAGGCGTAGTGCAAGATGTGAGAGAAATAACTCAGCAATAAAATGAGTGCGTTTGCTGGTTTTGTTGCTCATACTTTGCTACACGTATTTTATTAGTTTTGTTGTATTTATGTGTATTCATTGTGTGTCTTATTCATGTTTCACTTTCTTTCATTTGACTTTTTCATTAATATCGTTTTCAGTTGTGTTTGTTTACCCAATATACCGCTGTATTAATACTCTCCACCACCTTGATAACAATTAAGCATATATGATCACATAAATATATTTATACATATCAACCATGTCGTGGTGTTGGTTAATTAATCTCTCGTCCTTTCTCTCTTTATTAGTTTTCAGAGCTACTCTAGGACTTCGATGTATTTCTCTATTTTGCTGTCCTTCGTAATTTGTTTAACTGTCTCCAAAGGTAAGAAGATTTCATATGGTATTACTGCTACTCTACTGAAATTTTTTCATCTAATACCTCATTAACGACATGACATGTGATTGATAGGAGACTTGACGACCTCAGAATCAGTAGAACATGGAAACCTTGATGTGACTGCCAAACACATGCTGGTTTGTACGCATTAGTTTATTATCTCTACATAAGTTGATAGAGTAACAAAGTTCATATTAGACACGGTTGCAAATTAATGCCCCATAATTTTGACCGTCGCTCACTCACCTGGCACAAACTTCTTTCTCTCACCAGCCTTCTGCAGCTGTAAGAATCAAAGATAGCTGCTACAACTTTCACCAATAATATCACAAGCACTCACTAACAAAAGTGACGCCTGCTCAGCAGGATAAATTATGGTTGACCCGTTTGATTCAGAGCAACTTTGGTTACAAAACACATGGTAGCTTTGGCTAAATTTGACTAGATTTCTCTTAAATGAGAATCGCCAGTCTTCCTCTTTGGTTATTTTTCGATTAATTTTATAAGCTCTTTCGTGCATCCTAAACTAAGCCCTGATAAACGAGGAACGTGCCAAGTTAAGCGGCACTAAAAACTCTACGTGTTATAAACTTTTCTTTTTTCTAAAATTCAGTTCACGTAAACTATATTGAAATGATATTGTAATATCTAAGTTATTCTCAGTATCTCTAGTAATTTTTTGGTGTCAAAAATCATAAGCAAATGAAATATACCCTTGCTAAGTACACTCACATGTCCTTACAGGATGAAATCCATCTCCGGATGAAAAGAAGCGAATTGGAACAATATTTTGGAGTAAGCTCGCACGAGGAAGGTAAAGTCTAAAGTACTGAACACTTTTTCCTCCAATGCAAAGTTTACATAGTGAATATTCTAAGGAGGCTAAGGAGAATGATTGTTTATGTAAAGTACCTCAGGTGACTATAAGAAAACTGGAAACATATCCATTTTGAAATTTTGTTTAAGTATCATATCTATCTCGCGCAGGGTATCCATAGCAGGTGTAAAGTTTAATTCTCGGCCAAGTAGAGCGCGCACATCTCCATAACCACCTTAATGTACAAAAAATGGTCTACATATGGCGCGAAATTATCTGCAGACATTAGCTGTTCCTTGAGGCTAACTATTTTCCGAGAGCGAGGCTCGAAGAAAATTGTTAGGTTCGACGTACATATTTTGTCCAAGAAGGATATCCGAACAAATTTTCAAGTCAAACAATCTGCTAAAATTTTTCCTAAGAAAACTGTAATCGGTGAGTGTTACTGGTGTCTCGACTGCACTGCCGGATTATGCCTTCCGCTTGAGTTGTCGAAAAGTCAATAGCGGTCCTTTAACTTCAGCTCTGCTCTCACTTGGACGATGACTCCACACAATCGGCTGTTCCTCCCACGTTAAAACCATTAACTTTAGCTAACATTTTGAAACCCCACTTAACAATACAGTACCACTGTACGATGTCACTTCTCCGTTCCAAGTTGATGAGGAAAACAGATTTCTCTCAGAAAGTCTCCATACTCACGCCAGGCAGAAGAGAAACGCCGAGGATCCTCGTGCGTGGTATTTCAATGTCAAAGCCTTCGGAAGGTCACTGCATCTCAACCTCACAATGAACCAAGATCTCATGTCACCATGGCTAACTGTTGAGCGACACGAAAATGGAACAGTGACAGCTGAGGAACCACCCAAGAATTCCTTCTTAGATGGTCACGTGATTGGAGAATTTGGCTCTTCGGTTGCAGTTAGTAATAGAGGAGGACTGGTGAGTGCTAAAAAGCAACCTCAACACTCCAAACTGCATTGACAGGAATGCTTTGGAGTTATGTAGCTTTTTAAAAACATTTAAGTTAGTTAAAAGGTGGCTTTGTGTGTAAAATAAGTACAGTTAGTGTCAATAAGCTTTGTTTTTTCAGTTTTCTTTGTGTTTTTGATGATGTTGTTCTAAGGATAACCTCCCGGCTAGATCTCACAATTCAATTGACATACACATTTTCCTTCTGTTTCTTCAGACAGGTCTAATACAACTTTTGGACCAGTCTCTTTTCCTTCAACCACTTCCAAGTCATCTTTTATCAGACAGTAATTCCAAAAGTCACTTAGTCATCAAGCGCTCGATTGACGATGAGGCTATGGAAAACGAGTTTCAAGGTGATGAAAAAAATAACGAACTGTGCACTCTGTGCACTCCTTCTTGAGCGCTGAGAAAGAGAGCGCTATGCGGGGAGAAGGTCTTAAATGCATAAAATTTGTGAGTCATTATAGCTTATCTAAAGATATAAACAACAAACGTAGTTGGGTCAGCGAAAAAATTTGTCTTTTATAATGAATGTTATTGAAGGGGTAACCAGTTGATTGAACAGCAGAAATCTAATTTATCTGTTAATGCACTTGATTTTGAGGCAAAACTCATTCGTGATTATAAATTACAGAAAAATTATCAGGAAGTGGTACTGAGTGGAAAGAGCCCAGTTTTGACGAGGATTCTCTGAAATTTGCGAAAGTCAAACCTAATGATGCCGGACAATTCTTTCTCGAGATGACAATGGTAGCTGATAAAAGTATGATTGCATTTCATGGCGACGACACCGCAGATTATCTGCTTAAGCTGGCACATATGGTAAACTCGAACTTGGTTCTGTGTTTATTTGTGATCAGCTACTTTACTTCTGCGAGAAAGAGGGCCATCTCCGAGTCATTTTGTAAATTTCAATGATTGGTTTTTAACTTTGTATTCTAGGTAAATGCCTTTTATCATCATGAAAGTATTGGTCAGAAAAAAATTACCATCACCATCGTGCAGATTAAACTTGTACAGGATGGGGTAGGTCATTTGAGTATTACTATATATTTACCGTGTGACTTTGCCTGAAATACAATACCAAACTATAACTGTCATTAAACATAACTCTGTTTGTTTGTTTGTTTAGCTTAAGTATTCAGGGGGTAGCAATGATGCTAAGATGGCGGCTCTCAAGAAATGGGCGGCAGACGCTAAAATTCCAAAACTGGATTCTCAAAGAGACCATCCTGACGTCATATCTCTGATAAGTCGGTAATACTTGCAGTGCTTAAATTGAAATATAAATGATATTATGATGTGTAGGTTTCATTGACATTGACAATAAAAAAGACAATGACATTAAAATCGACGCCGACATCGACATTGAAATTGACATTGACATTTACAATGACAATGACAGTGACAGTGACAGTGACAGTGACAGTGACAGTGACAGTGACAGTGACAGTGACAAAGACAAAGACAAAGACAAAGACAAAGACAAAGACAAAGACAAAGACAAAGACAAAGACAAAGACAAAGACAAAGACAAAGACAAAGACAAAGACAAAGACAAAGACAAAGACAAGGACAAGGACAAGGACAAGGACAAGGACAAGGACAAAGACAAAGACAAAGACAAAGACAAAGACAAAGACAAAGACAAAGACAAAGACAAAGACAAAGACAAAGACAAAGACAAAGACAAAGACATAGACATCGACATCGATATTGATTTTGAGATTGTAATTTCAAGATTGAAAAATGACATTGACTTAGCGACATAAGCCGATATATAACACTAGGAACACAAGGGTATAACCTCACGGTATAAAGTGGCTCTTTCATCATCTTGAAGATGTGTGTATGTGTACATGAAGACGTAACAGCAGCATTACAATACAGAAATACCGCGGGACCGAGTAGAAAAAATTTAATCCTTTTTTGAATGATTTTTTCATTTTTTTTCCTCTCAGGGGAAGTTCAGGAGGTATGTTTTTTTTAAATTCATTTCTCCCTATCCACCGTTTATATCGATTTTCATCTGAGCATTTGTTTAGTTTTAATTTCCCTATTATTTAATGCCGTGATAAATTGATGAGTCCATGTAAAACTCTCTTAAAATGATAAACTAGTGACCAACACCGTACGAACTGAAATAGATTTTAAAAAATTCTGTTTAATCTCCTTCGCGTTTCCTCGGACAATAGAGCTAAATCTGTGACCCCTAAACTCATCACGTATTCACATATGTAACGTCCGAAAAATTTCAAGCGTGTATAACGTATCACCTAAGTCACACTATGCGTAAGAGTCGAAAATAGACATGTTATCCACAATTTGTGAAGTAAACAAGCTTATTTATCCTACTTATAAAAAATCCCTGAGAAAGTCTGTTACTGTCAGAGGAAGACGTATTTATAATTTTAAAAAAATATGTTGAAAAAAGTGTCTTTAATTACGTGTTACGGTATAATTAAACCGTTTAAGAAAGCTACAATCCTACGTGGCCAAATAGAATGTTCCAGGAAGTTCCATGGTACGCATGTCAGCATGATTACACATTTTAGAAATTCCTAGAAACTTTTTTTTTTACAGTTAGTATCCATATCAAAGGCAATAAATTGATAAGTCTATTTTGATTTTGTTTAATTTATTGCAGGCTTGGCGAGTTTTAATTCAATATGCAAAGGCAGTTTCAGTTATACCGTTAATAACGGTGCAATGGGCTTTAACACGCGCCTCATTCTAGCACACGAAATTGGGCACACGTAAGTTCAATTTTTTACCTTACAAGAAGCTTCCATCAGCTGCAAAAACCATTTTAAGGTTTTTTAATATATGAAGGTCCTTCAGTTGTATTTCGCCGCACTTCTCTGTTACGTAAATACAGATTAAGCGTTCATCTTTTCAGAGAAAAGAAAACGGATAATTGGCAGAAAAACCTTTGAAATGACGACATAAACAACATGAAATTCAACTCGCATGTGATGTAGGAGGTATATATCTCCAAAGTCAGGGAAACTTTAGCGGGCTGGAGTCATTTCTGGAAGCATACATCCTGGAGATAGCAGCGAGGGTCTTTGATAAAAAAAAAAGCAGTCCATTCAGTTTTATTTCCTAATGTCTTTTCGTCTGATTTTCAGAGCTAATTGAACAAGTCATTCTTGATTCTTAATGAAACGAAATCGTTTTTCGAAATAATAAGTCCTTTATTGAGCGAGCCTGTTCAGGTTAAGGTTGCTTGGTATTAACCTCGTCTTTTTTTATGCGATAAAAACGCATCTTGACCTCACGCTTGGTCAATAACGCGCATACAATACCCTAACCCTTCCCATGCGCTTGCGTTTAAGGCTTGGTTTAAATCATGACTCCGCTGATGGCTGCCCCGACGCAACATATATTATGTCTACCGCGGTACCTGGAGGGAAGTATGCGGGCACATGGTCCTCTTGCAGTAGGAAATATGTTCAAGAGTTACTAGGGTAGTTCATACAATTTTTATTCCACAAATGCAGATTAAAGATGGTTTTCTTACTCACCTAATAAGACTCTTAGCTAGCTAAATAACTCCCTGAGAAATTGAGTAAATCCGTTAGGAAAAACCAGGTACAAGGACTCGTATTTCTCCTCGCATCAGTTGTTTAAATGTATTTCCACGAGACAGATGAACGATATAGTTCTTTGTACGGATCACTCACGAAGGACGAGATCTGCCTGTGAAATAACATACACGAAAAATGCCTTGAAATACAGTTTAAAAGATGGCGATCACGAGGTTGATATTCGATCTTTGAACCATTTTGTCTTCAATAAGAACTGCCCCGAAGTGCCTAATGGATGGAAGATCCCGCAACATAAATTACCTGAAGTACTTCCGTGGGAAGCTCCCAGGAAGAGTGATATCTGGAGATGAGCAGTGTAAAGAGCAATATGGCGAAGGTGTTTTTCAGTGTAAACAAGCACTGGTAAGAAACAAATGGAATTTTGGGTGGTACATCGTTAAGGCTCAAAGTGACTGTGATTAAAAAGATCATAACCTTGTTATGAATTACAAGCATGTTAGTCCAGTAAGGGAAATGGTGGAGTATAACCCTTTACACCCTAACATTAGTATGCTTATTCTCCATAATACTCTTTACTTCTTTCCTAAGGTGTTGACAAGGAGAACTTGTTCAACAATCAAGAGCTTCTTTAGTTTTTTATCATTTTCTTTATTCCCGTGACCCTTATCTGCGATTCAGAGGAGCCATTGTAATGGGAAATTCCATGCTAGTCACTCTTAGGAGTCAAAGGGATAAGAGAATGGCGGGAGGAAGTGGTACGAGAGAAGGGTGAGGCAAATGTACGATGAAAAAAATTCCTAGTATGAGAAAAGGAAGAGAAATGCAAGAACGCAAAGGATTTTTAATCATTTCCAGAACGGAAGCCAAAAGTGAGCGTGGAAGGGGGGAAGGGTAAGGCGAGCAGTAATTATCAAACCTCCCACCCACTCACCCCTCCCCTTCCAAAACCACCACGTTTGAATGGGGCCGTAGTGTTTGATGTCCTTTGATAAATTTTGGTTAATTTGCTGGTTTATTTCTTTTTCAGTCTAACTGTGGCTCCCTGTATTGCACACACAACGGCTTCTCCTGCTTCAGTAAAGTCGCTCCACCATTGGATGGGACACCATGTGCATCTAGACATGTAAGACAAATTCTGACTGGTTCCTAGCTTGTTCAATTCTTAGTGATTGAACGGTCGATCCTGTGTCGTAAATTTAGTATTTACCGAATAAACCCCTACAGGCGGCTGGAATGTCGGCTGATAATTTCCTACTGCTGGTTATTTTCCGTTGACTTTGTTTCTTTTCGACGGACATAATCGGAGGACAAAGATCGACGCAGATTATTATTGCGTGATAATTGAACAGTGATTTTGCACCACGTCACGTAAAGTAGCGAATAGAATGGTGTGAAAATTAATGGGTGGGTTATAAACATGAATGGCCTATGGGCATTAAACTCGTGCCCCACCAAAACATTTAGCAACATGCAAATAAAGGAAAGATTGTAGAAATAGAGCTGATTCTCTCAGCTTCATTTTCTCCCTGTTCTTATGAACATCAATTAAAAGTTAACCCTCTAAAAGGCATGTTGCCAGAACAGGTTTCAGCAATAGCTTTCTAACTGCGATCACACTTTGTAATCATGAGCCGGAACTAACTAAAAGAAGAAAAACAGAGATCTTTCGCTGCAAAATGTGTCAAATACCTGTGACTATGATGGGTTTACGAGATCAAGTTGTCCTAACTAATCAAAACTGACAGACGCCCCTCAAACTTTTACACCTTGTCATCAATTTGCATAACTCCATACTGTTCTCTATATATTTCCTATAGTTGTACTGACATGGATAACTTGTTTAACATTCAATCGTCTCCTTTAGCAAGGGATCATCTCGTCTATTCTTGTGAGCTCAATGTTTTTTATTCAGCACTGATACTGTAAGGAGAAATTAGCTACTAGTCACTCTTAGCGGTCAAATGGTTCAGTCCCACGAACCATAATCACAACAAACTGACCGATCATTTATCACAGGTCAGACTCTTACCATTCGACTAACAAACAACTCTTCAGTTGACTTTAATAAAGACTTCCGCTTAATTTTTCAAAGTGTCAGTCACTGTCACCGACGAGGGTGATTGGCAAATGATCAGCGTGCGCGATTGCCGATTATTTTTGGATAAAAACCAATTAAAGTGAACTATCTATTCAGGTAAGTTTGATCAACAAACTTTTAATTTTCGTTCCTAGTGGTGTATAGCTGGTGATTGTGTTTTCGACGGTTCAGAAGTTGTAGATGGTGGTTGGAGTGAATGGAGTAACTATGATCCGTCTACTTGTTCCCGCACATGTGGAGGAGGAGTCTACTTCAAAACACGAACCTGTACAAATCCACGGTAAGTCTCAAGTTTCTTGATTTCTCGTTCGAGTCAAGAAGAGACCATATTACATACTAATCAGACCTCTTTAGGCGGAAAGTCTAGAAAGCAGCGAAAAATTGTTCCTTTGCTAGCAAACATCGAGTTTGACGAAACTCCGCGTGTGTTAAAAATTGAAAAATATATAATTAAAAAACTCACCCCCCCCCCCCTCCACCGAGGTAAAAGGTAGATTGAAAAGGAAAATAGGACACGTCAAGCAAGCTTAGTAGTATACGTAGATGTGGCATTTCAATCTAGAGTGGAGTACTAATATAATTCCAAAAATTCGGTCGTATTTTTTAGCTCTTCTTATCATTAGTCGGCCGTTGTCTAGCAAAAAGCTTAAAATTGTTTTGTATGATGTCTTTTTCCACGAGAAGTACTTGAAAAATAACCAATTCTTGATATTCTTGTGCCATTTGCGTCACATGTAACACCTGACCACGCCTCCTTTTAGAAAAAATTATTGACTTGTCTATATCTCTCGTTAAAAAGCCCCCAAAATGGAGGAAAAGACTGCATAGGAGAGAATCGAGGATATCCAAAGGTCTGCAAAAGAAAGGTAACGAAACCTTTTGTGAATTGAAAGTCATTTGACGATGTAGTTGATCATATTGGTTGATGGGAACTTACCTCCGGATTCTGTACCGTCTTTTCAGTATAGTCACTCTCTTAGCTATATGGTAGCCAATGATTTACTTACACTCGTTCATGTCCCTGCACTGTTGACGAGGAAAGGCAGGAAGTACGGGAGGGGGGGGAGGGTTATTTGACTGAGACCTACTCATTTCATGTTGTGTGGCCCGGAATAACTGGCCATACCCTTGATACCTTTAATTCAAGATCACCGTAAAGAGCTAACTGATTGTTACGATTTTTCTACAGGTGCCATGTCCTTCAGGTGCAATGGACTTCCGACTTGCTCAGTGCCACGCTATAAATAAACAATATACGATATTCTACAGGGGAGGAGCCGGTAAGTACATGGAAATCAGAGTGGTACAGTGTAATATTAATATTGAAATGTGAAAACTCTTGCACACGGAGACAATAATACCACAAGCCTCAGGAACAAGTGATATGACACCCATCAAATTCAGTTCAGTTTTTCTTAAGGAAAAGGGCTGTTTGGGGAAGGTTTTGGAATTGACGAACCTCAGAGGAGTATCTTTAATACATTCTCTTCTTCTTTTAGAGGCATGCAAATTATTTTGCCGCCACGGATGGTCATATTCACCACGAGGCCTTGTAAAAGATGGAACAAGATGCGAAAATGGTGCATCAAAAAGCCGGGATATGTGCATTGAAGGAAAATGCAATGTAGGATCATTTCTACAATACCAGCTAGATACCGCTTGCTGTCCTCTTCCCTCCTTCGAGTCTTAAAAATTTGTATCTTTCCCAATTTGAACGCATAGAAGCATTCAGGTTTATCAGGACCTTTCGTAAGATTTGCTCAACCCATCATTCCCAAAGAGAGAAAGTTAGACCGTCTAAAAAGAAAAAAAAAAACTTTAATGGAGTACAGGACTGAGTCATTTACCTGTCCAATCAGATGCTTTGTATGATTCTCCTCACCTTGCCCTAGATAAACCTTGCTAAGAAAGCTCTACTATCCTAGGCTTCTTCATGAAAATAAGTAGTTACTTAAAACACTATATTAATCCCTTTCGAAACGCAAGGGGTTACAGCCACACACACTTATTTCAGGTTTTATCGTTGTCTCTCAAAGATAAGTCGTCGGTGGGAGTAAAACGTTTAGTCACAAATAGCTTCGTTCTGACGCGGAACAGCTTCCTCTTGTATCTGATCATAGGGATGGGCCATGGTGACAGATAGTACTTGGAGCTTTTGAGCAGACCTGGGACACGCACAAACATTTGATTGGCTATTAAACTCCCACTCGTACACTGATAAGAAATGGAATATGCTTCGTAAGAAAAGCTACAATATGCCTTAAATACTCAGCATAATAATTTTCTCTTACAGCCCGTTGGTTGTGACGACGTGGTTGGATCTCAAAGTGCGGTTGATCGTTGTGGAGTTTGTAATGGAGATAGCACCTCATGTAGAGCAGTAAAAAAACAATTCACTACTTATTGGGAAAAAAAGGGTAAAACGTTCGTTCCAAAAGTTTTTAAGTAATTTTTAATTATCCCATCATCATGACTAACAAAAATAGTTAGAATCTCTATGACTTGGAAAAATCTTGATTTTCTCGAAGGTATTTTCGCTAAGTAAAGAGCTGTATTAAGGCACGCCATAGCCATCTGTTTCTTTAGGGAAAAACCAGCTAAATAAGAGCATTGAACGTCTTTCATCGTCTAGTTATTTATGACTACTTAAAGAACTCACCTTTCTTTTAATTTTCATAAATACAGGACCTGAAAATGCGGCATTAGCTTGTTGGATCCCAAAAAGGTCTAAAGAGATTTGGGTTTTCGAGATGGCTGTTGACAAAAACAACATAGGTGAGATAGTTACCCACCAAGTTGGGCAAGGTGGTCTCCTGGCCCGGTTTAACCGGTTTTAACTGCTTTTTCCACAAAAACATAGAGTTTTTAGCCTACTATTTTCTTCCTTTTTCTTTTTTTTGGTAATTTTTGTATAATCTTTGGGCCTTTTCTTTCAAATGACGAATCTTTTAGGGGAAGGAAAGGAAATTTCTTTATTGTTCTCACATTCCTGGAGCACGATTATTATCATAATATTAACTGTTTCAGTTTTTTGCCACCATCAATATCTTCCTTAGTCACCAGTTTAACGATGGACCGCCAGGAAAATGCAGCTTTTACCTGACATTAAAAGAGGGTCAAGGATAATAATGCATACATACAGATATACATCCTTTATTGACTTTCCCCGAAGGGGCTTTTCAAAAACAATAACTAATACTACAATTAAAAATAAATAACTATTATTAACTACAATTAATTATTATTAAAAGGTATAACTATTTTTCACTCCTAATTGATGACAACAATATAACGCTAATTTAAAGGAGTATCACTAAGAATCTATAAAATCTTCAAGAAGTTCATGTTTAGGGCTATACTTAAAAATAGGCATTGAATTAATAGTTTTAAGAGAACTATGCAACGAGTTCCATGTAATAACTATTCTGTAATAAAAGGTTCTCTGTCCGTTAGCTGCCTTGAAAAGTGGAATGTTCAGCTTTTGCGAATTCCTGGTAGTACGCCTGCTTACTTTTATTCGCGTTATTAACTGAGATAGCAGATACTCTGGCACACGGCCTGTCAGGCACTTAAAGGCCATGATAGCTGTTCTTAAATATAGTTCGGTTGATACGTGCCGGTCACAATACGAGCGGCGAAAATTCTGAATGGCTTGTAATTTATTTATGTAAGGTTTAGATGTATTGATCCATAGGTTTGAACAATAAAAAGGCTTACTAAAAATTAGAGCGTTAATGATAGGCAAGAGCGTATGTTATTTATTTATTTATTTATTTATGTAATGCTTTCTAAGAGTTGATCAAATCTCTTTGCTCCCTTTTCTCGTGAAATATTTCCAAAATATTTATGTTATTGTAATTCTTTACTATTCTCCTCCACCTCAATTATATTTTTAACATCATTTTCTATCATTTTCTAGGTGTACAGAACATGAAAAAAAAGTATTTGTTAGAGCCCGTACCAAAACAAACGCAAACAATCAATGCAGCTGGAAGCACTATTACCTATGGAAAACGCAGTGGAAAGGAATATATTCACATTCCTGGCCCAATAAACACACCTCTGCGTTTTATGGTAAAAAAAATTATACTTAAGTTTATCATATGGCAAAGTAGTTCTGAGGTAATTCCAAACGTCCTGATTGTTTTTTTCCTGGTCGGGATTTTGAAATACGGACCGTCTCCACGGGAACGATCATAAGCCTCGTATTTCTATCCGCAGAAGTCGGCAAATTCAAAATAAAGAAGTTTGGTTCGAGTACCGCATTATAAACTTCTGACTATTCTCGCTTGCTCGAGCCGTACTGGGGAATATTGGTCCTCGGTCCTTTTTGTGAGGATCTCGCTATGCTCAGTCCATGCTGCCATGACCTTAGGCCAATAATCCCCAGTGCGACTCTCAAACTCGGTTAGTACGAAGTTTTTCTCGAAGTTTCGCTTTTATCATCATGAGCTGAATGACCTTTAAAAACGTAAATATATATACATACATATATATATATATATCTTTTTTTTTTTTAAGTTTATACTCAACGGTCAAAAAAACAAAGGAGTTGAATGCAGATACTTGAGTCCCTATAAATCAGAGGTTACTGGAGCCGATGTCGGATGGGTTGTCGACGAGAAATATGGCTGGTCAGCCTGCTCCGAGACCTGCGCCGGAGGTAAATTATTATTAAAATAAATTAACGTAACGTAACGTTCTAAATTATTAGTACGGTGGCCTGTAAGTGCCATTCTTGATGAAAGAAAAGAGTGGATTTTGGTATTAAGGTTAAAAGGAAAGATTAAGGTTATAACCACGAATCCAAAGTTATGATTACGGATCCAAAGTTACTGCTAAGGATCTCATTCATAACTACGAATCCATAGTTAATACTACTGATTCAGATGAATAACCATGGATGTAGTTATAACCACGGATCTAAAACTATAACAGCATGTAATACAAAATTTTGATAGATAGTTCAGATCAATATCAGTATCTGGGCAACTGCCCACCTACCCCTCCCCTAACTCAACAACAGTCAATTGATAACATGTTAGGGCTAATGCTGGGTTAGGGGAGGGGTAGGTGGGTAGTTGCCCAGATACTGATATTGATCCAATTGTTCTAACTTTAGACCCCTAGCTATAACATAGGATCCGCAGTTTTGACATCACTAGATGCGTAGTTATAACTTTTGAACCAATATCCACTTTTTTGCTTTTATATAGCATGGCACTTATTGAGCACCATTCTTTTATGTGAAGGACCTGTGTGAAAACATGAAATTACTTCACATTAAAGAGTGGTTTCTAGCCAATCGTGACGATCGCTTTCTTTTACAGGAAAGAAAACGCGGAGAGTGAAGTGCATGAGGAAGGATGACAAATCAGCTGTTGCGGACAGTGTCTGTGAGAAGGGAGGACTTGAGAAACCCGAAGATGAGATGCCGTGTAACACACAAGAGTGTCCAGTAGAGTGAGTAGGATATGAAATAGTAAGCTTCAACCTTCTGTACTGGAAAGATAAGCATCAGTTTTCATGTGGCACTAGCGAAAACAAGTCGAGACATGAACTATGATAAAAGTTTAATTTGAAGTTGAATAAAAATGTTTCACGTATTAGTCCAAAATATACTGACACGATACTTCCTACATTGCTGGCAGTATTCAGAGGGAGTGTCACATACATACCAGATAGTAGCGTGGCTCACTGGGTACCCTGTAACCCAGTGGTTGTGTATCGGGTTAATTTCTTCTTGGTAGAATTTGATTTTTTTCCCCACGCTCGTTACACGACAATTTCTTATGTCTTACCTCCGAGCTTTACGGTTGTTTCCTGCCGGATCAAGGCAGATCAAGTTTGACGTAAGGCCGCGCCCCCTTTAAGAATCTATTCTTTGTTAAAAACCTATTTCATCCACTAATTTAAACAGATGGCACGTGACTGGATGGAGCTCCTGTTCCAAAACCTGTGGACATGGTGTAGCGAAACGTAGCCTGTCTTGCAGAAAGAAGTACAAGAACCCTGGAGGATACAAGAAACTGGATTGGAGCAGCTGCAAGGCACCTAAGCCAACACCACTAATTAAACCTTGTTTTAAGGAGGCGTGCGGACCGGAATGGATTCCATCTAAGTGGGGAAAGGTAAAGAGGGAAACCTGCTTCTCATGGCAAGCTGCCGGATAGATCTCCCGGCGCGATCTTACTGCGTCACTCGTCACCCAAACCTAAAAATCTTTTCAACTCACGGTTGTTATTTTCATAACCAAGAATGGTCACCCAAGATTATTAGTGTATGAGGCGACCTAGAGAAAGGATATTCAGTCACTTCTTTCATGGTCATTTCGTTCCAAGTTATGGTCTCATCGTTCTGAAACATCGTCACAATGTTTTACTGAAGTTATTATTCGACACACACGATCCAAGAGAGTCGGAGACGGAAACTTTTCGAACTATTATTATACAAAAAGCTTACGGCGAACAAATTACCTAATACCAACGCATACAGCATCGGGCAAGCACAGCATTATTCATTATTCATTATTCATTCCATTAAGTCCTTCAGCCCCTCCCCTCCCCTCCCTCCACAGGGGTAAATGATGAGCGGTCCCGTAAGAATTCCATCTGAGGATTGCCAAAAAAATTTTTCTTTATTACCTCGTTTACTTTTAGTGTTCAAAGACCTGCATAGGTGGCATTATGAAACGCAATTTAAGCTGCGGGAGGCCGCTCGGTGATGGAAACTACCACCCATTGTCAGAAGGCTTCTGCCGATACTCCGTCAAACCGCCAGTAAAAGAGAAGTGCAACGAGGATATTTCCTGCTCTGGTAAGGGCGCATGAGAACCGACTGCATGTTTGTCCGAAATTCAGCCATAATTGGTAAGAAAAAGTTTCTACCTATCTTATTTTCATATCACCGGACGTCACTGGTCAAATTTAATTTCGATGATCAAAATTAAATTTACATTTTTGGTTGTGTTCGCCCTTTATCAGCAATACTCACAAGACCACTATAAAAGTTAACTCCTCCATGTAACCTCGCAGCCTATGGATGTAGGGTTTTTTTTTTCTTTTGTCCTTAGCATACTAATGAAAGCCAATAAATTCTCATCCTAAGTTGTGGAGGTAACATTCAAACTACCCTTTTGGCAAATCAAATGTAGAACATATTCAGTCACTATGTACTGTGTCTATGTGAGTGATTTAACTGATATACAAACTCCTTTGCTGAATGTAGAAATTGAAATATTGCACGAGGATTCGCCGAATGTGTGACTTTTTGTTCATCCACACATTCGGGAAGTGTGTTCAAGTTCCTTTATCTTTGTTTATTTACATGAAAAAATTAAACAACTCTCAACAATTATTATTCATAACAAATATGATATCACCTGTTTTCGTTTTGGCAAAAATAGAAAAAAAAATGTCATGATTAAGTTACCATCATGACAGGACGGAAAATGCGTGCACTGTAAGTACCTTCCGTTGTCCCATACAAACCCTTAGAAAAGTTTTCTAAGGCTTTGTATGGGACAACGGGAGGTACTTACAGTGCACGCATTTTCCGTCCTGTCATGTACGTTCACAAAATACATTATTTAAGAGAGGGGGGAGGAAATGAACACCAGCAGTTACATCCCAAGAAGTATATTAAAGACACTGAAGAAATGTGATGATATTTTTAATTGACAGCGATACCATTAACGTTTAAAGAGTTGAAAATCTACGCGACGATGTCAGAGAGGCAATTGTTTAAAGCTGGAGATGAACAACAAGATGCAATATTTACTACAATTATCTGACAAGTAAATAAGTTAAACAATAACTACATTCAATTTTTACAGTCTAAATATCAGTGTTTTATCCTTCGCTTTCATATAGCATATATATAAATCCTGAGTCGTATCATGTCAATAAACCACGTTAAAAAAAAAATCTCTAGTCTAAATGAGATCGTTTGTGATTAGCTTAAATGCCACCTAAAACCGTGAATTAAATGAATCAACTAAAAAGAACCTAATCAATATCGGAACATCTAATCGCCTTTTTGACCCATACGACGTCCTCTAGATCATATCCGTTTAGCGGAAATACTGCGAAATTCATACATAACGAAATGCGTCATAGAGTGTCGTAAAAAAAAACATCATATAAAAACCCTATGGCAAAGTTGCTATGGTCACCGTTTTTAAAATAATAAAGGCCACATGTGCATAATTTCCATGGCCGGCAGGAACAAGAAGTCACTAAGACGAACACGTTGATTGCCAGCTAAAAATACTTTTGAGAGATGCCTGGAGAGAGCGGAAGCGACACCACGCCACCTTTCTCCCTGCGTGCCCCTCCCACTCCTGCCACTGCTGCTTCAAAAGAAATGAAAGAGACCAAGCATAAGACATGATCGCTTGAGAAAATTAATATTATAAAGTTTTAATGTTATTAAATTAAGAGAACATAACGATATTTTCTGAACGACTTGAAGTATCGTGATATAGCACCCCTTAAGATATTAAAGATTTTGAACAGAACTTTTTAGTCATTCCCGTACTTATCGTCAGCTCTCTTGAAATTTAAATTGAGTTACGACCATTCATCGTGGATATGGTTTGACCGGCGGATAAGTTATATCCTACCTTGATTGCGTTGCCTTTGGCTACCAGTTTAATCAATTTTCACTTTGACTGGAAAATAACAAATAGAAAAATCGTTTTTAACAATGAACCCACAAACTACCAATGGGGGGTTGGACTTCTTCTTCTTTTTTGGTCGTCTTCGTCATGATTGTTTGATTTTCTCTGTTTTTCTCTCCTTTCTTGTTTTGTTTGCTTTTTGTTTTTTGTTTTTTTTTGTAAGCCTAAGAAGTAGAGTGCCCCACCGACTGATGCGTTGGACCTCTGATCGGGCTTCGGTCAGAGGAGCGGGATTATATCGGTTTGGCTGATGGTTAAAGCACTCTTTTCCCACAGTTTGTTCCTTAACCTACAGTTCGTCAGTTAACTCAGATAATGACCATCATGTCTGCCAAAGTTACCGAGTCGTCACTCACTGCTACCGATAATATTCTCACTCCAGCGATCAGACCGGTCAGACCACAGGGAGTTCAATATTATAATGCTTCTCTTCTTTCCATGCTGAGAAACTGATTTAAGCTCCAGCTGCAGTAAGCCGCTAAACTCCTACCATTTAGTCATTATTGCTATCATCGCTCCCTTCTCCTTCTGGTGAACCAACTCCCTTTCTCGCTCTCTCCTAGATGCTCCATCATTCGCCACTGTTGATGCTATGTGACCCTAAAGTAACCGATGACAGCGTACGCTCTTAACAAAAAGACACTAGCAATATGGCGACTAATATCCGTAAGTTACTTATGCAATTCTTCTTCCTTACAGTTCTTCCAGTTCAAAAATACAGATCACTGGGTTGTTACAGAGAAAATACACATAAGCGCCTCCTGCCACTTCTGGAACACAATTTCCGTTCCGGTGGCATCAAATGGAACGCAATAGAAACTGTAGTGGAAAAGTGCTACCGTGAGGTCGTTGAACGCACAAATTACAAGGTGTTTGGAGTGAAATTCTATGGTGAATGTTGGGTCGGTAAGATGCCGAGCTCCCATTTCAAGACCGTCCTTACACAGTGCTATGAACATGCAGTTGGGAAGGCTCATACTTACTACATTTATGAAATTTTGTAGGTGAGTGATATGAACCGTATCTTCATCCTTTCCTTGGCATTACGCCGCTCATCATTTGACGCCGGATAAGGAGGCTCAAATGGTCCGGGGGAGGGGGAGGGGGAGGGGGAGGGGCAGGGACTATTTTTGTGTCACGATAGCCGATCCCTCATAATATTCTGTAACATTCTCATGGACCCCCCCCCCCCCCCCCGTAATCAAGTCAATTATCCATGGTATCCCCCCCTTAAATCCAGTCAGCAACGACTGATCCTCCCCACTCTGTTCCTCCTAAAAACCATGTGATTCCCTCTAGAATCCTCCGACCGATCGCCACCCCTCCCCCCCCCCTTCAAACAATAAATAATGACCGGACCTTTCGTTTTAAACACCAGTATTTTTTTGTTTTTTTCTTTCAGATAACAGAAGTAATCGGTCACAAACATCATTAAAGAAAGGTCTTCCTTTTATAATGTCAGCTTACAGTGGAATCCTGATACAGCAAACAACATCCTGATGTAAAGAATCCTCTTTATATTGATGAGTCTGATAAGAAAAACCTATCCTAAAATAATAAATAATCCCTTCCTTATATAACGAACATCCAGACATAAAAAACCCACTCCTCTACCACTAACAGCTATTCGCCAAAGTAGAGATGGCTAGTGGTAGATATTTAGCAAGCCGCGAAGCGATGAGTTAAATATCCTCCGCTAGTTGTTTTAGTATACACTAAACTTAGTATAAACTTAAGAGTTATCTGAGAAATTGGCTCAAAGCATAGTTATGTCCAAGAAAATAAACTGCATTCTATTATTATCACTATAGAGAGCTCTGACAAAATAAAAACTGTAAAAATGACAACAAACGGTTCCAGGAGGTCTGAACATTCTGAACAATCACGCAAGCGTGCAAGCAGCTAAAATACATTTTAGCTCTCAAAAATCCACATTTTAGCCAAATGACAAATGATAAGGTTGCTTTTATTTAGAACATTAGATCGAGTTTAGCATCGATTTGGACGTCACGGAAAACAAACTTACGTTCATCTGACGAGAGGTTATTTAAAAAAAACCCAATATATTGGCAGATCCTAAGGCCACCCAATAAAATGACTCTCATAATATAACAAACATCCCAGCATAACTAAACGCAATGTACCGACCATCCCTGTGTTACAAACCCGCTGCGCAGCAAAACCGCACCGTTAAAAGACCATAAATTATATGACGAAAATCCTATATTGACAATGAACCCTCTCGTGACAAAACTCGGTATTGCAGCCCTTTATATAACAGATACTTCTATAGTAAGAAAGGGACAACGTGTTGAGACAAATGTAACATGATGTCCAAAAGATAACCTCGGTGTGGCTTTATAGGATTTTTTATTTCCCCCACTTTGTTATCAAAGGTTTCTACTGTACTTCCTGATCATGGAAAACTTGTTATTTGATGTAAAATAAACATGTCGAAAATTTGTCGCTCTCTGTCATTATATAACAGACTTCCTGTAAAAGATGTGTTTATTAATAGTGATAAAACCGGCGACACACTGGCGACTTCATACGCCGATCGCGGTGATTGGTAAAAATCGCCAGGTGTGCCCGGTGAGGCGATTGCTATTTTTGTCAATCGCGGATATCAAATTTGCCGCGATCAACAACAACGAAAAAAACGCCAGGTGTGTCGCCGGCTTAAGAGTGACATATCAAAAACATTATTTTGGATTCGCTAAGCCTGCGTAAAAGGCAACTGCATGTGTTCCAGACTCTGCACTTCCCACCAATCAGGTAACATGTTATGTTGATCGGAAAAAAAACAAAGTCAAATTAAAGGTCAGTCCTTCTTATCCTTCTTATGTTGATTAAGTCTATTGAACGAGTGCTGTTCTTAGGACTCCATTTAATATTGTTGCTTACCCTCCTTTAGAAACTCAAGTGAAAGGTTTCATCTTTACACAAAGGTTAGAGTTTAAAGCAGTCCTAAGCGATAAATCAACTCCGAGAGATAAGGTAAACAGCTTTTAAGGATAAACATGCGCGTGATGAATATTACATAACTGGCAATGAATTTCAAAACCGAATACAAAGACCGGCTCTGCAAGTGGCTTCTGGAGAGAGATGATTGTTCATCAATTATTTTAATCAAGATCTAGCAAACAACCTCGGATGATTATACACCAAGAGCAATAAATCAATCAAAATGGTTGGCAAATGTTTTTTTTCTGGGTTCGTCATAATAACATTTTTTTGACTGCTCTACTTAATTTGCTATTCATGATGTGAAGCAGGCTGGCAGCGGTCAGGAACAAAAACAAAGAACGCAAACATCTCTCTTCACTGGTTGTATGACTTTCATTCAATGTATTAACCCTGACAACTCTGGGTTACAGAATTCAAACCTACGATATATAAGAGGTAATTTTCAATATTAAAAGATTGAAATATCACGATTTATTTAAGTGTTTTTGAGTGCGTGTTTTACTTCACGTACCCAACACAATTGATTAACAATTAATGCATATGTTATCTTTAGGTAACAAAGGATGGCTTTTGAGCCAATTTAAGAAGTTTTAATTCATCTGCAAACTACGTACATGAAAATTTGAAGATGGAATTCGTAAAGTATGAAACCGCCTCCCGTAAGTCGTCCAAGAAGAAACGACGGAAACTATGTTTGATCATAATTTTCGTCGTGCTGGGAATTCTCTGCTTGTGTTGCTTTTTCGCAGGAATCGCGCTTATTGCAGAGGCGAGAAGAAACCGTAACACTGATGAGAGTGAACCGTCCAAGCAAAGCGACTGCGATTATTCGCAGGAGGCAAAGCGAGCTGGTCTCGATGATTTATTTCAGAAAGCACAAAATAAGTACTTTGAATTATACCCCAACAAGATTACAGGAAAGCCTAACGTTTCGCCGGAGGAAGTCAAGAAGAGGTACCGCTCGTACGATCCAACTCCTGCCAGCATAAAACTAATTGCCGATGAAGCAGCAAAGATTGCAGACGAAATCGAGAAGATGCCGATTAGTATGGATAAGCTCACTCTGAGAGAGAAACGAGGCGTGGCGCAATTATTGCATTGGGCAAAACATGCATTCCCTTTCATGGTACCGTACGGATATGACTATTACGTTGGAGATTGGATGATGGGACCAGATATATTCTGCTGGTTCCCTATCTGCATGGTTCCTTCCGAGGTTGGGGCTGCTTTTAAACATTTCAAACCCTCCACTGTAAGCGATGTGGAGTTACTAAGAGACAGATTCAAGGAACTGGAGAATACTTTCAATCAATTTGTGGAAAACATGAGGTTAGGAGTGGATGCTGGAATGGTTCGCACGATCGAGGAATGCAAGGCTGGGTTGGATGGCTTGAAAGGCAGCTACAAAGATGTGGCTTTGAAAGGGCCCTCAGGTATCAAGTCTTTGAAAATATGATACAAAAACTAATATGTTTTAACCCAGCAGACGAATGATTGAAATTCAATTCTTTCAGTTCTTTGTTTGTGTTTCAACAGATGTTTGGAGAACAACATACTTGAACTTAATTTAAATTTACAGCAATGACCCGATTTGAAACCATCTTTTTGAAATAAATAAAATGCATGACCTCCACTTGACTGTGAAGCAAATATGCAGTTAACAATTAGGGAAAGTAATCCTTTCACTTGCTATTGAAAGACATTGCTATAGAAAACAATGCTTTCCTTGCTTTCCACGAAGTTCAAATGTAGTTAATGTTTCGATTACCTTTTCCGTGTTTGAAAGAGTATCTGACATTTGAAGTGCACCATTCAATCACAGTGCCTCTTCATCTTGGGTCATCGCTCACTTTTCTCAACATGTCTAGACCTTTTGGGAAACTTATTGACGCGAGACAGATTGAACATTATTGCCATGTAAACATGCAGATATTTGTAAATTTGATAATGCAGGAAAAGTGTTTAGTCACGATACAGAATAATTTCATGCATGGAGGAAAATTAAACAAAACAGAATGACATGAATAACAGATGTCGGCAAAAAATCCAACTCTCAAATTAAATGACGCTGTCTCAGTGGAATGGTACATCAATAACTAGGTGAAACATTATACTGAAGTCCAATTCATTTCTCAACCCTCGATCCCCAGCAGTGACTTCATTTAATCCTCCTTATTATGTCACCCTTGAATTATACGTTAAAGACACGAGAATATAAGAAGTAATCACCAATTAAAGAAGCTCTTGATTGTTACACAAACTCTCCTCGTCAGCATCTTAGGCTATGTATAGAGAACAGTAAGGAGAATATACAAACTGATGTTAGTGTGCAATGGGTTTGGTAATGCAGAAAATTTTTTAGCGAAATAATGAAACCTAATGCACGCACATATTTTTCGCCGATGCAGGAATTTACGAAGCGTCGTTCATAAAGCCGGTCCTTGCCGCAGATTTTATCAAGAACATGACAAATGATGAAAAGCAAAAGTGGAAAGATAAACATGGCAAATCAGTGGGTGATTCACTTCGTGAATACGCTCTGGAGTATGTTGGAAAGCCCATAGATAACATGTTAAAGTATGTATGTCTTCATAAAAACAGTTTTAGGAGACAAATGTGAGGACAGATTCAGACTGAAATTAAGGATCCAGGCCTAAGCTGTGATCGGCGTATTTGGGTTCAGTTCCCTCAGAGGGCAATGCAAGAGGACCCGACGCCTCTCACTATTCAATGACATAAATGGGTGTCTGGAAACTGTCAGGGAAACCTTTTCAACCCCCGTTTAAAGCATCCCTTTTAAGCGTAAAATTATCAGATATAGGGTCCTCAAGACACAGAGACCAGAGTAATTTTCAACGGTTGCGATAATCAGTCTCGCATACAGGCTTTACTTTTATCATTGTTGTTATTCTTATTGTTGTTATTATTATTATTATTATTATTATTATTATTATTGTTATTATTATCATCATCATCATCATTATTATTATTATTATTATTATTTTAGTAATTTCAATTGATTCGAACGCCTGGCAGTTCAGTAGAGGCTGAAAGCATGAAACCACCCACGACATATTGACGGGTAATTGCCGTGGACGTGATTGAGGATGTTTGAATCATGCTCTAAATTAACCTCTCTATTTATATATATATATATATATATATATATATATATATATATATATATAGTTGCCAAATCTTTCCCTCCTAATGTCAAATCAAAACCCTCCATCATGCCTGTATTCACGTAATTCTATCGAATACTATTTTCTAGATTTATAGAAACATATCAAATACCACACTGTGCACCAGACAGTGTTTCTTATGGCCTTGGAAGTTTACCACTTCTTAACGTTTATGAAAACGGAGTTCGTACGAGTAAAGAGACCACGCAGAAGCTGCCAAGTGGAGAGAAGCTCAATGGAAGAAACTCCTACATCAAGTTACTGGCTCATTTTACCACCAACTCACAAACTCCGGATGAAATTTATACACTTGGGGAAAAGATGCGAGATGAACTTTACAATGAGGTATACTTTTAAACGGTGAAAATGAACAAATTTGTTCAATATGTTATTCCTAATCATTTCTGGTAAGCTAAATAGCGCTTATAATCCAGAAAATGTTTGTTTCCAGATGCTGGACCCTTAAGCTTAACCCTTTCACTTAGTCTGCCATACATTTCAAAGTATATACATTTAAAGTTTGTTCTGAGAATTTGGCGTTGGATCAGATGATTATCCCTGGTTCACATTTGTCGCAATTCTCATCACTCAGCTGCTTGATACTGTATTGATACTGTAAGAAGAATTATGTGTCAGTCACACTCAGGATTAAAACGGTTAAGATAAATGGTCAGTGTGTCGGCCCCTTCCTTTACCTTCCAGCCAACTAACCTATAAAGTTCAAGGTTACAAGGTACCAGTTGCAAACTAAAAAATATAAAATCAACCATCATTGGCGTAGTGAAGCAAGACCAGTGGAATCTCAATTAAAATTTCCCAAAATTATTTCTTTTTCTCCCTTCCTTCAACAGCTTTTAGAGGTAGCCAAGAAAATCACTAAAACTACTGACGAAGAACAAGCAAAGATTACATTTAAACGGCTAATTGATGAGTCCAGTCAGTATTACAACGATGGTGACATCCCAGCAAACGAGTCTGATGCAAATGCACACAAAGTATGCAGCAGTGTTCAAGATGCAAAGAAATACTGCCCCAAACGTTTTGCTGCCATGAACAAATGGTTTTCCCATGCTAAAGAAGTAAGAAAAAAAGTTTGACAATTACTATAAAAAATAGTTTTATTGAAAGTGCTAGAAATAATTTTTAGTGCACCAGGTCGACATACGTAACAGGATAATTTAATGTCATCAATTTAGTTGATAACGTAAACTAGCCACCGTAAAGAGTTTCAAACCTGACATTTAGAGCGTTAGTCCTTCGTCAGAGAGAAGGGCTTACGCTCGACGATGGGCTAATGATCGAAACGTCAGCTTGAAAACTCTTTACGGTAGCCAATTCACGTTATTCACTCAGTTGATAATACCAAATTACCCTGTTATACTCTCCCACCGACGCAGCACCTCAGTTTCTTTAGAAACTTAACTTACCCCTTTATTCATTCGATATACGTAACCTCTTGTTAATATGAGGCGAGAGATCCAAGAGAAAACACTCTAACCATGGTTTTAAGATGGTCCGAGGCGCCATGTAACCTAAAAAATTTTCTGGACCGACTATCTTTGGTCACTAATTTCCAAGTTTGTCTTTGTCCTTGGGTTAATTGGTATACACTCGATTGTAGAAACGATGACACCCAATAAAGTATGATCCATGAACAATGAGACCAAAAGGCTTTATAAGAAATATTCGCACAATCACATAATCAGTGCTTCACTCTCTGATTTTAATCGAAAAACTTTGTTTACGACAATTCCTTTCTTTCAGGAAAGCGTGGATGCATGGCTCCTATCATTAACCACGTTCAACTTATTGTGGTTATTATGGAAATGTGTAGCCATAAAGCAATTGGGTCTCATCGTTCATTGCTAACGCTTTTCAACTGTCAAAGTTTTTGCAATCGAGTGTAAAAACGGAATTAATGTTACGTTAATGTCGTAAATGCGTCGTTTGTAAGGTGCCAGTTGTGGTTGACACCTGTCAAGGGGAGTCTTTTCTAAGCCAGTAAGCCAGATTTCAGAGTAAGTCGTTGAAAGTAGTTTGTGCCGTAGATTAGGCATTGCGCAAAGTCCTAGTCAATAGAGTGTGGTTCGTAAGTCGATGATGTTCAGCAATGTGATTGTTGACATTACCTTTCCTCGTCGCTCGCTTGTGTTCACTTACTCTTCTGGTGAGGTTTCTTCCAGCCTCTCCAATGTAGGAGGCATGGCAGTCGGAGCATTTGATCTTATAAAAAAACGAGCCAACTAGACGACTAAACGTTCCCGTACTGGACATCAACAGAAACTGACACGACTGCTACGTAACAACGAACAGAGACGAAGTAAACCGGACGACAATTGGTAAGAAACAACTCCTCCCGTCCCGTAGAAACTCGTGTATTGTCATACGGACTGAAACATTGAAACAAGTTACACCGTCCCTGGTCGTATTGTACACTTTTGTCAGTGTAGGTACCTGATACACGAGCTTCCATGTACTTGATCATTTGATAAAAGGCAAAACCTAGGCATAAAAAGCGCCTAATGAGTAATTCCTAGTGATATATGTTTACTTTTATTTTTATTTCATTTTATCATAGATTATGGCAACTTTAGATTATGAGACAGCAGACCTGTTTTATTTTACCGGCCCTTACCATTCCACTCCAAACTGTCCCATCAAACTTGACATCGATTTCAATCCATCCAGTGGTGTACCATTTTACCAAAGCTCTGACAAAAATTGCTCCAGGACTGCCAGTTACAACATTCCGTTCTTCCTTGGGAGGCCTGGGCCCAGATATGAAGCAGTCACGCTGGCAGCACACGAAGCGAGGCCTGGGCACCATACCCAAGTAAGTCGAACCCAAAGGGGGTCTTTTTATAAACTGTTTCAGAACCAATGGCTTATCGGAAAAAAAGAGTAATATTACCAGGGAGCTAGCAAATGGCCTCCAGCGTGAGAAAACATAAATTTTCCTGTGCAGTCGAGTAAAGCGAATTTGGTCTGTAATCATGCGCGTAATTTCAAAATCGAACAAGCACGCTGCACGTGTTCGATTTGAAAGCACAAATTTCGCGACACGAAGTTTCAATTGCCACTTTGTCGCATCCATTTAAAAATCGCAATATTTAATCTACCAAACAAAAAACAGAAAAAGACAATTTCAAAACTGGCCACACAATGGCTTCTTTTGCCGGCTTTCATTTTCCTGCATGATTGCGGTTAATGTAAACAAGTCTGCAAATCTGATCACTTGTTTTGCTTTAGTGTTGCTTTCTCATCGAACAAAAAATTAGTGCTATTCGTGAATAAATTTCTCTGCTGAGAGCCAATCAGATTGGCTCACATAATAGCTAACCAGATCGTGACCATTTTAAGCATGTCTTTTCTGGCTTGTCCTTATCTCCTTTAATAAAAAGAAAGCTAGAGTAAAACTTTCTTTGAAAGTACAATTCGTCGAAATTTCAAATGAAATTATCGTCACAAAGACTATCGGTTTTTCTTAAAGAGACTTAGGCTCATCTTTTTTTCGAACCAATTTTGGCGAAAGGAAAAATGCTAAATTTGAATTCGGCAGTCGAATGAAAAACATTGCTATTAGTTTGGTTGAGAGCTTTGGACAAAGAAGAGCTAGACTTCATAATGACCTTGGCCACTATCGAACTCTCTGGTGGTGGTGCATCGAACCTACGCCCGGACGTCTCAGCTCAGAGTCTAAAGAGATAAAAATTCGGATACATCAGCATCCTAAACAGGACTTTAAGATTTGGATTGATTGAGCATGATGTGCGTTGCTAGATTAAACTTAACTCTCACACCACTGGTACAGCTGTTTGCCAAAAAAGTTTATTATTCCCTTCCCCCATCCCAATCTCACTTCCTCGTTCTTAAATCAATAAGAAAGGTTACTACGACTCAGACTATAAAGAACGTCTATGCAGTCGGTATTGCGCATGCTCTATACTTATACTTACTTATGCGTGTATCAGGTGCAAGGTTATATCGAACAGTTTTCGGACTCGTGCAAAGGACCTATTGGCTGGATTGCTGACAATACCCTGTATCTCACCTTCTCAGAGGGCTGGGCACTTTACACAGAGAATCCACTGATTCCCCAACATACTACAGCGTATGATAGTGATCCAATAAGCAAGTATGGCATGTTAAAATGGCAGGTGAGTTCCCAGAGTCATCTGACTTTAAGATGTCAACTAGAGCAGTTTGTCCCAACTGGGTACAACCTTTGAGTCACCGCTCTCATTGAGGAGATACAATGTCCTGTTTTTCTTAAAGTTTAAGTCATTTAACCTAACTATCAGTGAATAAAAGATTTAAGTGAAGGAAAGTTATGGTAAATGGTTTGCTTCTAAGGGAAATTTTCCTTTGCTTGTTATGTACATCTCAGTATAATTTGCTTAAAAGAAGATTGCTGGATGGAGGAGGGGTTCCGGAAAACTGTGTTAACCCAGTTGACCAAGCTCATATCAAGAAACCTTAGAGCGTGTCCGAGTTTCTCTCCCGTCCGTGGACCCAGTAGCCTTCACCTGGTGATTATTAATAAAACGCTTGACCAGCTTTTTGAGATGTACTAGGAGTAAACTCTGTTCTGGTTCCCTCTCTGTTTAGATCTGGCGAGCATTACGCCTGATGATGGACACGGGGCTTCACGCGAAGGGACGGAATCGAGCCTGGGCGCTGAAATTGTTTGCAGACTACGCCTGGGACACCAGTGATATAGCCGTGAAGGAAGTAACACGCTACCAAAGCATTCCGGGACAAGCCGTCACATACATGATAGGACAACTCGCGATCATGAAATTCCGAGACAAAGCTAACAGTACGCTGAATGAGAAGTTCAACATTAAGGACTTTCACTACCAGGTTCGATAACATCTTGATTTACTAACGCAGACAACCGTCTTTGAAATCAAGGAATCGGCAAAATGGAATTAGTATCTCAATAATTCAACACCTCTGGGGTGAGATTTATCCAAAAAGCAAAAAGGCTTTTAACCCTATAAACACAAAATAATCAAGCAGAAGACGTTATTTTGATCTAACACCAAATTCTCACGGCTAATAAACAAGGTAATATGCAGTAGCAAGAGGGGAGAATTAACGATCAGATCTTGGGAGGTGAAAGGTTAATGATAACGAACATCACAAATATTTAAAACGACGACCATGAAAAAGTCTAGGCTTATTTTTAAGGACGTAAAAAAAACACGCGTAGCGTAACTTTTCAAGTAGGTATCTGACGAAATCCTGCTTTGATTCTAGGTTCTCCGTCAAGGTCCTTCTCCACTCACCTACCTTGAAGAGGTGATAAATAAGTACATCTCTTGTGTACAAGACGAGGAACAAAAGGGCTGCGATGAAGTCATGAAGCCGCCAGCATCTAAATTTTACGGCTCTCAAAGAAGATCTGTGTTTGCGGACATGCAGCTTTCCCCCTGGGTTATGTGACATTTATTTCAATAGCACAAACAGTGAGCTATCTTATTTACGTTTTTTAACTAGTCATCGTTATCCAAGCCGGCAAATTCAACAAATATTTACTGCTCTATGTTCGTTACTGTACATAGAAAATTTACTCTTTAGTTATCATTTAAATTGTATGCGGAATGTCATAGGGCTGACTCTGGGGAGTTCCTTAGTTTTTGTTTTATGGGCAGGTTTTCATTTCCCTCACCTTGAATAAAATTCATGTGAAAAAAACGTCTTGCTCCAGCAAGATGATAGCTTTTGGACTTAAATGACTCTATCGTTTGCTTTTTATTGCCCCTGAGAAGTTCAACTTTAGAGCCCTTTCAGCTTCCGAAACAACGTTTAAGCGAAAACAAACAGTAAACAAATTTGGGATCAGTTTGAAGTGAAAACAATTAGTAATGTAATGCATATGAAAGCGATCTTCGTGGTAATGTACTGCATTGTCCGTGTAGACCTCCTCGTAGTAACTATTGTTAGAGGACTTTCTCAAACTCTGCCAAAAGGTTGTTTATCATATAGGACAGGACCGCTATGAACAAAATCTTTATTTACGCACGTCCGTGCGTAAATAAGATGACGTGAGTATTTTTTGTTTATTGTTGCTCTGTTCTAAAAGAATTTGCTCGTGCTTTTAGCTGTGCGTATATCGAGTTATGGATGCACTTGGGAAGTTTGGAGAGCACTCAAAAAGCTAGAGTTGCTCTCGGCTCGAACTACTCTTACGCATTTTTCGTACTCTCCGAACTTCCCGCGTGCATCCATGACTCAATATACGCACGCTAAGCATGAACAAATTCTTAATTTGCATATACGCAACATCCTCTATGACATCTTTATAATTATCATCTTATGTACTTCCCTTGGAAACGAAGATATACAACGTCTCCTCATTTTGCACTGGAAATTAATTAACATACAATTATAGTATAGGAATAAAATTAGCAATGTAAAATAATTAAAAAAAGACTTCTTTCTCGCTTGTGATTGAATGATTTTATAACAGCCGCCGACGAGCTCACTTGTTACAATTGTAATTTAAATTATGCACAAGATAGACGCAAAACGTAGTAATAAACTTGATTTAGCTATGCTCACGGCGTCTGTGGGGTCATAATCAGAGCTGAATTTAGAAAACTTTGAAAGAATGATATGGCAAATGCTCTGTATTATGTGTTGTCTTTACGTTTCCAGAGTTGTTTGGAGCTCGCAAGAAATCTTCACAATCTGGTTGACTTTCAGCGTCCTTCACGCATGCTATGTATTTGTAGATGCTCTCTTTAAGATAATTCAAAGGCGAGGGTCCATGCCTTAGAACCTGTGGAGATATAGGGAGCAAGTTATTGGAATTATTTGGTTTATTAGGAAAATTGGATATTGAATCGGCCCCTACTGTTACATTCGATCTTTCCGAAAGCAGGTGCTATTTGTATATAGCAAAAATCCTATCGTATTTTCTCGGGAAAGTCAAAAGCGTAAGGGTTTCGATCATTGCCTCCTTGTCAAAAAATGATAATTAACAGGAATGGAAAAAAAGGAATGAGGGATGGAAGGACTTAATCTGAGGTCATAACAGCAACTCAAAATTGGTTTACAGCCATTCTCTGGGTTAAAAAATTATCCCTAAACGAAGCATGAAAGAAAATAACTTTTAAAAAAAAATTTAAAAAGTGAAACACTTGATGCGAAACTTTAGAATCACCTGGAAATGAAAATCCTTCAAATTAAACTTCTCCCCCAAAGCTTTCTCTGCTTCTTGTTTCAGCTCCATGATTGACAGTTGTCCGAGCATATAAGTGACAGCTTGGCCGGGAATGCTCTGGTACCGAGTTACCTCCTTCTCAACTTTGTCACTTGTGTCCCAAGCGTAATCAGCAAAGAGTCTTAGAGCCCATTCACGTGACTTTCCTTTGTAATGCAACCCTGTGTCTACGATCAGCCTCAAGGCTCGCCATATCTTGTAAAATAAGATAGATGAAATAAGATAGGTCTCGCAAAAAAAGCGTCGGATAGAAAACGTTATATTACCAGACCTCGGAATAAATTTCCATCAAAACCGTGTGTTTTGCAACCTACAAACAGTACCACCTCAGCGTGAAACAAACCTCAAATATTTCTTTGATAAAATAGAAAAACACCAAAATGGAAAGTTTAAATCAGTAGGAGGGAAAATGGTTAAGAAACTTAATATGAAAAACAGACTTGATGAGTGACTTGAAATGGAAATTTCGGCTTAAAGTTAGGACAACTTATGACTTAGTGACGCCCTCAAATATGTCGAACATTTAGCTACCAAAAAAAGAGCATTGACCTCTACAGGTCTTGTAAGCTTATGCATTGTCCATGTAAAATCAGCTATGGGGGACCCACTCGACAATCTATATCGGGACCCTAATTAAGGACTAACAGAGATCTAATATGCATTCAAACTCTGCTGCGTTTGGTGAGTAAATATACCTGCCATTTGAGCATGCCGTATCTGATCAGCGGATCATATTTGTAAGTGTCCGTGTAATTTGATATCAGCGGATTTTCCGCGTAAAGAGCCCAGCCTTCAGAAAACTCTAAGAAAAACGTGTTCTTTTGGATCCATGAAATGGGATCAAAACAGTCTTCTTGAAAATTCTCCACATATCCTTGACTCTGGGATTACAACAAAAAAAAAACAAAAGCGTTAGAGAGAAGTATTTTAGCTATATCAACTGAAAAACACAGAACCCGTAAGGGAGCTTGACTACATGCTAAATCCAAAACTGAAAGCAAGACTGTTTTGAAACTGTGACTTGATACATGCTATGCTTGAGATTGGTAGAGAGATTAAATGAAAGTAGTAAATTAAACAGAGCTTTACACTACACAGTAACTTACTGTTTACAGGAATAACAACGATTTTCTTTACATTACCAGTGTCTAGAAATAACTTCTAAGTACTGTCATTTTAGGTGGAAACGGCCTTTAATTGATTCTGTTACTTTTGAAACCGATATATCAAGATCTTCATTGATTCTCTCGCTTGAGGCACTACGGTGGACTAACCTGTGTGTAGTGTCCAGGCCTTGCCTCGTGTGCGTTTATTGTCCATTCCTCATTCCTAGGGCCAGGCTTTTGTAGGAAGAATGGGATGGTGTAAGTAGAGTGCCTTGTACACTGTGAATCACTCTCTTGGAAAGATGGAGCTGCAGAGGATGGGTTGAAGCTTGGGACGAGTTGAACGGGACAGTTTGGAGTGGACCGGAAAGGACCGGTAAAATGGAATAAGTCGATCGTTTTTGGATCAAGGGTGGCCATAATCTAAAATCAAGGGTAATGAGATCCCTTAAAAAGACTGACAACAACAACAACAACAACAAAAATTACAGCATAACACTAAATGTTCGTAAATTTCTTGCATGAGGCTGTGGTGTAGGAATCTGAAAAAATTGGAAACAGGTACTTATTCAGCATATGTGTCAAGTTGTTCATGAGTAGCAGCGGATTACATAGAGATAGAAGTTAAATGGAAATTTTTAGTTTCATCTACATGTCATCTTAAAACAAGTATCCACAGTTTTCTCAATGGAATGATATATATTCTGGTAACTGCAATCCAACATTTTTCAATTTTTTTAATTCAACGATTTTATTTCAAACAAGGTCCAAACTGACCTCTCGCGCATGAGCAAACCAGTTTTGCATAGCATTCCAGCGGACAGGACAATGCTTTTTGGCTCCGGAGACTGTACTGCACAGCTTATACGCAACTGCGTTGGATTCATTCCTTGGAATATCTTTCTTATTGTAAAACATTTCCGATCCATTAAGAATATTAATGAACTTTTCCTTCGCCCTCTGAGTGTTATTCTCATTGGTTACGCTTTGCGCTAAACTTAGAACCTAAAATCAGAGAGAAAAAGGGCAAAAAAGTCACATTGAGTTAAATTATAGGAATTTGCATATAATTATATAACTTTCCTTTGCCAAGGTAAAAAGAGATATTGTGCACTTTTAGCGATGCAATACGGAGAGTTTTGCTCAACTCGGCAAATTTGAGGAACAGATGATTGTATATTCCGATGGTTCAAGGTTCAATGGTTCAAATAATTTTCCTTTGCCAACTCAAAGAGAGATGCTTTGCGCTTTTGGCAATGCAATACGGAGAATCTTCTCTCAACCCATCACAATTGTGGAACCGACGATTGTGTTTCATTTCCAATGGCTTAAGGTCAGCATTGATAGCATTCTCTCCATTACTTCCGCTCATAGAAGTTTATTGTTTAAATCACATCTAAATTTTGATTGCATTATATGACAATCTTGCCGAGTATGGTGCAAAAAAAATTGTTATCAGCACGAAACTTAATTGAGCTTCTACGGCGAAAGTTCAGCGAAGTTGTTATCAAAGTCAAATTGATGACGATTTCGTTGCCGAGCGACTGGTATAAGTGAGCTTTGAGTTAAGATCCCTCGTAAATGTTGGTCGTTCTTTTCGGTTCGTTGATTTGCTAAACTTGGCCAGTTCTTTACTCCAATTAAGACGGATTTCACAAATTCTTCGCTCTAAAACTTAAAGGGCAAAGAACAAAAACACTCATATCCAAATAAATGATTTTTCAAGACTTATCATCTTACCTCTGGATAACTTTGATCTATCATTGACCAGCCAAGGTCGTATATTTCATCCGGGGTTTTACTGGTGGTGGTGAAGTACTGAAGAAGCTTCAGATAGGTGGTTTTCCCGTCTAGCTTTTCGCCCGTGGGCAGCCTCTTGGTCGTTTTTCGGTCTGTCTTTGTACCGTTGACATAAACGTAATCAAGGGGTAGGCTGGCTAAACCGCTGGACAAATTGCTTGGGGTGCAGTAAAGTAAATGTTCCTTTTCGACATACCTTAAATCAAACGATTTCATTTAAGCGGAGAGCGATGCATTTTAATATATCATTCGCTATCCAGCACAGAAGAAAGTTACAAGGAAATGTGAAGTAGTCAGTTGGAGGAATTGTGAGTAACATCTTCAGCCAGCCAGAAACAAGGTCTTTAATCGCCTCGAGGTTCTCTAAAGAAAACCGTCACTTTCGATTGTATTTAACACCAGTAGTAAGACCAAAAAATATATTTGTACGTTGACAAAACTGACTGGTAAAAACCGACTTTACTTACATAGAGAGAGAGGTGGTTTAAATGAGTCATTGCAATACGGATAAATTTAATTATTTTTGAATTTGCGAACCTTTGGCTCGATGCGCTAAACTAGGGTCAAGTTTACCCCTGGGTACACCGATGGAGATTGATTTCACTAGTGCATATTTACACTACCCACTCCCCCAGTGCAGAAAAATTGTCACTCCGATAATTTTCTCGATCAGTTACGAGCTTTTCCGCTTCCCCTCGGCCAAAGTCCCTCAGGACTACCAATTACTCAGGACTTTTGTTTGGAAAAGTTGATCCGGAACAATGGGCCATTTCTTGATACGTAGCAGTCGGATCGTTTGAAACCTGACAATTTGTTTTTATCATGTTGATAAATGTAAACTGTTCATCCTAAAGAGTTTCCAAAGCTAACGTTTCGAGCGTTAGCCCTTCGTCAGAGCGAAGCTTTAAAAGCTTTCTACGCTTGCCAATTTACTTCATCAACTCAGTTGATTAAACCAAATTATATTGTCATAACCCCATTAAGCAGTCTCACAATTTATTTAGAAAGTTAGCCCGTTTCTTCGTTTCTTTTTAAAGCAATATACGCTTCTCTGATAAGTTCAAGTGTTAGACCCTTGTTATACCATCAATTACATGAACAAATCCATAATAACATCCCTCCATCCAAGGATCTCAGGCAGCCATTTCAGGACCTTTTACAGGCACTTTCTTGCCTAGGCGCAGCGTTCTTCTCCCGTCTTTTTTTATTTAAAGCATTGACCATCGAAGCACATATTTCTAAACGATACCCAAGGAAACTACTTGTAATACTCAAACAATGCTTTCAAAGTTTGTCTGTTTTTCCCACGATCAGCTCTCCGGTGTTAGTAGTAGTAACACAATTAGCTATGAGATTGGAAAAAGATGTCGCTTACTAAAAAGGAAGACGTTTGTGTGGGAATCGCTAGAAGAAGCGTTGTTCAGATTGGCCGTCCCTGTAACTACTTCGGTTTGCTAAGTTTTATAATACTCTATCGAAATGTATTCAGACGTTAGAAATAGTCAATAGGTCCATTTATTTATATTATATTTCTAAGTTACTTCTCACCTCAATGTGCGCTGAATCGGCTCACCAACATAATCTATGACAAACTGCCTTAAAGACTCATTCACTGCTTTACCGTGCCTAGTTTTCCAAATTTCCAGTTCTTTTGAATTCATCTTAGAAAAGAAGTCACTGACCAGAATTTTTTTCATGTATGGCGCATCAAGAATTCCTGGAAGATACGAGATGAAAGAGTATGTGTGTAACAACAGCTAACGTCTTGACAACCTAAACTAGCGGAAGTCATCAATACAGGCAAGATGAGAGTCATATCGCCCGATAACCCTTTCGTCGGCAGCTCGGAGGTGAATAGCACCTGATATTCACTTTCGAAACAACCAATCAGCGCGCGCCAAAAGCACTATTCACCTGTGTGGTATATGCTAATTAGTAATGTTATTATAACTGCATTATTTTTATCTTTTTTATGTTGTGGTAAACTTATAAACAACCTCTACGGCTAAACGTTTTATTCAACTTAAAATAAGTTATCTTATCTTATCTTAACCGGCATAAACACCGAAGAAAGAATAACAATTATACCGACAGATCAAGACTAACCGACCACACCTAAAAAAACCCTACGTAAGTTCAAAGAGAGAGTTTTAATCTAAGGCCATGAAATCACTGAACGAACGAAACAGAACAGCGACGACTTAAGTTTACCGACGGATCGGAACAGATCAATCACAACTGAAAGCGCTGCCCGCAAAATTTTAGCTTGCTTCATTTCGAGGCAAAATTTTTTGAAGTTAACATACAAGATAACCTTTTACATTTCCACATTTACTTTCAGTTATTAAACGTATGATACACGCTGAACGACTTTTGTGTTCTCCACTGAAAAATCACAGTTAAAGACAATCGAGAAGGCTCACGAACGAGTGATACCTCAAAGGTTGCGGCTTTCCATGTTTCCTTCTCAATATTAAACCGATGAAATGAAGAGCTTTTAAACTGCCTAGAGTTAATTTCAATCAGATATGCTCTCTTCCTCTGACTGATTTCCTGAAAAGCCTTTTTTTCCCAATTGTTTGTCATAACAATGCCAAGACTGAAACATATTTACACAGAAACAAATTTACGAATTACTCACTTGTTTTATTTTGTTTCATAAATTGTTTTTTTGACAAGAGACCGCAAATTGATCATAAAAGAAAAACAGATGTCTTATATAATGTACGAAGGTTTCAACTCAGAAATTTAACCTTGGCCGTATAATTTTATTTGTTTCTCTCCGTAGGAGAAATTCTCTCTTTTATATAATATAAGGCTATACTGCAATTCATGTCTAGATTTTTCGCCTCTCTATTCAACAAAATAAGTCATGGTAAGTTAATGAAATTTTTTTCTTGTTTCCGCTGTGAATCAGTTTTCATAAGTAACAAAACTACGGGCGTCTCCTCATCTAATTCAAAGCTAAAAATTGTCAAGGAGTTTGAAGACTTGAAAAGAAATCCAGTTAATTCCATGTGACTTCAAGAGATATTGTTATGGCGGGACATTTTCACCAAAGACCTTTGACAGTACAAAAACAGCTTCAAAACATAATAACAGAATACTTTACAAACAAAGAAAGGAAAAAGTTATTGAAACACAGCTGCAATCTGCGAATATATTTTCAATTTTAAAAAACATCATTTTTTTATCTAATATGAAATGTCCACGAGTGTCTGAAAATTGCAAATTAACCTCTAGCGATTTTGTTGGAATACAGAAAGAATTACATTGCTCTGATGTCTATTGGTGTAATCGACGCCCTTGACTTGAAGAAATGTATTGCGTGGTGAATTTGCAGCGTTTGAGCCCGTTTTCCAGCTCAAAAAATAAAATCAGCATTACATCCAGGACTATTTTGAATGAATAAAAAGTTTCCGCTAAATATTTTTGCTACTTCAGTCTGAGAAAGTTTTTTAATGACAGCTTTAAGCTTTGATCTTAAAATGAATTACGCAGTTTGAGAGGACAAAAACATATATTTGGTCCAAGACAAGAAAGATTAAAATTTTTGTAAAATATCAAAGGTGATATGATTATCATCCAGTGATATGCTACTCTATGAACTTATTTTCGTCTTCTCGGATTGATCATTAATTCTTACAGCAGGTCAAAATTGTTGCATTAATCGATAACACTTTTATTCACTGAGTTGAATAAATAACTGCTGTAAGATTATAAGACCTTTATTTCCTTACCAGCTGGGCCGTCAATATCGACCTCTCTAAAGGCGCCTCTCAAACCATCCAGCCCGGCCTTGCACTCTTCAATCGTACGAACCATACCAGTAGCCACGCCTAATCTCATGTTCTCCACAAACTGTGTAAATGTTTGGTTAATTTCCATCAACTTATTCCTTATTATCTCCACTTCAGACACAGTTGACGGCTGGAAATGGGGCAGTGCGCTACCCACATCCATTGGCAAGAAACAGATAGAAGACCAACAGAAAACGTTTGGTCCCATCAGCCAATCTCCTGAGTAATAATCATAAGCGAAGGGGACACCGTAAGGAAAAATGTGCCGCATCCAGTGAGAGAGCTGCGCTTTGGCTCGCTTTTCCCGAAGTGTCAGCTTGTTTTCTTGAAGGTTCATATCTTCAAGCCTCTTCGTCAGTTTAGCTATCTCGTCTGTGACAAATTTTATCTGCATTGGCGTGGAATCGTAGCTTTTATACCGCTGGCGGATTTCATTTGGCATCACCCCCTTTTTAAACGCGATTTTATGCGGTAACAACTCGTAAAATCTCTCTTGAGCTTCGTGCAAAAACCTTGCTAGTCCCGAAGTATGCGCCTCCCTTGAATATTCACAGCCGCTCAGGACCGCTCGTGTAACTTTTGCAACTTGACATGGCTCGTTGTTCTTCCGCACCGTATTTGCTTGTATCATCATAACAATACCGGCGATAAGGCAAGCTATCCCAGCGATTATCAACGCGCCCACGACAACGGATTCACATCTAGTCCGCCGCCTTGTAATCCCAACCTCTTTATACAACAGCGCCATCCTAAGGTGGAAGGAAGGAAAAAGACCACAGGACGAAAAAAGTGCATTAAGTTTTAACGCCAAATGTCAAATCTTACGTGTTTCGGAAATCGCTCGAGTGGTCCCAAATAAAAACAATTCTTGCCAAAGTGCAATCAAAATTTTGTTATGGGGTTTTAAACCAATCAATTTTCTCAAAATCGCGTCCGGTTTTCTTCATTTTTTTTCTTCATTAGTGAATAAGTCTCTCCGGTGTCATTTGTTGTGATAGAAAGATGTTGACTTTTTTTGTTAACTTTTATGGAAATCTAGCATTTAAAGGTAGCGCTTGGAAAAGCTAATCTACTAGTGTAAGCACAAAAAGTAAATAAATCATTTCAGATAGGTCAATTTAACGGTTGTGGAAAAAAAAAAATGCTCGGTGCACTTTATGACTAAAATCATTGTCGAAGGACTTCGTCTACGGGCAAAATTACCGCTATAGCGATACGCCGTCAAATCTCGCTAAAAAATTATACGGAAAATCCGTGACGATGTACACGAGACAAAACATAATTTATTACTCCAATTTCACTCAGCAGACGGTCATCCTTAAATCAGGGCGTTTCAATTTTTTCTTTTTATAATTACTTTCTGTTTTTTTATTTTTTTATTTTTTTTTTTGGCATTCGAGTTTTTTGTTGAAAAGATATCTCGGTATTTTTTCCAAAGCTTTCAGCAGACTTTCCGGAGAAATAGTGAGATCATTTCTTTGAGTGTTTATTACAACTACGTAAACAGCTTTCGAGAACTTTTATTTGTTCTTATACTTGACTACCTTGACATACAGCTAAATACAAAAAGGCCGTGGATAACCTTAAAGTTTAAACCGAAATTTTTTCAAAAGGGAAAATTTGTCTTTGCCTTTAGAAGAAAATCTAAAGATATTGTAAGGAGAAATTCGATGCTTGTTAATCTTTAGGGGAAAAGGTAAAAATTCTCGGCGAAAGCCATGCAAATCGCAACGTATTATCAAAAATTTCTAAATATTAATTCTCCATCCTGTCTCCTATAAATTTCTAAAAATCTTGGCTATAAGAAAGTTGTGATATCAAACGATATCAAATAGTTTTTTTTCCTTCGCATCAGCTTTCCCCTGGAACATATAGTAATATTAAAGAAATTCTCTCCTGCCTACCCCGGGGAGCAAGAGGTTTCACATCGCCAAGCAAAACATAAGAAAACCAAATTTCTTACAAATCTTAGATTTGCGATCACCTCTTTCTCGTTTTCTTTCATTAACTCTTTAAACCCCAACATTAGTATTCATATTCTCCATACTGGTCTCTTAACATTCCTTATGGTTTTGACAAAGAGAAATTGTTTGACAATCAAGAGTTTCTTTAGGTGGTGATCATTTCCTTAATTCTCGTAACCTTAATGTTTGATTCATAGGTGATACTGTATAAAGAAATAACATGCTAATCACTCTTGGGGGTTGAAGGGTTGCACAAAAGTTGCTGTGGCTAGGCTTCATTCATGCATTAAACTTCCTGTATACTGCTTACATTTGGATGATGATGATGCAACAGTAGAATGGTGAAAATACAGCTTTATCTACAATAAGAAAGATTTCCCAAAAGCAAAAGTTGACTGCAAAATTGTTTCACAATGTTATCAATATTGTGTTGTTACATTCTTTATTTCTGTACTGCTGAGTAACACTCAGGTCATGTACAAGAGTGAAACCATGTTCTCCTACCAAAAGCCTGACATTTTTCTTCACTGTTGCTGTAGCTTGTAATAAAATAAACTTTGTTGGGATTTATGATGTTCACTCTCCATTGGTATAATCTTGAGAGACATTAGTATCACCAAACATTTATTGAAATAATTGAAAACAGAAACAAGTTAGGGCAACATTTTAGATTTGATAGTCAAGAAGCAAACATTTCTATTTTCTTGCCATAATAACAACCATGAGAAAGTATACCTACACAAGGGTACAAAATAAGCTCTTCTGTTCCTTTTTACATAAACAGCCATGCTCCATAACTAAAACATGATCATCTCATGCCTGTACCTGCAACCTACTGTTCATGAAGACTAAAATTTTTAAGAGGAGAAACTATTCCTCTTGGTGTCATATTAGCCACAGAAGCAAACCCATTTAAAAAGCCAGCTTCTTGATCAAGAGGTACACATGGTCGTCTACTTCCATTCCATGTAAATTGTTAGCATCACCTTGAAGCCTCATTAGTAGACCACCAAAAGACACATATGCAGCTCTAAAAAAGAAAACAAAAGCTTGCATTCACCATGAGTTCTCGAAGGTATCTTTTCATATTAACAAAAGCTAATGCCTGTTCCCTGCTTGTTTTGCTTCATAAAGGCTTTTCCTTTGGACCTCAATTTTGTCTAGCCAAAATACGCTTTGACTGTGCTCTGTTCTGTTGTAAGGCATGCCAGATGCAGCTAAAGTACAAAAGAAAGGTAGAAAAAACACAAGAGGCAGTCTGGTGGTTTTTTTTTTTTTTTTTAACTTCTTGAGTCCAGGAATTGGTCTGCCATTGTACAAATTGCTTGATGGCATGACACAATTACTCCTTGCATCTGTACTCTTATTGAGCATGCTATTTCAGCCAATCAGAATGTGCATTAATTACTGGTGTGTAGAAACTTTAAGGTAAATACATACATGTCACACAATTCATTTTTTTAACATAATGCCCTAAAATTTGAAAAAAATAGGTGTCTCACACACCCTTAACTCCAATAACAGACAACACTCTACATCAGCCACTTTCCTCTCTCTACAAAATGGTCGCTGTATATTACATTTGCTGTTTTACTCACAGTCTTGTTGGAGCATCAACTCCACTTTCATCTCCTTCTATTCTGTAAACTTTTCCATACATGGCATATTCAAACTGGTCAGCACGTGAGGGTCCACTGTCTGAAGGGTTATATTCCCCATCATCTGGGGTGCCATCTTCTTTGAGAGTATTAGCCAAAACCAGTCTGAATTTTTCCCCATAATCAACTGGATAGATCTGGGTATTCACATCAAGTATAAGATCCATTTTAAAACTTTCACTTTCACAGTGAAGTCGAGAAACTGAAAAGGAAGGAAGCAGCACATTAACATCACTCAGCTTGTTTGCAATAGCTATGTGGTGCCAGTGTCTATTTTTGAGAAAATTTTGGAGCTTGCATCTGCATATGCGTCTGCCATACTCTGTAGACAGGCCTGTATACATGTAAAAGCATACCTAAATTTAAACATAAGTTCACCCTCTACCACAATGTTGTAGAATTACAGTAAACACTGTCCCCTATTGCTCGAGGGGAAGAAGGGCTACAAGTTGAGAGGTGGGGGTGGGAAAAGTAACTTCTTCCCGAATTCTGAGTTTTAGGATTCAACTACAGCTGTACACCACCAATTGGCGTTTGCGCATATGTGATAAACTCCTGCACACTGCTTAGGTTTTAATGTCGATGTGGAACTTTTCCACAGTGATCTGGAGGATTATGGTAATGTTTTTAGCCTGTTAATTAAACTGAAACGTTGATTTGTCTCATTCCTTGAGACAGGCCTGCTCAAACTCCCAACAACAGTCTAGTAGAGTATCGATCGATGAAACCCATCAAGTTGGAAGCGGTAAAACGTTAAATTGACTCAAATCTTGGCTTAAAATACACTTAAGCGATAAAAACTTCTATATCCTGAACATAACTTACCTCTGTCGAATTTTTTCCCTTCTGGGTCGATGTCTTTGACGTCGAAAATATCCTCAAACAGAACTCCAGCCATGTTGAAATACAAATTGACCAAGCGTCAATGTTCAATACTATCAGGGAGTGGGTAAGAAAAAGAAATATGAAATTGGTAGGTTATCCTTTTTAAATAGTTTTCAGGCTTTTTTTCGAAACTTTTGGCTCGTTTTAATGAACAAATTCTAAAAAAAATGTATTAATCTTTAATTCCAACAGAAATATATGTTTTAGGGGATAGAGTTTTTTTGTGGTCCTCTCCCTACCTTAGGAAGAAGCAAAACTTAGCACCCGCTGGCCTGGTTACGTAGTCCCACGTGAAGCTCCAAAATGGCGGATGATGAAGGAAACCTTTCTGCCAAGTCGCACAGAAAGAAACAAGCTGGGCCTAAAGCAGAGAAAAAGAAACAAAATAAACACCCGCCAGAAGCTGCTAGTGCTGAGAGAAATCGTAAGGCCTTCTCATTCAAGTCGGCCGTTAGAGCAGCTCGCCAGTTTCGTCGAAAGCAAGATGTTGAGACAAAGCGACATCACGAACCAGTTGTTGATCGAACGCCACTAGAACCTCCACCATACATCATAGCAGTGGTTGGACCACCCAGAGTTGGTAAAAGTACGCTCATCAACTCACTACTGAAGAATTTCACCCGTCAGCAGTTGTCTGATGTGAAAGGTCCTATTACGATTGTGTCAGGTGAGTGTATACAATCATTAGCCACGGTTGTTATCAAATGTTCGGGCACATGTTTCATGAGGATCGTAAACCAAGATCTCCGTGTTACTGAAGGAATGAATTGAGCTGCCCAGAATTACGAAGCTGTTTTCGTAAATTTACGTATTTGTGGTCGCGTTACACATTGTAACCGTAAAAACTTGGCAAACTTTAATGAGGACTACAGCTGAAGAGCATTTCTACAGCTTAAGAGCACTTCTCACTTCTCATTGGGCTTTAGGTGTTTATATATGTTATATGATTAATTTTTCAGGAAAGAAGAGACGTCTCACTTTGATTGAATGTAATAATGACATCAACTCTATGATTGACGTGGCAAAAATTGCGGATCTGGTAAGTTCACATAGACAACTTTTGTTAAGTATACCTATGTTGTAAGATTCTGAGAACACCTGCTTGACATTGAAAGGAATGACAGAGACACATCCAAACCAGTCACCAGACATGCTAATCTCTTAAATCATTCTACACCATAAGAACTATATAACTGTCTGCAGCTTTACCCAACATCAAGGTAATTTGGAAAGTTGCAAAAGTTTAGAACAAAAATTTATCGTTCAAACCCAAACTCTTAATCACCATGGTATCAACAAATTCCTTTCATTCAACTAATAAATTATTTATTCTTGTGTTTTTCTCACTACCATGTTCCCACAAATAGCGTAGCTCAATTTTTTTGTTAGAAACCACACACAACCCTCAATGCACTCTGATGAAGGGCCAACACTTGAAACCTCAGCTTTAGAAAGTCTTTTGGTGGCCAATTAACATTAAAAACACAGTTGATAAAAATAAATTACCTTTATCTATTAATGCTTTGTGGGTGATGACAACATCATTATTTAATCATTTGGTCACTTTCTGAGGCTAAAACCTGATTTGTGTTGTTTTTGCTTCTGTTTGTAAACATTTCAAGGTTCTCCTCCTGATTGATGCTAGTTTTGGCTTTGAAATGGAAATTTTTGAATTTCTGAATATCTGTCAAGTTCATGGCTTCCCAAAGATCATGGGTGTCTTAACACATCTTGACTTGTTGAAGAACAACAAAGCCCTTAAGAAGACCAAGAAGAAACTGAAAACTAGGTTTTGGACAGAAGTTTACCAGGTGACTGTTTAGTTTTAGTTTAGTTTCTTAATCTTTACCTCCCAGGAGTGACTAACACATAATTTCTCCTTACAGTATCAAAACAGTATCAAACAGCCAAGAGATACAAATGGCAAGAACTGTTAAGTAGGGGATTGACATTATATCAAACACCAAGTTCTCAGAACAAAGTTAGATATAATGCATGGAGTAAGGAGAATTTTAATCGAGATAAATGTCTTTGAAGTGAAAGGATTAAGTTTCTTTTGTAGATTAAACATTAGGTATCAATATTAGAGAAAAGGGAGTTTAGTGGCTGCTACACAAAATTGTGTGGCTTAATTTTAATGACACAAGACGTTCTTTACTTCAAGTGGAGAAAATTCTTCAGTTACTTTGCATCATTTTCCTGCTTCTCTACTTCGTGGTAGAACCTTGCTTATAGAATTGACATTTCTAAAATATCACAGGTCAGAACCTTCAGACATCAGTTCTGGTGTCATTTTTTTTTTTTTTTTTTTTTTCAATATTTGAAAACATGTCTTATTTGAGATGGTATTTACTCTATTTGCAGGGAGCAAAATTGTTTTATTTGTCGGGTCTAGTTTACGGCTCTTATCCTAAAGTGGAGATTCATAACTTGGGAAGGTTTATTGCTGTGTCAAAGTTTCGACCTTTAACCTGGAGAGTTTCACATCCATACATCCTTGCCGACAGGTAAATTTTTTTATCCTTTTACTTCCAAGATCTGTTTGTTGTTTTAGATGCTACAAATTTCCTTGTAAATTAGTTGGTGTAAGATCCAGATAAGGACCTCTGCTTGATATTAGTTTGAGTATTCTTCTTTTTTTTTTTTTTCTGGATAATAATTGTATGGATATTGTACAGGGTTTTCTTTAAGGTTTTAAGTAGCTGGAGCTTTTTTAAAGGTAAACGGTAAAGAATATTCATATCTCGAAATCCAATATGGCAGACAAAACGTCATATCGTTCATACTTTCCTGCTACTCAACAAGATTTGTCAAAAAGACAGTCCCCATCAGAACATTTTTAAACCAACCCTGAGTCATAAGTCTTTTTATGTTTTCAGAAAAGATAGGCAGATCTGTATGGGCTCTTGAAGCAATGAAAGTAGCTGGGGAAACCTTGCAGAGAAGCTGGCATACTTTGCTGGCTACCAGCTCTTATCTACAACCCTGTTGTAGTGAGAGGTCTCATGTTAATCACTTCTGGGAGTTTAAAGGAGAAAAGCTGATATTTGCAGAATATTGATTTTTCAGTTTTGTACAGTCACATTCAAGTGACATAAGAATGAAAGTAAAGTGAACTATTCAAAGAGGGTCATATACACTGTATGTGCCATACATGTGCAGCTTTTTTGTTTCTTATATTCTCTATCAATTTTATAAATTTTGTGTCTTCTCTTTCCAGAATGGAAGAGTTGACAGATCCAGAACTTATTCGTCAAAATGCCAAATGTGATAGGAAGGTTTCCCTATATGGCTATGTGAGAGGAGCACACCTACAACACAACTCCAGAGTCCACATCATAGGTAACTGACATACAACTACTTTAATATGGCGTCAGCAAGCTCTCCCATTAAGAGAGAAAGCCTTAGTTGATCAAAGGGTGAATATCACTGTCTGCTGGATAAAACTCTGTCTGGTGGATAGCAAAGAAAGTTTTGTCATCAATTATCTGCTGGATAGTATTTAACCAATGAATAGCATTATCCACCATGTGAACAATGGGGCCCAGGTTTCTATTTAAGCTACATGTAGTTGAAAAGATAATCATCACAACTGAAAATTCAGTTAACAGTGTAACCCTTGTGCATGTTTATACAAGTGTTTTAAAGTCTATGAATTTACTACCAACATGGCCTTTAAAACATGAGAGGCACCAACCAGGATTAAATTGTGATGTAATAATGTTTTTTTTTTTTTTCCTTTTCTTGTTTCCTTTCTCTCTTTCATCACTTTTCTGTAGGTTGTGGAGATCACACTCTTGAAGAGATCAGCCTCCTACCAGACCCTTGTCCTCTGCCAAACGCAGAGAAGAAACGGTCACTGAATGAAAAAGAAAGACTTATATATGCCCCTATGTCTGGAGTTGGGGGTGTTGTCTATGACAAGGTGACAGTCTAAGTTTAAGCGGCCTTTACACTCAGTACACATTCTCCATACTGTTCCTTATACATTTTCTAAGATGCTGACAAGGAGAATTTGTTTAACAATCAAGAGATTCTTTAGTTGGTGATGTTCTTCTCTATTCTCATCACTTTAATGTGGAATGCAGGGGTTATATTGTGGTGAGAAATTAGATGCTAATCACTTTTATGTAACAAATGGTTTGCATAATTTCTGCATAACACAACAGTTTTCAGGGATATTACAACATGCTTCTGGCTTGCTGTAAATTAAGTTTCCCTAAAAAACTGTAACCGTTGACAGTTGAATTTACTCTGGAAAGGCAGTATACACTGTACATGTGTTTTAAGAGTTATAATTTAGTGATTGTTTCTATTCTCCCTTTCATTGCTTGGACCCCAATTTAAATTTTCTTTCCCTATACTGTTTAGTTTTGAGACTTTGGTGAGAAAAGAACACAGTTTCCTTGTTTATATATATTTTTTTTACCTGATGTTTGAGAAAGGATTGAAATGTTTAGAGGAAATATGTACCTTTTTGGAAAAGGAAGAGTTTAAAGATCCATAAATTTGTAGCATATAAAAATTTTAGTAATATAAAGAATTATTCAAATAGTACACTACTTAAATTGTTTCAACTTTCATTGTAAATGTTTAGAAACCCTCCTCACGATATACTGTATTTCAGATACAAAAAGCTGCTTTCTTAATGTTTATTTTGTGCCACTTCTAGGATGCAGTGTACATCGACCTTGGTGGAAGTCAGGCAGGGAAAGAGAGAACCAACCCCTCCACTCAGGTGATTTCTAAAAAGTTTGAATGCACTCCCGTAATATTTGAGACTGAAATTTCGAGACACAGGGAAACCTGTGGAGGAAAATTAATAGGCTAAGATAAGAAATACTAAAAGGGTCAAGATTTTTTTTTAAATGCTAATGTTGCAAGCATTTACCCTTCATAAGAATGAAGAAAAGATAATATCTAAGTGTAAGTTAGAAACATTTTAGAGTGATCAATTTCCATCACAGCCTCAGTTGAAAAAAAATAAATTATCTCGAGATGAGAAATACACTGAAACTTATTGATTATGATACAGAGATTATTTTTTATTTTTTAGTAAACATCTGTTATGTGCACCAAAACTGATCAACAGTTTACTTACTGTTTTTGTTGTTAATTTTTAGGTTGAAAATCGACCAGGAAATGAACTTGTGTCTTCTTTAATTGACACAAAGCAGACAATTGACAGTAAAATGCAGACAAGTCAACTGACATTGTTTAAGGTAAGCAGTGGATGACAGAGTACATAGGGAAGCACTAATAAACAGAAGTTCCACTTGATGAAAACAAATTGCTCATTATAAAACATTTTTTGTTTCAAAGTTGTAACAATATTCACAGAATTACAAGGCTTTAAACCAATGAAATGCTTGCAGCTCTTTAGTTCATGGCCATTTTGTCTCACAGGATCAGCTTTTTTTCATTATGTAATATATTACTGGTAGTATTTCATCAACAATGAACATAAATTCAAGTCTTTCATTTTCACTTCAGTTTTCCTAAATATTCAATAAAAATCTACTGTAAATGAGCTTTTAAATTCATGTGTTCTAATTAATCAGTGTTATTTAAATCTGTTTTTATTATTTGTTCACAGGATGGTGCACAAATAGCACCTGATGAAGTCATTGAGTAAGTATTTTCACACTGTCACATAATTTGAAATTATTACAATTATTTGTTATACAAGTATTTTTTGGATCCCTCTTTGTAAAAAGAAAACTGATTGTCCCATTATAGATAGGGTAGCAATTCTTGTTGATACTTAGCGCTCCTAGAGGAGGCCTGTGTTAAAAATTATGGTTCTGTTTGGTCACAAATTGCCCCTAAGGCTCCTATCTGCAGTGTATGCGTGGGTGCACGTTTTATAAGTGTATTTGAATCTTGCTGTTTCTTTCCCTAGTTTTTTTCTAAATTACAAAATAATTGAAATACTACCCATGAGAGGCCTGATTGGTCAAAAACCTGTTATTTATTTCACCGATAAACCCATAGAAAATTTGAAAATTTTAAGTTTATTTTATACAAGCAATAAATTGCACTCTCTAACGGTATACCAGCGTTATAACCAACTGTTGGGTGTACAAGAGAAAAGTTTGTGAATCACTCACTGGCTCGTGACTGAAAATAATTTTTACGTTGTTCTAACATCCCCAATGGGTTATTACGCTGGTAAACGAATAGAGAGTGCACTCTGTTGCTTAATTACTAGTCTATTATTTGTTATTTTTTGTTACGAACTCGTTAAACTAAATTAGAATACATGCATGTGCATTTGAACCACATAGGGATGACGACTACTCAAGACCCTCTGAGGAAATTGTTGTGGATGAGAATGGTCGAAGGAGAAGGAAAGCTGTATTTGGTGATTATGAAAATGAGGATGATAAGGAGGAAGATGGTGAAGATGACGAAGTTATTTCAGATGATGGTGAACATAGTGATGAGGATGATGACGACGACGAACGTGGTAATGATGATGAGAATGATAGTGATGACAGTGACATTGATGATGCTGTGGTAGAGAGTGACGAGGAGGATGAATTTGACGACGAGGAGGAGGATGATGAAATAGTTCTAAAGTTGAATTCTAAACATGCTAGACGAGAACTGTTGTTAAAGAAGCAAACGGCTTCGGAAAAAGGAACTGAAAATGGCCGGGAAGGAGATGAATCACAAGAAGATTCAGAGGAAGAAGACGAAGGAGAACAAGAAAAGGAGGAGGAGGAGGAGGGAGAGGAAGAACATAATGGAAGAGAATCTGAAGAAGAGTACAATTTTAATACTAAGGATAATTCAATGAATGATTCCGAATCAGACTCAATAATTGATTTTCCTTCTCTGAAGAGAAAGAGAAAACTTGATGTTACAGAGAAAGGGAACCAAGATCACGGTGTTAAAAAGAAGTTAAAAAATGAAACAGGCTCTGTGAAACAAAATGCGGTCAAAGGTGTTAAAGCTGATAAGAAAAATAAAGAACAGACTGAAAGGACTGGTGATAAGCCAAGTTTAATTGATTCCAATGTTGAATCAGGATCAATTCTTGAAATTTCAAATGACAAAGAGAGTGAAGAAGATAGTGATGGAGATGTCAATATAGTGAGCTATGGTGACTCAGGTGAAGATGCAAGCGAAGATTCAGGATCTGAAATGGAAGAAGGTATAGTGTACATGTATCAGTTCAAGATTTAATGATGACCTACAAGTAGACTTACTGATCGACTGACTGATTAACTGAATGAAACACTAACTGGCAGACAAGTGTGACCGACAAACTGACCGACCAAACGTCTATGTAGTAAATAAGTACCTTGATGACTGAATTACTGATCAATAAACCAACAGACTTCTCGACCAACTGACTTACAGTGTAGCTACATGTATATGAACCAATCAACCGATCAACGTAAGTGCAATCAGGATAGACTAGTAAGATGGTAAGATGGAAATATAAGAGAATGAGCGTGGCATTTTTAACGGTCTGACAACTTAGGAAAAAAAAACCCCTAGACTACTGGAACTGGAAGTGTTTTACCTTCTTTATTCCCTATTTCAGGTGCTCTGAAGTGGAAGGAAAATCTAGCTCAGAAGGCAGCAGCTGCATTTCTGCAGCGCCAGCGAGACACGCCAAATATACAGAAACTTGTTTATGGAAATGGTAACATTGATTATGTATTTGTTTCTTTGTTCGTTTGTTGTTTATGTCTCTTCAACTCGAAACTCGGCGGTCTTTTTCATTTTCGTTGAGAGTTGAAGTTAGAGATATTTTTGAATGACTACGCATTGTATTCAAGCTGCATCTGACTCGAAGAAACGTCCAATTTTTGGTCTTAAGATTCCAATAACCATTTTCTTGTGTGTGCAGCTCTTCAAAATAAGAAAGAAGAGAGAGAAGATGAGGACAGTGATGAAGACGCTATCGGCGGAATATTTAAATTGAAGTCCATGAAAGCTTCTGAAAGTAAAGGCGTTTTACACGACAGAGACTGCTCGCTTGAGGTTATCACTACGCCGTTAAGGGATTGGAGTCAACCGGAAGTGCTTCAGAGCATCCGGGACTGTTTTGTGACGGGCAAATGGAAAGATTCTGAAGATGCCGAGATGCTCCTCCAGGACGATGATACAAGTATGAACTTATCTTGTTCAATGCCTAAATGTGCATTCCTATCAGGGCGCTTTCCGGTTGAGTGTCGTGAAGCCAAAGTTATGATAACAGCCAATCAGAAGAAGAGATTAATTTTATAAAGAACCAGTGAAAAGTCAAATTGAAGCGCGGGAAAACACGAGCGATAGAGTCTTGATTTGTTCTAGTTTTTGCACTTGACTGGTAGAGGATGACGCAAGTTTTCTCGGCCAATCACAGCGCGAAGTGAAGCAAAACTGCTAAATGTGATGGGGCCTAGATTGCTTTGGATTCTAAACTGAAAGCTGATCATGATTACATGTATTTTTGACGATAAAATTGGTAAGTTATCGTTAAAAAAGAAAGAAAAGAAAAGAAAGGAAATAAAGCTTTTCATTTTTTTTTTCAGTTTCCGATGATGAAATGTTCGGAGACTTTGAAGACCTGGAAACTGGTGAAGTGCATACGGCTGACGACAAACACAACTCAGAGAGGGAGGGACAAGAGGATGAACAGGATGAAAGTGAAGAGGAGAAAACTGATGGAGCTGATAGGAGGATGGAATTGAAAAAGAAACAGAAGGCGGCTTTTGATGCAACGTATCCTTTCTGAAGAATTTATTAACTTACACCTTGAACAGCTCCTTGATCAATTTGTGGATAGTGTCAACTGCTCTATGGCTAGATCAGCATTTCGACTTATTATTGATTACTTCCACGGTTTCCTTTAGAATGCCAACTCCTTCAGTAGACAGACCAGAGGCTGGAGTGAAATGGAGAGGCGCAAACGCTCAATTAAGAATCTTGTTTTTCTAACAATTGGCGGTTACTTTCCGATTTTCCTGCAGCTCGTTATTTAATTTGGTTGTGTAGGTCCAATTTGTGTTTCATGTGATTGGGGAGAATTCGTCAACTTGTTTGGTCGTTTTTTTATTCGTTTTGGTGACTTAACCTGACCAAGGTATGATGAAGGTGACGAAACCTCGTATTATGATGAGCTCAAAGCGCAGATGACAGAGCAGGCACAGGTTTGTACTGCTACCACGTCTCGTTTTACATTTTGATTGAAACAATGGATCCTTTTTTCAAGACCATGGCTGACTTAACATTTATTTCTGTCCACAGCTAAATCAGTCCGAGTTCCAAGACATGGATGACGAGACGCGAACACAGTATGAGGGATTCAGACCAGGAATGTATGTCAGGGTGGAGGTTAGTACAAGATCAGATGACTTCTCTTTACCTACTGTCTTACAGTAGCTACAGAGAGTTAAGTTATACATGAATGAAGCTTCATTCTCCAGTCGTAGGACAGTACTTTTAAACCGGAGCAAAATCTAAAACCAGATTATCGCAAAGGCTGTTTTGACTGCTAAAATGCTCATGGCAATTTCCATTTGACAAACAATTTGAACACAAGATGCAAAGGGGTCAAAGCGTGGAGAATATTCATAAGAGACTTGTAACCGACTTTGATTTCACATCTGAAGGTTCATGATGTAGTGGACAGTCATAGAGTTGATTCAAGTATTTCGAATTTCCTTTGATATTTTCTGAGAACTACATAAACTTAAATCTCAGTGGGTACAATTGTATGCACTTGAAACCGTCATACCCAGAAGTATTTCGTGTCACCAATTTTTGTCTTTCATTACCAAACTTTCAGCTCAGTGGTATGCCCTGTGAGTTTGTCACCAACTTTGATGCCAAATATCCCGTAATTCTTGGCGGCCTTCTGCCGAGTGAGGATAACATGGGATTTCTTCAGGTAAGTGTCAATACGAAAGACATCATGGAATGATTCCTAAACCCTTTTCACCCTGAAGTCATGTGGAACAAAAGAAGAATGCCATCAGCGTATGACAAACTTGAAATTTAAGAATATGGCTCTATGTGATCTTTTTTCAGGTTCGCTTTAAGAAACATCGTTGGCACAAGCGCATCCTCAAGACAAGGGATCCGCTGATCTTGTCTATTGGCTGGCGCAGATTTCAAACTTTGCCGATGTACTCAGTCCAGGACCACAACGGCCGCCACAGATTGCTGAAGTACACCCCTGAACATCTACACTGCATGGCTACCTTATTTGGTAAGGATACGTCTTAAAAACCTCTTTGCTTACGTAACCTAAGATCAAACCGGTTTTTTTTTTCGGGGGAGCACCAAACTGTAGCAACTTAAGACTCAGCGGTCCAGAAAACAAAATAGGTAAAAAGAAAACTTAGTGGTCATGTGTGCACTGTACACAAATGAACATCATTTTCTCTTTTTTCTGCACGAAGCTTATATGTATGTTGAAAAGAATTTTAGAATCACAAGGACAATTTATTCAATAACCACTTCTCCTCAGGTCCCATAGCTCCCCCCGGAACTGGAGTCCTGGCAATTCAAAGCACAGCAGGCGATATGGTAAGTTAGCAGGCCTTTGACCCTTTAACTCCCCAGGTCTGATTGTTAATGAATATCATAGAAAAAAGTTACATGTTAATTACTTGTGGGAGTTAAAGGGTTAAACTCACTAGATTTGATTTTAGAAATGTTTCTTTTCAGATGTTTAACATTTCTTTGGGAATTAGAGATGAGAATTTTTAATTGGTGATTTATCGAACTCAAGAAATCTGTTACAGTTTACAGACGGTCGATTAACAGTATTAGTATCAGTCTAGAGGATCATAGATGTTCTGTTCCATCATTACAGTGTCTTTTTCCTTCTTCTTTCCACCATTTTAAGTCTGATTTCCGCATCTCAGCCACTGGTACCGTGTTGAACTTGGATAAATCTGTAGAACTAGTCAAGAAACTCAAGTTAACAGGAACACCCATGAAGATATTTAAGAACACTGCCTTTATCAAGGTGATTTACAGATGTTATCCTTTGTATGTTTTCATTTGAAAGTGACGGAGAGCTGTTTCAGCCAGTAGCGAGAATCTTGAGCGAAAAAGAAAATTCCAGTCCCTTCGATGGGATGAGTGCTAAGATTGACCTGAGAAAGATCAGAACCCCTCTCCAGTATTTTCTGGTGTTTACCAAGCATGAACTCAGTTAGGTCCTGTTAGTGTAGTGACTAGTTCCAGTTCCGATGTTTTGAAGGTTCAAGAAAAGTAAGAAAGGTTTATCGAGATTTAAGAGATTGGAAAGGGTCGATATCATGTAACCATCATGATAAAATTAGTCTAACTCGCTTGAAACACGACCAAGCCTTCCCTGTGAATGATAATGATATTGTGAAACTGTTGCTAAGCACAAAAGACCATTTGGAACTCATGGAACTCAAGATAATTTTTTCCATCTCCAGGGCATGTTCAATTCAGCTTTGGAAGTAGCAAAATTTGAAGGAGCAACAATACGAACTGTCAGCGGTATCAGGGGACAAGTTAAGCGCGCGCTGAAGGTATGTTATTTTGATGTTTTTTAGCCTCTTAATCGAAGGGGATAAAGAGGTTTTGTTTGGCTCATTTGTTTTGCTTTTCTCACTAGAATCCGGAGGGTGCTTTCCGTGCAACATTTGAGGACAAAGTTTTGATAAGTGGTGAGTAACAACTACTTTTGTGAGCCGGCTTTTGTATAAAGACACGGTATGAGAACAGAGTGATCAGCAATGAAATCCAGTTTATAACAATATACGCGCGTATCTCGATCCTAATTCCTAATGAGCCACCATGGTGTATTCAAGTAAAAGACTGCACTTTCTATCGGTTTACTGGCGAAATAAACCACGCAAGAGTTGCTTTTGGCTTCGTCTCAAGCCATTCTTACGCTTCTCTCGTGCTCTCCAAACATCCCGCGTGCATCCATTATTCGATGTTTGCTCGCTAGTCATTAACCAATTCTTAATTGAAGCATGTGCAGGAAAAGCGCCTCTGACAGGCTTGCGCATCTGATTAGTTAAGGTGATGACTTGAAGATGTGAACCAAGTAATCAAATCAACAACCACCTGTGGTAACTCAGTAACTCAAAGCCTCGTACTGTTGTGTTCTCCAGACATAGTTTTCATTAGAACCTGGTACCCAGTCACAGTTCCGAACTTCTGCAACCCTGTGACGTCACTACTCTTACCGCCAGAACAGAAGGCAACGTGGCAGGGCATGCGCACTGTTGGTCAACTTCGAAAAGACCTAGGTTTGAAAGCGCCTGTCAAAAGTGATTCGTTGTACAAGGTGAGTACATCAGTCACGCTCAGATGTTAGCTCGAGCGACGTCGAAATATTTCTTTTAAGTACTGCAAAATTATTGTCAACTGCCATGCTAGGAAAAATGGTCAAATACTTGTGAAAGAATAATTCGTGGCTGGTATGACGCGGCGTTTTGTCTTGACAATAAAACTACTCATTAGTGCAAGGTCCTAAGATTTAGGCAGTTAAGGCCTCAATTAGAAGGATTCACAACCGCACGTAACAACAAGTATCATATTCGAGTGATTTTCTTGACCAATGTCTTCTAATGATGCCAGGTCTCAAAGTTTGTCTTTGTTTTGTCTCCCTGCCTAATTTTGGTTTGGTATTAGTTGTAGCGGATTTGGAACAGTTGTATCCAGCAACATTTGTCGTGAATTCACCGAAGTATAAAGGCTTCACCTCTTGAACGTTACCCATGTATGTGGTGTATTCAGGATTAGACGCTTTGGAAAAGCTTATAAAAATTGTTTTTACCGACAACTAAGATTCGGAGAACTGAAAAAAGGGCGTGGATCGTGAGGGGTAAGGAGTAATAAACTGAAGCAATATTTGTGTTATTGGCAGCCTGTAGAGCGGGTCACTCGTCACTTTAACCCACTGGTGATTCCAGCCAAACTTCAAAAAGATTTACCATTTAAATCCAAACCCAAGCTGATGAAGAAAAGGACTAAGCCAACCTTGGAAACGAAACGCGCTGTTGTTATGGAACCGCACGAAAAGAAGGTAAGTATATGACGGTCAAGTGCTGGTTTTCTTTTCATTTTTTTTAGAGAAATTTTCAGTTGAGTGTCGAAATTAATCCCAGAATGCATTGGTTTTGCTTTACTTCGCTCTGTTAGCGGAAATATGGTGACGAGAAAACAAGAAGAAATGAATTGAATAAAAAGCTTTCGTTGATACCGCGGGGGTTAAGAGTGCCGATTTGAAAGATAAATTTTTGTGCTAGAGTTTAGCGGCTTTCCGAACTGCTATGATAACTTAAAGATTCCTCCTTCCTTTCCTTTAACAGGCTTTCACGCTCATGAAGCAACTGTACACTGCAAACAAGGAGAAACAACGAAAGCGAAAGGAGAAGCTTCAAGAGAAAAGAAAGGTCTTTCGTGCAGAGCAGGAGAAAAAGGACGCAAAACGACAACAGAAACAGAGAGAAGAAAGGAAGAAGATTTTCAGAATGTTGGGAAAAGCAGAACAACGGAAAAAGAAAACATGATAGCGATCAAATTTAATATTCTTTCTGTCAATCTTTTTACATTTCTTGTAAAAAGTTGGGTATAACGATTCCACATCAAACAGGTCAATTGTTCTTCGGTGGTGATTTTCATTAAGTTTCTCCGCAGATGGACATTAAGGTAGCATAGTAAGGAGAAGACATACACTTAACCCTTTAACCCCCTACAGTGACCAAGACAGAATTTCTCCTTACAATATCAATACAATATCAACCAGAGGAGTGATGAGAATAAAGAAAAATATCAATTTGGGGACAATGAGTTGATCCAATACTAAATTCTCTGAACTAACATAAGAATTAATGGTTGACAGTAAGGAGAATTACAAATTTGACCTGGGAGTTAAAGGATTAAGCCAGGCTTTGATTGAAATGGGTCAGTTTGTTTTTCTGTGTGTAGTTTGCACGGTCACGAATGACGTCTAGGACTTGCTCACGTGTTAGTGTGACGTCAGCTGTTGTCCTCAGTGTATAATACAGACTCTTATTTGAAATAAATCCTTTTTTATGAATCTTGCGGAAATTGCTAGAATAAAACGAACGGAATACAAGAAAGCTGACTTAAGAAGGAACAGCTGAACTTAATTTGGTAATGGCCGGATGGAAGTCGTAATAGAAGAAGAAAGTCAAGTTTTCTATACCAACCCTGTCATATCTTAGGACAGAGAACTGGGTAGTGAAACTGCTGCAGGTTGGTCGAAAGCCTCTCCGCATCTTCGCTTTTTCCTTTTTTCCCCTCTTCTAAAACGAGTGTATCTACACATAATTTATAGTCTACGATAATATGTTTGGTCTGTCTGTTTGCAGCTTTGACAAGTACCGGAACGCAAATGGTTTCCAATTAGCAAATAACGAGGTAAACACAGGTTGAGAACCTTGTTGGATGGAAAATGGGGTAAACTCTGTTTGATTCTCGTCAAGCGTTTTTGACATTTCTCAACCCAACTGCTTTACCAAACTTCCTAAAATAGCGCTGATGTGACAATCCTTGTCGTAGGATGCTGCGAAATTTTCCTGCGGAAGCTATAATTTGGTGTTCCTAAATGTATGACATTGTGAATCAATGGATCGGTTTACATTAGCTGACCGGACAAACAGCAACATGCAATACTGCATTTACGTCACTGAAGAAAACTTACGCCATGATCCGCTTTGAAATCTAATTTTAGCAAACTTTTTCTAGTATAATTCGATATGACTTTCGCAATAGATAGAGAATCGATCTTGAAGACACAGTTTTTGAGGATGCGTTGCTATCTTTCTTTGCCGATTACTGACAATTTCGCTCGCGTGTTTATCTCGCTTACTGTAATCCACGAGAGCCAATATTTTTCCTTGTTTATCGCAAACAGTCATCAGCATGCTGTTTTAATCGAGAGAAGAATATTCACGACAAGGTCTCTGTCCATGAATAGTTAACTAGTGTCTGATGCACCTTTCTTACGAAGCTTTAAGTTTACTTTTAAGTGTCGTCTATGAAATATTGTAATGTGCACAGGCGTCAATAAAATGTCTTACAACCTGCTGTGAACAACAGTTTCCAATTTTAGCCTTAAAAACACCTGCTAAGTATGTACGGCGTCTACTCAGGCCTTTACCTTCTTTCTCTCACATTTGCAAATTTTTGTTATGAGCAAACATTATCAATTAAAGTGACGCCATAAAAGTAACAAATTAGATCCAATACAACGAACGTAATTCACGAAAATCTCTTCATCGTTGGATAAAAGACAGACAAGATAACACCCATTCTGATGAACCAATAAGATTGCATGTTAAGGCCATTACAGCACGAAACTGTCAGAAGTTAACCTTCACGTCAATATTGTTATTTCCTTTATAATTATGCCTATGCAAAGGTTCCATATATTTATCTTCTGACTTGACAAGCATCCTCCAAACAGAAAAGGGCGAGGGTTTGTCGGAGAAGCTTGTCATCTTCACTGAATCCCTGGTGAAAACTGAAGGTAACATGTTCAATTTTTGCAAAGGCCTCCCGGTTACTTATAAAATTAGCCATTCATCACATTTAGTGTTTTAGTATATCGCAAGTCTTCAGAACGTATTCGTGAGCCTAAATCTACCCTGCAAACGTTTTTGTCTCTTTTCGCCTAAATCAGTATTTTTTTTTGTCATTGAAGCCTTAATGGTCTCGGTTACTTTGCATTTCGCTCCAGACTACCACAAAGGATACCAAGCGATCTTTTGACCGAATAAACTCGCTTTTCGTTATCAAGTCAGTCACTAGATAAAATTACGGATATTGCTGTTTGGCTCGAGAGGTATGCCCAACTGAGTTACGCAGACGTGTTTCTTCGAAATAAAATATATCAAATCCGACATTGCTTTGCGAAACAGCATCGTTAGACTTACAAATTGTGATCTTACGTTTAGCTGTGACAGTTTAAGTCAGAAAAATGCTTTACGCTATATTTTTTGTATTTAAACTTGTTGTATTTAGTACTTGAATAGATTCCCATTCATTTTTAATTCACACAATTTCTTTTAGCCGTGCGGTGTTTTTCAAGCAGACGATACTTTATGTCATCATGAACAATTCCACATCAGGTTTGTCTTTCCGTCTTCCGCCAGTGAAAACAGGTTTTTTGCCGCCACAAATAAACGGACGGACAGGAGAAACAACTCAATAAAACTCTTTTAAAAAGGGCTCTTCCTAGAGACACTTGCTGGCTGTGGGAAGGCCAGAATCTATAACGACTGTTGACGATTCTTGAGACAATGACTTTGACAACAGAGTTTGTTTCAACGTAGGTTTGATCTGCATGTACCACTGAACGTCACCCAACTGCTGATTTTCTGACCAAAGAAAACTTTACAAAACAGCTCTATTTAAGCCGAAGGTACAAAAGATTAGGTAATGCTATAAATTATCTAAAGGATCAGGTAATCTAGAACAGTAAGGAATTTCGCCTTCTGCAAGATTAATCATTTTTCAAAAAGCTCAGGTGGATAACAACTAAAAACAAGGCAATAACAGGTGACGGTTACAGTTTAACACTAATTATAGTTATCATCCGACAACAACTGTTTACGGCTGACTTTGGTCGCATTTATGCTTTGCTGAGCTTAGTAAAATCTCGCAGTTTCCACATGGAATCATATATATATTTTAGCTTTAACACAAAAACTTGATGACTGAAAATCCTATCATTACACGCCCCATTACTACTTTTAAAGGCAGACAGTTAAGTGTTTTTTACTGTTTTCGTGAACGTAACTTCCAGACGAGTAGAACCACAGAATAAATTTAAGGGAATCCTTTATGTGAACAGACCTAATTTAGCTATCAGACTTTAGCCATAAAATGCATGCATCCAGAAAGATATCCCTGATAGTCAAATTATTAGACATAGAATCGTTATTTTACATTAAAATGTTCTTTTTTAAATATTATTGATATATTTCGCATACATTGGAAAGAAAATAATTGAATACGATTGCACAAGAAAATCCTTGTTTCGCTTATTGAGTACTGAAAATTTTATACGGAAAAACTGTTTTAATTTCCGTTACAAGCCTAAAATCTTGTTTCATGCTACTGTTTCCAGATTTCCACTTCTTAAACGGAATTTGTCACACTTAAATCGTCTCAGCGCGGATCATCGAACGTTTTTAATAATTTTACAGACCTTTGCGCGTGGCTATTTATTTAAATAAATATTTTGACATTATAATAAGTGTTCCTTGGTAATCTGTTTTTTATTGAATTTACTAACAAGATTGTCAATCTCTCTGTTTCTTCGCTTTTGTCAATTAACTAAGGTGATCTAATCGCTCACTGATTGGTCAAGTCCTACTTGTTATCCTACAGATTTTTCAAAAAAGCTATAGACTTCACTTTTGTAAAATCGGATTATCGCGTAACAACACACTTGGAATATCAGAAGAACGCTAGAAAAATTTATAAATTTTTTCCTCTTCTAGTTTTACGCTGGTCGATGGATAGAGAGTGCACTCTTTACTTAGTAACTAGTGACTCTTTTCTCAAAGATAACCGAAATATCTCTTCTTTTGGTGAAATTGTATTTTGTTGTAGAAGAATTATAGGCGATATCTGTTAACAATGTATTTAACATCAAAACCAACAAGACCTATTTCTTCAAATTTTGAATTGTCGTTAAAAAAAATATTTTTTCCACTGTATTTGGAAATACAAATTAACTTTTGATTTTGAATTTAAAAAAACTATTCGGCCGCAAATGTCTTAAGGAGTTATTTTTTTTTTTAACATGAACTGGTAAGAAGTGTAAAGCGGTGTATCAACGAGTAATTTACGAGTGACGTAATATCGTACCCAAATCCTACCGTGTCACTGAAATGAAACCGCTTGGCCGTGGAAGGTCTGGGTACGAGACTACATTTGACGATTGCAAATATGTACTCGATTGCGAAAACGTTAATATTTAAAAAGCATGGCCATGAACGGTGACACCCAACGGCCTTTTTGGCAAATAATCGCACTGATACGCGATAAGTCTTATTGAATTCAAGTGATTCACGTTTCTCATTATTCATAAAAAAATATTTTTCTGTGATAATCCTCTTCTTTCAGGAAAGCTGGGATAGTTTTCAACATTCACCAAGTGCAAGTAATGGTGGTTATGATGCACATCTGACCCACATAGCTGCATAGTTTCTCAATCATCTTTCATTGTACACGCTTCTTAAGTGCCAATGTTTTTGCAATCGAGTGTCTATCTTTTACTGTGGTACGGATCACTATTTATTTGTTTCTTTATTGTTATTTTATTGGTTGGCTTGTTTGTTATTCATCTATCTGTTCATTTGACAGAAGGCAAAACATCTGGAATTAACCTGGAAGTAAGTGTCACCGTGCAAGTTGTTTTGACTCTGCTAGCGGCGGTCATCGCAACATTTGACCTGGTTGGCAACGTCATCGTCATTTATGTGACCTGCTCAAGAACGCCCATGCGTACAACAACAGATCTGCTGATTGCCAATCTGGCAGCCGCTGACCTCATGATGATACCCGTCATCGTCTACTTGGTGAAATTTTTTTATTACCAGTTTGACTGGTTCGGCGGTGTAATGGGACAGGTTACGTGTCGGTTAGCGATCTC